TGCGGCAAGCTGCCGCAGGCTAATGCTGCCTTGGGCGATTTCGTGCGTTACCTTTAGAAGGCATGGCAAGCCTTATTTACCTGTTACAGTTCGCCTGCAGGTAGCGTGGCTATACCTAGGTAGGTAGTCAATATCGTGGCGGCTGCAAAAAAAAAAAAGCAAGGGGCTATTGTGTCCCTGCAGGGTGATGTAGGTACATACACGCATTCAGGTGTTGTAAGTAGACCTTGAAATGGATATACGGCGGGTACAAGCATATGAGTAAGCGTGGACTGTCTCGATTTGATACCCACGAAGTCCGCTTGTAACGGCTTAGCCTTGAGCGTAGAAACCGGTTTGTTTATATGCACGCCTAGGCTTGGCTTTGGAACATACCTTCACCATCTACCGTCCTTACTGGTGTGTCTGTTCTATAGCTAGCTTAGCTAAGATATATGTTTTAGGAGATATAATTTCTTGGCCAGTCTCATTCACATAAGAAGGACCATCCAAGGATTAGGGCTTGGTAGGACTTATATACATGGTGGCCCGTACCTGAGCTGAACACCTAGCGAGGCTGCTAGGGAGATAAATGCCTAAGATCATTACGATATTATGGCTACATTTACTATCGAAGTGATATGGTTTTGACCTCGATAAAACCTTTCAAGGCCACAGTTTACAAAAGCCCTTCAATCAATGGTATCGTCACGCAGCCGAAGCAACTGAGGAATCACCTCATCCGGGCGCGAACGGAGAGCGTTATGGTATAAGACACCCGTCTCGAAGACCTTGATCCCCTTGATCCTAGACGCCGTGACCCGCGACATCTCCGGATCGACGTACATATCATTATAGACGGCCGCGTACACGGGGACCTCGTTTTTACCCAATTGCTCAATATCGTAGAGCGGTGCCCAGCCGTCGAACTCGGCCAGGATCTGCGCTGTCTCCTTGAGCTTGAAGAGTCCGGCGCAGGTATCGAAGAAGAAGGGGTAGATCATCTCGCCGGAGAAATACAGCGGCTTTTCGCCTAGGCTCGCTGGCCCAGCCCAATCCTGCCGGAGCCATTGGAATTCCTCTAGGCTCGCGCCGACTCGCTCGGCTGCCCATCTTCCGGCTACGCCTGGGCCGAAGCACCAACATGGCTCGTGGAGCAGTGAGTAGATTGGAGCAGTGTCCCATTGGTTGTCTTGCTCTAGTTCGTTCAGAGTGAAGCGAGTAAATGTGCCATGCTGATCGAGATCTGCCTTCATTCTAATGATGTAGTTGTGAACTCGGTCGACGCCGCCGTGAGCACCGAAATTAAGGCCCACAGTCATTAATCGTGATACTGTTAGGAAGCCGCCGCCGGGTAGGGGAATTCCCCTTTCACCACCCAATTCGCGGATCTTCTCAGCGATCCACTTGACCGTGGCGACATCATCTGGGAATTTCCTATAGTAGTCGTGATTCCGATCTATACACCTTCGAAAGGTGGCTTGATAAACCTCCTCGGGGCCTTTATCTAAGGCGGCAAGTCCGCCGGTGATGAAGCATTCTCTAAGACCTTCTGGTGCGAAGGAGAGATAGGTTAGGGCCGTAAAACCTCCAAACGACTGTCCGAAGGTAGACCACTTCTTCTTCTCAGGTGGGTAGTCCTTTGTTAGACAGAGACGGACGGCTTCACTGTCTTTGACAAGCGTATCGGCTCTGAAGAGCTTAAGATAGTCGGCTTGCTCCTGGGGACTGCCGATGAGCTCTAGAGTGTTATCTGAGACGGGCGTGCTGAAGCCCGTGCCCCGTTGATCCAGGAAGAGCAGCTCGTAGCCTCTATCGAGCATATACTTTGACAAAGGGGAATCTTGAGGTGCTGGAGTTCCCAAACCAGGACCGCCCTGGAGGAACAGCAGGTAAGGTCTCTGCACGACCTCTGATGATTCGACAATAGGTCGTTCATATTTAACAACACTTCTTGCAAAGAGCTTAATAGTCTCGGATTTTGGATCGGAATGGTCTAAGGGAACTTGAAACCAGAGCTCTTTCACAAGAAGCTTGCCTAATACGACGTGTTAGTCGTTCTGAGGCTGGACTAATCGAACATGGTGTATTTATGATATATTCACCTGGGACGACGTATGGTTTGCTTTCGGAAACAAGGCGAGCTACGACTGGAGCCATGGTTGATTGTCCGGCACGATTCAGTCTTTGGCAAGTAGATGTTACTATGAGTCTATGATTGGCTACGGGTCTTGTTATTACGAAGTTGTATGTACGAAGTTGTATGTACGAAGTTGTATGAAGCGGGGAAGGGTCTAGATTCCAAGTTGGTAGGTGGAGCTTTTATGATTATGTCTCTACAACGTTTGAGACTTTGAGTACGGAATGCCTATTATGACATTCTACGTCGTTGGTATTACTTCTCTGATACTAGGTATCTACCTATTGGAGGATAATGTAGCCTGTAGGACTAGGTAGTCTTAGATTCCTTAATTGGGTAGAGTTATCATCTAACTTATGCGTACCTAAGGTTTATTTCTCAGGGGACGATTTATTGTAAGAGATCTAAAATCTACAAGTACCTATCATGCCTATCGTGCCTATCGTGCCTTAGGTAGGTTAGGTACCTAATAAATGTCGTGTCACATTGATAGGCCTTCTGAGTTATCGGTTCTTGCTGAATGGGAATCTCGGGAAGGAAGGGAGTTGTTCCTTGCAGGATTATGCAATTAAATAGGCTAACCACAGCAATGAGGGCACCCCCACATCCGGAATTGGAGCTGACAAAAAATCCAGTTCTATTATGTACCTAGGTACATAGGTAGTAGCCATCGGCGTTATTCGGATCATTCTCCATTTCATCATTCCATCATTCCATCATTCCACTAACCAACCTTAGCATCTTTTCCTTTTCACCCCAATTCACCCCAACTACATCTCCGGCTTTCTTATCTCGCTCGCTCGTAATCTTCTTCGTTTCTCCCATGTCAGACCAGGATATGAATTGCCAAAACCTCGTACAGATTTTAATAGAATCGTTTAATGCATTGGCTGATGAAGTTCAAAACTTGAGCGACAGGCAGACTGTCCTGGAGCACAAACTTCGATATGCGCACGAGCAGGTATGCCAACCTTTAATCTTATAAATCCCGTTTTATTCCCTCCTTCCTTCTCCGCCCTTTATACATGATGAGAAAAATTAGCTCTAGATCAAGAGCTACCCTTATGGTAGCGTTGACCGAAATAAATATTTTAGAAGTTACTGATATAATACGGAAAACGACATATCTTGTTTACAAATGACAAACATTCTTTCCGAGGTTTCAGTCGCTAACTTTATCGATTCCGATAGTTCCAGTATCTAGCCGATAAATATGCTCCGACGGCGCCTGAGATTTCAGAAACGCTATTGAATCTTCAGATTCCTCCAGAGTTGCACAATCCATCCCTAGCAAACAACAGTTTTGTTCCCTTGCCTAGAAGGAAAACTTCAGATCCTAAACATCAAATTGCCGTCATCATTAGGGAAGGCAGACGTGTTGCCTCTTCCTTAACAGCTACTAGCAAGAGCAGTCGATCTAGCAGAGACAGTCTTCCTCCTACCACGATGACGACCCTTTCCACTATCCTCGAGCAGGACTTTACTATTCCGGGAAAGAAGAGCAACTTAGATTGTCCCTTCTCCCCGCCCGCCAGAGAAGAGAATCAGGATGAGGAGCCTAGTAACATACCTGACAAAACGGCGCATGATATAGAAGATCCCATCTGTGCGACCATGTATGATGATCCAAGCTCACAACCTGCTGCTTCCAAATGCCCAATTCGATACATGGACCAGCACTCGCCAGAAGAGATTGCTCACTACTTGGAGACACATAAGCACGAGTTACCAAGGAGTCACGAAGTCTGTGTACGTAGGTATCAAAAGAATGAGGAACACATCAGGAAGCTAGATGCCAAGTATGGCAATCTTGCCAACATGGTTGAAGGTCTCAGTCGGATCCATCAACCTATGTTGCCTGAACGGGACACACGACCTCAGAGCGAGGTTGAAAGAACCTCGAACGATCGTGTTGTGAACTGGGCTCAAACGGTGAGCGCGACGGCCTCGGATGATCCGGAGCATACTGCTTTGGAACATCATGAGGATGATCTAGATGATCTGGACAGACAAAGCCGCTTCGACCGACCTCTTAAGGAGGTCCGAGTTGGTGAATCGCCGAGCCGTCCTTGGGGCATCTCAGTCCCCGTGTTCGATACTCCACCTGGTGTTGAAGGGTTGGGTCGACCTGAGTCCCCTCCACCAGCGCCCGTTCAGATTCCTTCATCGCTGCCTCCTCAAGTGACGCCGGCAAAGACAGGAAAGTGTCCCTTCGATCACACGAAGCTGACGGATATGATGAACGGTTCTCCGCTGAAACGTGAAGATAAGAACTCCGTTAGGTTCGGAGATATTCGGTCGAGTAGTCAAACTTCTATTCCAGCTCATGAGCCACGATTTGCAGCTAGTGATCCACGTCAGCCTAAGTTCATTAATCCGGCTGAGCTAGACAGCAAGTCGGACAATAAGCCGCAGATGCTGTTTACAGGCCCAGTCTTTATTGGGTACCCTATCGAGGATGCGATTCGGCTCATGCAGAGCCTCCAAGGACAACAGTGATGTCTTTGGTCAAGGCGATTTCCTTCCTGCCGTGTGTCATACTTAAGATCATGGTTGGAGTTATTAGTATTTTGATTTTTTTTTATAGTTTTCTTGCGGGTTTATTATCGAGCGGGCTCAAGCAACGGACCTGGCCAGGGAATATCTGATTTGAAGCAAGCAAGTTCGCACACAGAGGGAAGGGTTGGGCCGCTTTCTTGAACGGCTGAAAGAGTATTGATGGCATGATAACGTAACGTAATGTATGAGGCGTCGGGGTTTCTTTTTCTTCACCTTTTACAATAGCATCAGTCGGGCGTTAGGAACGAAGAAATCAGTACGGACGATACCCTTCAAGAGCAGGAGATTGAGAAACCAGCTTTGATATGAGTTATAACACAATAATATTCTTTTCCACAAGCGAAATCAAAGTAACCTGCCTACCTAGGTGCCCATCCCTTCTAGCTAATGCGATTCGATATTCCCATCCATGTTATGCCGTACACTCCAAAATGCCAAACTTGTAACTGAGCCGCCCTTTCTTATGCTCTCGACTCGCCAGACGCCTATTGTATCCCGTATTTCGTACACGAACGAATCCCTTGGTAAGCTTGCAAACGGTCGACAATGCCCATCCATCTATCGATGCTCTCCGTTGGAAACCTTTCTATTCCCGTTTCCGACAGCATCTTCCTCCTCCGACTCATCCCTGTATCCTCCGCCAACTGCATCCGTCTCCCACAGCGAGATATCGTCATCATCCATCAGCGCCGCTTCATCCGCCTCGCCAGCTCGCTGCCGTCTTCCCTCTTCCAAGTCTCCATACCCTAGACCCAACTCCTCATCTAATTCCCCGTCTACCGCGACTCCGTTCTCAGCACCCTCTTCGCGTGCGAGTTCTCTGGCGCGCGCCATCGTGCGCCGGTATATAAACAGGCTGAGGGTAATCCCTACGGCGCTGCCGAGCAGCATGCTTAGGTAATTGATGGCCTTGTCGCCGGCGCTCATGGTATCGCCGCTCTCGGCGAGGAGGGCTAGCCGGCTGCCGATGAAGACGTGCACGAGAAGTTTGGGGGAGGCCATGGCTGTCGCGAGCGCGAAGCGCCACGGTGAAATGCTGGGGATGGTGGCGAGGAACCCGTTGCTGAGACTGAACGGCAGCGGGCAGAAGCGGATAGCGGCCAGGACGAGCAAGCCGTCTCGACGGAGGACTTGTCCTAAAGCGACGAATCGCTTGTCCGCGCCGACCAGCGAGTGCACGTATCCGCTGAATATGGTCCTGCTGGCGAGAAAGGCAGCGGTAGACCCGAAGACGGTGGCGCTGGCGACGATGGGCCAGCCGCCCGGGAACCCGTAGACGAAACCCGCGATGGTGATGCACGTGCTGTACCCGATCATAGGCGGGAAGCCCGACGCGCACGTCATCAGAAACACGATGACCCAGCCGCCGGGCAGCGCGCGCCAGCCCTTGGCGATAGGGGCCAGGGCGGCGAAGATGCGGTGCGAGTACACGAGGAACAGGACCAGGAGGACGTTGACGAGGACCAGGGCGGACACGGCGATGATGCGCTGGAGAAGGGTCATGCTGTAGAATAGCTTGAGCATCTTGTTGGAGAAGGACACGCTGGCGCGCATTATGCGGCGGCCGAAGGGCTCGGAGGAGTCGTTGTTGCTGTTGTTGTTGGCGGCTGCGGAGCGGGAGTATGGTGTTGAGAGGCGCTGCGAGTTGGATGTAGGCCGTTGTAAGTTGGGGCGTACCCATGGCGGAAGAGGAACGTCTGGGCGTGGAGACGGGGGCGTCGGGGAGGGAGAGGGAGAGGGAGATGGCGAGTGTGATGGTGGGTGTGAGACGGAGAGCATAGGCTCTTGAGCTTCGTGGTCGGGAGGCATATTGACGACGGTGTTTAGCTGTGTTGTAGCTTGGGCTTTCTGGAAATCGTATCGTATCTATCGTATCGTATACCTAGTATCGGGAATTCTTAGACCAGATACATATAACTACAGCTGATGCATATATCGTCGAGGCGGAAGACGAGCTATAATTGGAAACACAAGACCGATATGGATATGGATATAGCTGTCGTTATGGTTATCCCGATAGCTTCAAGCAGCACCAGCTAGCTAGCTATCCATATTCGCCGACGTAGACGAGTTAACATTCACAACCTCAAGTTTGAATTCGGGAAGTGTATGTATTCGTACATAGGAGGAAATGATGGCCCCCGAAGGACGTCAGGGACAGATTCCACTATTCCCACAGTATAACGTTTTACTTTACATAGTACATCCCTACATGCATACATATGTACATAGTAGGTAGTGAGATACCTATGCAGTTACATAGGTACCTAATGTATGAAGGAACGGGGCTGAAGAAGGAACACTAGCGTACATAGGTACATAGGTAGGTAATAAGAAAAAAGGGAACTAATTGGATTGGGACCATGCGTCGGGTACGAGGTACAATATCTACCATGTACCTTTCACTTCAAACCACACCAGACATACATGTAACAGGGCTGAAATAGGGTAGGTTGTACATATGTAGGTACCTAACATAAACTCAAAGCGCGGTTAGTAATCCCCAGGTTAAAAAAGAGATAAGCAATTTTGAAGATGGGGAGGTTTCATATTAAGCCGTACATAGGAGAGTTTACACGTAGGTACATGTATATTAAATACATCTAGACATTTCGACGGAGATGTCGCGACTTGGCAGCCCGTGTACATGGTACATATCAAGTGCCTAGGTATGTACCTTACACAAAGTACTTATCTACATGTACCTACATACATACATACATACATATGTACGGAAGTCGCCTTCAAAAGTTCTGTCCATACAGAACGCCTGTCAGCTTTGGCCGCAGCTGTCGGGCAGCCTACCCCACCTGGCAATCTAAAATCATAAAGTATACTAGAATATATCCTTTATTATACATATCACCACACAATTAAAAATATTAGAAAAATAATCTTTTTAACTATTTGATAAATATAATGCCTTAATTATATCATAATATATATTTTCATAAATTAGCTTTTATATTTGAAATGTAATGAGTAAATTAAAGTATAGCATATTTAGAGGTACATTTATTATTATGGCTGCCAGTTGCCGCCAAGCCTTGTCAAGCTGACAGGGGCTGGCCTATGGACAAAACTTTTGAAGGCGACTTCCGTAGTACCTAACCTAGCTGATTATCAATTACATCATATCCCCGATTAACGTCGGATGTTGATCCGACTATCGAACCGTAGCTCACGTCGTCCCGCGCGCCATGGTATTATGTAACTGACCCTTGCCAATACATAGTCTCATTTCGATATGACATATTGTAGAAGCTATGGACCCCCTAAATAGGAAAGGTCACTTAATATAAGAAAGATTTCAACTTGCTTTATTCACTATATTATCTGCTACTAGTCACCGTCCCCTATTGCTAGGCCCCTTAGGAGGATCGCGGACGAGGAGCCTAACCTTTCCATCCCCAATTTCAACTCCTTGGCTTAGGATGTCAACGTCTTCTTTCGATTCCTCTTTCTCCTTCGAGCCCTCTCTCGTAAGAGACTTGTCCCAGCTTCTAGCGTCGATCCCAAGAATACCTCCCATGTTGTTCCGGTCCCCGGGAACCGAGAACTCACGGTACGCGTATCTCCACTCGTTAAGGAAGTTTCTGATAGCCTTACCCACCTTGTCTTTCCCGTTCTTGCTATGATGTCCGGTTCCAGTAATGGCGTACACGGGTCGAATTTCCTTACTGTTATCTAGGAGAACTCTCTCGAGATACTCGACAGCCTCGTCCGGGTGGAGGCCGTGTAGGTCTACAAAGATCTCCGCATTGGGTGAGTTTTGCTTGTTGCGCTCTTCGTACAACTCCCGCGCAGCTTCCCGGTGAGCTTTTCGCATAAGGTCATTCTCGCTTTGACCTCGGAGACTAAGAGCCTTCGCCGCTCGAGCATCGTTGCGATTCCAAGCCTGTGCGGCACTAAACCTCGAGTTAGCCTTATCAGGTACATATAACCACATCGAGGACCCACGAACCTCTGTAAGAACTTGTTCCGGAGGCCACCATGCTTGATGGCCTCCTGGCGAGCCTTCAGGTAAGCTTTATTTGCCTTATCTCCCGTCTCTAACCATGGAATATGCTTGGGCATGGAGATAGCCTGAGCGGCAACACTGTTTTCCCCATTCTTGATATTAGTAGAACTTCCATTGCGGCCAAGTTTCTTCGATTCCTGTCGGCTAGACCCGGATCCGGATCCAGGTCCAGGAGATGGCGACATTTTTACGATATCGGCAAGAGAGCTTGGAGTGAAGTTCTCTTTATGACCATGGCCGTGCCCACCACGTTTACCATGGTGTTTTTTGTTAGGTTTAGCAGAAGCAGACCCAAGAGAGGGGAATGCGTCGTTATCGTCTATTGACGGTGCACTCATGCCTTCTTTCGCCTGATGCCGACTCCCAGGCCGCGAGCGAGGGCGAGAATTATCGTTACCCCCGTAGGGTTTCAACCCGGGTGGGGGTGTTACTCCAGAGGTTGGATAGTTAAAACTAGCAGCATAAGGATTCAATTCTGGAGTGCCTGGCCGCAGAGACGGGAATGAGCTAAAGTCTTGAACCTGTAGATTCTGGCTTTTCTGCGGTGTACCATTTTCATCCACGTTAAGGCGATTTATGAGATGGGCTGGGTCATGGGAGAAAATGCACGTGTCCCCGGCCAAACAGTTGCCCGTAACCCAATACCTAGAGAGTTAATATATGAAAAGGAACAGTGGGAGCAGTAAGCTAAACTCACTTGCAAAGATGATTGCTGAGATCATGACTGAAGCGACAGTCTGCCCGGAGGCATTGGCCAGTGGATAAGTAAAATTTGCAGATGATGCCAGCTTTCCCCTGAGCTGATGGGGTTGTAGGTCTCCCATCTGGTGTCATAGATTTGCCGATTAGTACACTCTTCGATTCAGGAGTAAGTCCTGCAACATTCGTTGACTCTTGATTCTGAGACTCCATTATAGATGCAATAGTAGCACTAAGATCGTAGCCATGCATAGAAAGAGCTAACTCGATCTCTTCATCAGTCTTGGATTGCCCGAGAATCGAGCGTAGCATATCATATGGTGTCATATCCGTCTGCTGGGCAGACACGTATTCAGGGGCTGCGGCGTTGAGGCCACTGGACGTGCCCATCGAGGAAGCAATACTGAGTGCATCATCACTCACTAACCAGTCAACATTTTCAGTCTGCAGGTCACCAAATATTTCTTGGGAAGGACTCGTATCGTTGGCAAACTCGTAAGCATTTAGATTCGGGCTGTGGGGTATTATCGGCGCCGAAAACGCGAGTCGCGGAGATGGGCGCGGAGATGAGAAGGGCGATACAGTAGAGGACTTGGTCCGGCTGAGGCTTGTCGGAACAAAGCCTGGTGGGGCCAGGGGGCTCACTCCTAATCGAGGAGAGCCTGACAAAGGAGTCGACGAACCCCGCCACGAGGCTGGAGAAGGCCGGCGAAGGATGGTCTGTCGTATCGGGGGAGGTGAGGTCGCACTACCTCCCCCTTCGCGGTATCGCCATAGCACGTCGAGCACTGCATTCTCTAGAGACGAGCCGTTCAGGGGGGTCTCATTTTTCAGAAGCTCTTCGATCTTGTCTGTCTTGTCATCGTCGTCGAGGCTCGGGTCCTGCAGGACAGGAAGGCATATCTCGAACGTCTCGTCGGAAACCATGATTAAGCGATGCAGAGGAAGCGGGTGATGTGTGTAGATGCTCAAAAGTAAGCAACTGAGCAAGGGGGTGAGTCGACGCGGCCCGGGTAGACGTTGATATAATATATCGAGTAGCGTCGGCCGTCAGGGGATACGGTTCGGCCGGCGAACGTCAAAGCGTAAGCAAGGCGGGCTGGCGTATTATAAAGTAAAAGATAAAAGTATAGAATAAGCTAGCTATAGATTCCCCGATAGCGTATATATGAGGTAGGTAAGAGGGGGAGGAGATAGGCGCAAGGAACGCGAAAAATAAAAGGGCGGAGTGTTAACTAAAAGATGGGTGCCACAGAGAATAAGCGACTATTCGCATTCTGCAGATGCCGTGAGACGAGACTCGTGTTGAAGAAACAAAAATAAAGTCTTGCAAAATAAATGCCCTGGGCAAAAGCAGGTGGAACGAATGTGTACGGTGTGCGATGTGCGATGTGTACCTATGTACGATACGATATATGATCAGAAGCGGAAAGCCTTCTTGGGATGTAGCTCCCAAGATTGGCTGGTTGCCTCGAAGTTGCACCAAAGTTGCACCTACGTGTCGCGGAAACAGGGAGGCTTCGCAGGAGAGACGTGGGAATCCAGTAAAGTTACAGGTAGGTGCTATGGACTTGTCTGGACGGCTTGATGCAATCAGTGTGGGGGGGCTCAGCTAGGTAATATTAACGACCGCCAAAATCATTACCCTATTATGAGGTACCTGAGGTAGTAAGCTACCACGCGAGGCGGTATATGTACCTACCTGTAGGCTATTGGAAGACAGCCCCGGTAAGTACATATACTGCAGTACAAGGTACTATTAATAACTCAAAGTTCTACCTACTCGGCGACCGGGCTTTCCAGTCTCAAACGCTCCGTACTATGTACTTCCATTATGTATAATACCTACCTAGGTATCTATGTACCTGACTTCAATGCAGGTGTTGAGGTCCTAAATACATTATATACATACCTAGGTACCTATGTACGCTGGTCGCTGGTCGCTGGTACGATATATCTTAAGGTAGTCAGGTACCTAAGCATGCATGTAGTTATTACGAGCGAATACACTTGCACCGAAATACAAAATCTAAATATTCGACTAATTTCTATGTAAGTCATAAGATTTTATTTTAGGCCAACATTTTTAGACATGACAGAGTAAGGCTCGGCGAAAATAAGGCGGTATAGGTACCAGCTTGTCTTGCTCAATATACTGGGCATTGCTGTGCCTATTCCGGAAACAGAGCGTACACCGGAGAAAGGTTTACAGGGCGTAAGCCACCAATATTCTTTTCAGTGTCCCTCAGCCGCTTTTACTGTGAGAGGAGAAGCTGACCGGGGATGAATGCGGCCTTATCATCCACGGGTCAGGAACGCCTACATACATATGTAGCTCTTGTGATACCCCCACGTTTGGTGAGGAGGTTTAAAATAGGTCAATTTTCTAACATCTTATTTCATCATCTATTCTAAGGTATCTCTTCGTCGGAGTCACCTCCAAAGCCGAAGCTGAAACCACCATCGCCATTCTCATCGTCACTCTTCTTCCCGATAGCTTCTTCCCATTTTCTTTTCTTTGTCAGGCTCCTCCGTTCTAGCTCATCGAGAGCATCGTCAAGAAATTTGGGGTAATCGGTCTTAAGCCGCTCTACGAAGAGGTCATATGGGCTTTCGATGACACTTTTGAAGCCGGTCACTTGGTCCGGCTTGTCTCTAAGAAAAGAGAGAACATCTGCTAGGTGTGACTTAGGCACGAAATTTTGAGTGAGGGCTATGCCAGCCTCAAGATTCACAACCAAATGCCACCAGCCGCTAGGCACGTGTAAAATCTCTCCCGCTTTGCAAACGCCTTCCACGCAGCCCGGTACCGCACGTGCTTCCGTATGGAACTCGAGTAACCACTCAGCTATACTCAGCGGGCTAGTGACTTCACTGCTATCCTCTGAAACGTAGACGCCGGGAACCTGCGCTGTTGGTGGAAACACTAGGGAACAACAGTCAGTCTCTGCCGTTCATTAAAGGTTCAATAAATAAATACAAAGCAGCGAGGTCTCGCTAACTAACTCAAAGATATAAACCGGATTCCAATGTAAGGGCAAGAAAAGGGGGTTAAAAACAACCCGTAGGGTATACGTACTAATCCAGTATTTTGATCCTTCCAAAACAGCATTCCAGGCGCTGGTGGCGTTCGGATCCTTGTGGAAAGTCGAGCCGCTACGCTTAGGCCCGATAATAAGCCATCGATGAGCTGGTCTTTCTTCTCCGAGCAACTCGAATAAGTCCGGGCCAAAACACTCAGGGGGCCAGTATGCCGCATCTGCAACATGCCCGATCTGAATATTCATCTTCTCTGCGAAGCCCTTATCGAATAGGTATAACGGACTTTCATCCTCGTTATTAGACATGTATTCATGATAAACCGAGAACGGCCAGTCCACAGCTTCTGCGCGGAACTCAACGGCCGAATATCCCCTATTTAGCTCCTGGATGTTCCAATCACCGCATACCGGCCAGCGTTGAATGCAATCAGTCAATATGAATGGCTTACCACTCCAGTTCTGCGCAAAGTCATCGTAGCCGAGTTGCTCCAACCTGCTGATTTGATTTGCCCGAGGAATACTGGACACATATTTCCCAAGAGCAATGTAGGTGCAAGCGAATGGCCTATGAATGACATCGGAAAAGACATTGCTACAGTCAATCCTAGGGCGCCATCCAGAGGGAGCCTTTAGAAGCGTGCCTCTCCACGAACCCTGCCAGGCGAGCGGTTGGGAGCCAGTTCTTTATATTTCGTAGGCAAATCAGTGAGACGGCACTAAAGTAGATGGATTCCATCAAGGGGCCACTAATGACTGTCTGGGTTCACATGTCATAGTTTATGACTTACTCGAGAAATAATGCTTTCCAAAGTTCGTCGAGGTAACAGAAGGCATAAAGAAAACGACAAGTAAACCCGACGTCTTTCAGTGTCTCGATATCAAAATATTCGAGTATCTGCAATATCATCTCATCCGGAAGTCGAGCCAACAAACCAAGAGACTGCCGAGCCGTTGGACCAGATGCGAAGTATCTATTCCCAAGAGGTTTGACGCCCATTGGATGAACTGGGATGAAATCTGACAGTATCCCAGCAGTTGGCATGTGTAATTCGCCTCCATTTGTTGGTGCACTTCCACTAACACCTCCATGACTGGTCCCTTCTGCTAGTAGCATAGTCACTGGAAGTGCTATGTGAACTGCCCGTTTAAGCAAAGTTCTTCATGAAAGAAGGCTTGTAATAACTTTGATGATCGGAACGCTTCGCCACAAGATAATACCAATTCGGCTTCAATGAGTCACAGAGTTCGTGTCATACTTGTCATGCTTGTATTTTCCATGCAGAGTTGTTCAAATCTCAGGTTTTTTGGGTCCTGCAACCTTCCAGTTTTGTGGGGCCTTAGGTTCTGTATGTATGTATTAGCTTAACATCGTAAGGTTAAAAAAATAAAAATAAAAATAAAATAAAATTTTGGGAAAGTCAGGGAAATCACGCCGCTTGCCGCCCCTACGTAGAACCTTCCAAGGTAACCATTCAGAGCTAAGAGCCCCGCATCAGGGTTTGGCCGACGTTTACCCCCACTCAAATTTTTTTTACTTACCTCTTTACATCTACCTCATTGATCTTGGGCTTTTCCTCCCACCTTCGATTTTTCCAAATCGTCACAGATTAAATCAACAACCACAACCAAAAGAAATATCACCAGCTGGTCTTTATTGCTCTCTAGTAACGAGAGCATCTACGTCCACTTCTTTTCACATATTTAATTTTCACGCGGTACGGCTTGCCAAAGTGTAAAGTTCGTGCGCCCATTTCTTACTTGACCCCACCAAGATCGCCGCTCCCAACCAACTCTTGAATTCTAAGCTGTGCTTGGAATTCGAGAAGTCGCGTCGACACATCTACAATCATGGCTACCGACAAGGGGCTCGAGGATATCGAGCAATCCCAGATCGAGTCTAACTATGACGAGACTGTCGACTCCTTCGATGAGATGGACCTCAAGGCCGAGTTGCTACGAGGTAAGAGCGTCAACTTCGAGACCACAAAAAAAATTTGCGGTGAACTAATAGTGTTTCAAAGGCGTCTATGCATATGGATTCGAGCGTCCCTCTGCTATTCAGCAGCGCGCGATCATGCCGGTCATCAAGGGTATGTTTCCACCTTTCTATTTCTACTTTAATATTATACGCGCATAATATTAACCCAATCCCCGCGATAGGTCACGATGTAATTGCGCAGGCCCAGTCTGGTACTGGCAAGACCGCTACTTTCTCCATCTCCGTTCTCCAGAAGATCGACCCGAACGTCAAGCAGTGCCAGGCGCTCATTCTGGCCCCTACCCGTGAGCTGGCTCAACAGATCCAGAAGGTCGTTGTCGCTATTGGCGACTTCATGAGCATTGAGTGCCATGCCTGTATCGGCGGAACCAGCGTCCGTGATGACATGAAGGCCCTCCAGGAAGGCCCCCAGGTCGTTGTCGGCACTCCCGGCCGTGTCCAGGATATGATTCAGCGACGATTCCTCAAGACTGACGGCATGAAGATGTTCGTTCTTGACGAAGCCGACGAGATGCTTTCTGTGAGTACCGCTGTTTCCCCTCTTTATCCACCCAACGACGCTAATCATTATCGTATAGCGTGGTTTCACCGAGCAAATCTACGATATCTTCCAACTCCTTCCTCAGTCTACCCAGGTCGTTCTTCTGTCCGCTACCATGCCCCAGGATGTTCTTGAGGTCACAACCAAGTTCATGCGAGACCCCGTCCGCATTCTCGTCAAGAAGGACGAGCTCACCCTTGAGGGTATCAAGCAATTCTACATTGCTGTCGAGAAGGAGGAGTGGAAGCTCGACACCCTCTCCGATCTCTACGAGACCGTCACCATCACGCAGGCGGTTATCTTCTGCAACACCCGTAGAAAGGTTGACTGGCTTACTGATAAGCTCACTGCCCGTGACTTCACTGTGTCGGCTATGCACGGTGACATGGACCAGGCCCAGCGTGACCTAATTATGAAGGAGTTCCGATCCGGTTCTTCTCGTGTTCTGATCGCCACTGATCTTCTGGCCCGTGGTATCGACGTCCAGCAGGTGTCTCTAGTCATCAACTACGATCTGCCTGCCAACCGTGAGAACTACATCCACCGTATCGGTCGTGGTGGTCGATTCGGCCGAAAGGGTGTTGCCATTAACTTCGTTACCGCTGAGGACGTCCGAATGATGCGTGAGATCGAGCAGTTCTACAGCACCCAGATCGAGGAGATGCCGATGAACGTAGCCGACCTCATCTAAACAACGTATTCTTATTCATACTCAACAAGGCTAGTCTGTCTAACATTCAGGGTGGAGATAGAATGATGCGCGGTTCGAGGGTCGACCAAGAGGTCCCGTAGAATACATGGGTGGGGTGGCGATGATGTTCTCGTCCAGCATATTTCATTTTTCTATTAGCACGTCTCAGGGATGGGCCGTGGTCGGTAACAGGAGGGAAAAGAAGCATCTAGGGATTTGCGGCTAGGCATCTAGCACCTAATACTGGTAATGCATATCGCCTGACGGTGGGAGACCGTCGTGGACCAGGCTATTGCTTATTTCCGCGTTGTTATGTACCTAGGTTGCTGATGCTTTCCTAAATAAACGTTCTGAATTTGCCAGTTAAACCATTTTGCAATAGATGTCGTGAGTTGTATAGAACCTGTCGAGTCGTTGGTTGAGAGTACCTAGGGTTTCATATTATCTCCTACTAACCATATTAACTTAAATAGGTATCAAGCTTGTAGGTTAGCTAACTCGTTATTAAGACAATTATCTACATAAATTTCTTAATTATCTGCGTTTATAGGTAATTATAGGTATTGTATGTTGTATATTGTATATTGTCGAATGTGGTTAACGTTCTAGGAAGGAGGGAGCAAGGAGGGTTATATATAACGTGCTTTCCTAGAAAGCACAACCATTAGATAAGACTCTTCCTCGATTCAAACGACACAAACTTTCCTATTTCTTTCCAATCTCTTATTTCTTTCACCACTTAGAGTCATATACTTACTCATACTGTGATCATTCATCCAGAACGCTAATGACGCACTCAGATGCTACCATAAAGCTTCGCAAGTGTATTCCACATCAAAACTACTATCAATCTCTAGTAGCAGTGGGTGTAGTTGTACTTGCATAGCTGGTCAGGACGCTCTATCACAGTGACCCAAAGCTGGCAGGTTATCTTACTCATTACGACTATCATCACGACTATCTCACCAATATAGCCTCTCATATTGCTCTTCTATAGTACACCTGTATCGATCTCATACGACAACAATATGCGTACCAAAGAAGAAACGCAGAAGCTTGTTAGTATTGCTAGGCTCGAGGATAAGCTTCAACAGCCCGGAAACCAATTGAACGCCTTGAGACTCCTACAAGCACTTACGGTTAAAGAGGTCTACGAAGCTAAGAGGCAATTGGAATTAATCGAAGAAAGGTTCTGCAAGCTCCAAGAAGCCAGCATCGCAGAAGGTGGTCGTAGCGAAGGGTTCGAAAAGCAACTAGACGAACTTCGAAAGGATAAAGAAGGACTTCGTTCACTTATATCCGAAGCAGATGCGACTACTCAGAATACTAAAGACAGCCTTGAGAGCCTCCGCACGAAGGTTAGTGACGAATATTTTAAACTGACCGCGGACAATGCCAGATTTGGAAAGGATATCAAGACATTGAACAAGCAGATTGATCGCCATCAAGAGCAACTATCAACCGTCGAGAGTGCCCTTGAGGGTTTTCGTTCAAAGCTACCAAAACCTCAGGATATCGCCACACTGAACAACACTCTAGCTCGCCTGGAACCCATGGTAAAATCCATGTACGACAAGATAGACAAAGTCTCTACTCTCACCCTTGAGGAAAAGGAGGCGTTGGCAGAGGCTATTAGCGATCAAGCCCGGGTCCGCAATTTCCTAGACACTTTCGTTCCTAAACAGGAAGACTTCTTCCAATTTCTCGAGAAGCTCCACGAAGCGAACTCCCAACCAGTATCACCCGGTAAGAACTCACTATATAGAGATATCTCCATGGCTACTAACCTTGATATTACAGAATCCTTCCTACAAGGAGCCCTAAACGAAGCCAGTTTCAACCATCTGTCCAACCCCCCGTCATCGGGACCGCAACCACCCCTAAAAGCAGTCCAAATGCTCGAGCAGTACAACCACTTCAGCAACTCATACCGCATCAAGCGCCCGAAGAGCGAGGCCAAATTCATCAGACAGTATCTCAAGAAGATAGATCACAAGGCCGCCTGGTACATCCAGATGAAGCTGCAGCAGGAATACCCCGACCTAGTTAAACCACTTCAGCGCGCGGAGACGAGTAATACGAAAGCCGTGATGATCTTTGTTGATATTAATAAGTTGTGTTGGAGTCATGTCAAGATCATAATGCGCAGGATTAACGGAAAGGAGTTGTTTAGCCTCTTGGAGGCCGAGTAGGGGGATTTGGCACGTCTATGTCGAGCAAAAGGCCCAGAACTGTGGCGATGTAGTCGGGATTTGCTATAAGCTTCTTCGGATGTAGCTGTACTATTCGGTCGAGTTTAGATCTTGTAGTTATTTTTTATTTATATAAAAAAACCCTCGCTGTCGTTAGTTAGGTAGCTACTAGATAATTGCCCCAAGAGTCATATGCCCATGACAGAAAAAAAAACATTTGCACAATCTCGTCTCTTAATACCTGGCTATTTTGCTCTACCGGATTACCAATTTTATCATGATACAATGATACGTGCCAAAATAACCCATCAGATACCGAGATCCTCCGTATCACCAGCCAGCCCTGTAGTGTCCAGGCCAGTCCACTTGTTAATCCAGCCTAGTACTTCCTTGTGCCAGACAAGCGAGTTCTCGGGTTTCAACACCCACTGGTTTACAGCAGTAGTTAGCAATCGCTCTATTGCGTCGGACGTACTAGTCATCATAGGGAAAATACTTACGTGGTTCTCATCGGGGAATATCAAAATCCGACTCGGGATGTTGTGAGTCTGGAGGGCTGATCACACACTCAGTTAGTCTACTTTTACCAATATACCCTCCCAAACCTCCTTTGCAGTAAATACGTACTATTAAAAGCAGCCAGCCCCTCCGAGATCGGTAGCCGGTAATCGAGCTCCGAGTGTATAACGAGCTGGGGGGTAGCCCAGTTCGCCGCGGACGCAGCAGGGTCCCAGCGGGCGTAGCCGTCGCGGTTCTCCCAGAGGGTGCCGCCGAAGTCGTGGGATGGGAAGAAGAGCTCTTCTGTCGACCAGTTGCTCATGGTGCTGAAGATGCCGTCGTGGCATACTAGGGCCTTGAATTTTCGGCCTAGGGGGTGGCCTTGGATCCAATCTGGAGGGGGGGCGGGGGTTAGTATTGCGAGAAAAGAAAAGAAAAGGGGAAGGGTAGGTGGCTTACTGATCATGTACCCGCCGTATGAAGCGCCTAGGGCTACGGCGTTGTTCGTGTCGATGTAGGAGATGTTATCCGAGATGTGCTCGAAGCAGTTTACCACTATAGCAGCATTCTCAGTCAGTTGCGTGTTGTGCAAAGCAGATATGTCCAGAGTGACTCCATGTCGGGTCTCTCGAGTTAAGATTCTGGGTATACTCACAATCATTATACGGCCGTCCACCCCAATCCTGCGTAATCCCATCAGTAAATTTCTGTCCGTACCCAGTACTGCCCGTCGGATTCGGCATAACCGCAACGTAGCCCTGCTCCGCGAACACAGCAGGATTCCACCTCGTGCTCCAGCTCTGCCCCCAAGCGCCCTGCGGTCCTCCGTGGATAAGGAACGCTAACGGGTACTTCTTGCTAGGGTCGAAGTTGGACGGCTTCACGACCAAGGCGTGGACTTGGTAATCGCCTGCTCCCTTAAACCAGAACTCGTCGACTTGGCTCTTCGTCAGGCCGAACGATTTCCCTTCCTTGGAGCTTGATGAAAGGAGGCCTAGTTCCTTGGATTCGGGGTCGATGATGGAGTAGGAGGAATTGTCGATGAGCGAGTTGGATGTGAGGAAGAGACTTCCGTCGCTCTGGGATAGGTTGTGGAAGTCTGTTACTGCCCCGTCCTTGGTCAACGGTTGCGGTAGCTCCTTAGCCTCTAAGGGGCTCGAAGGGAGTTTGAATAGGATCTGTCGGCCCTCTTTTTCGGCTGTCACGTATAGATCCTTGTCGTCGTTGCTCCACACAATGCCTTCCGGTCGTAGGTCCCAGCCACCCTCGCCGTCTTCCGTTTTATAAAACTCCTGCACGTTGCTTAGGTCTTTGATGTCGGGGATCAGTAATAGACGCCACTTGTCAGACTCGTACTGCCGATTCCTCATGCGCTTAAACACAACCTTAGTACCATCGTGCGAGAACACCGGGACACCGGTGTAGCCTTGCAGCGCTCCTGTCTTGACGAGTTGGGGCAGAGGGGGCTTTGTTTCAGTGAAAGTCTTGAGCGGCACATAGTAAAGGTCGGTCTTAGTCCACAGCGCAGGGTTCAGCTCCGGGTCCTTGGATACGAAGACTATTCCCTCTTTTCCGATATCATAATCACTAGAATCTCCGAAAGGCGGCACCGGGCACTCAAGTTTTGTGCCTGCTAGAGCATTTATTAGGTTCCGATCCCGCAAGCTCCAGTATTTTCCCTCTTTCTTCAGTGCTCCGTAGAAGAGCCCCTGCTTGTGTCTAGAGACGTACGAGTCCCAGTGTCGTACAAATAGACTGGTATAGACTTTGCCGGATGATAGGGGCTTCTTCTCATCTTCCGAGTTCAACAGCTTTCCTGATGATGTGGTGGGAGCCGTGGCGGCGAATGCTACGGTACCGTTACCGATATCCTTCGCCTTGATATTAGATATTGAGGTATTGAAGATGGCAACCTCATAGGGTCTAGGTGCACTTGTGAGTATAGTGTTCCGAGTATAGTTGAAGACTTATATAAGAATGAATATTTACTCTGAGCCCGGCTGAGTTGCATCTGCTACAAGGAGAGACGTCTTGTTGTCATCATTCTTTATGAAAATAAATTCGGTCTCGGAAATCCATGTTGGCTCGGTCAAAGTCGAGTTGTCAAACAACTGAGTCGACTGACGAGATTTGATATCTAGGACCTTGATGGCATAGTCCTTGGAGTGAGTCTCAAAAGAGTATTGAGAGACTGAGAAAGTATTAGCTACCTATATTCTATAATCAGGGCTTGTATAGTTAGGGATATAACTACCAGAAAATAGAGCGAGGGTGCCGGTACTGTTAGGCACGGCGGAGCTACGACGAGGGGCAGAAAGAAGCACCTCGGGGGTGAATTTGGTGGCCATAACCGTCATCTTGGATGAACGTTGGATGAACGTTGGATGAACGTTGGATGATAGTATCGAACGATGACTTGGGAGCGGGGGATTATTTCAATAGTTATATATAAAACCTGCAAGCTGCAGGTGGAATAAGTTTAAGTTACTTTCAAGTTTCAAGCACAACGCTGAAGACAACCCTCCTTGACAAATCATGTAGTTATATGTATTTCGTACTTGGGCTCCGGTTCATCAAGGTATTTACATGTATGATTGGCACTTACAAGGAGCTCCACTTACAAGTGGGTAGCATTTTAGTTATGGAGATATGGAGATACCTAGCCAGGTTAAATGAATTGTTTGTTTGACTTTCCCCCGCACGTAGGAGCGAGTATTCTTTAATTGCATAACTAGTTAGTATTGCATAGTATTGCTATTGCGTGATTCATAACCCGTCTTTGAGCCTGTTAACCAAGTATGCTTTTACAAGTCTGTACCTTCGCAACTATGCTCAGAGACACTAGGTAATATCATTATCAACATCCTGCTATTGTCTCGACTCAAATTCAACATTGGCCTACTATTCGTAAACCTAGATACTATCGGGTATCTCGACAGCAAATATAACGGCGCGAACCGTGAATCCCATCTCTTAATAAAGAAGAAAAAAAAAAGCGTATGGACATGTTTTTGCTACATTCCCAGTAAACATGCTACCTAATAAACCAACGCCGTCAAACTAGCCCTATGCCCATCCCTCGTGAACGCCGGAACCACACTAGATAATGCACAACGCTGAACGTGTTAAACCTGCAACGGCCGAGGCGGTAGTCATTTTCGTGAGGCGCCAAAGTGTGTCCGGACTTTCTTAGCTTCGCGGGAGTCGGTCTCGCTGTCCTCTGCATCCGCATCCTTGTCCTTCTTCTGAGTTCTCTTCTTGCCAGTCTTACTAGCTTTTCCGGAGCCCTTCTCGGTCGCGGACGTGGGCGTCGGCTGGTTTGATCCACTGTCCTTCTCCCTGTTTGCAAATGTTGTAGAGACGGGGGTCGGCGCGGCTGGTGTTGAGGTTGCAGACGGGGCTTCGGTATTATCAGGCTAGAAGAAGGTAAGAATGTTAGAATGAATTAGATCATCGAAGCGTAAGTAGGAGGGGAGTAGGCCCGCGAGAAATGGCAAACACGTACGTGAAGGCTATTGTAGGAAATCGAAGATCGCGACCAGATATAATCCTCGTCCTTCAACTCTCCTTGCTTGCGCTGGGCAGCAGAACTAGTCCCCTTGATGTAATTATCGAAGCCCTTGACGATGTTGCCGAAGCGGGTGTTGCTTAAGTATTTGGCCTCGAGATCGACGATACTCTGCTCTAATTGTGCCTGTCATACCAACTTTAGCCACCGTTCGTCCCCGTCAAACAGTCCCGGTAAACCCAAAGCGACTCACCAGCTGGCGCTCTTGCTGTTTCCGCTTACCTAGAAGCTCCTTGAGATTCTGCCGCTGTTTATTGTATTCCGCGAGGGCAGCCTGCCGGTCACCGTTGGCAGATCCACCGGCGCCGGGTTGGACATTTTCGGTCATTGCGATCTTGGGTTGGCAAGGCCGTTGAAATGGAAAAGGTTGAGTTATAAAAATGGTGAACTTTGGATCGTCAATCTTCTGTCATTCGAAAACGCGTATTGGCCCAGACACTTAGCCTTCCTATAATTACATAGTAGGAGTTTAAACCCTTTTTGTTTGGGCTAGCAACGGGCTAATGCGTCACTAGCCTACCATCGTTACCTAGTCGGGCTAGTGGATATTTGGGGCTGCATTGGTACATTTGTCTCCACTATTAGATTTATGGGTGTACCCAAGTATCTTATACCGAATACCATATGCACAACACTACGATAACTAAAAGCAACACATATCAGAGAACTTATCATCCTAGAATGATAATTGGAGACATATTCTATTGAGACTTTGTATTTTATAATCTAATAACTAATAATATGGCTTAAATGAGTTCGATATGTGGTGACGAGACGCCTCGTGTAGGTATTTATTCGTAAAGTAGGTACTCCTTGATGTGGTCCTGTTGGTATACGTATGAAGCAGGGAAAAGTGATTGCCTTCGAGATTTCTACTCTTAATATACTTACCTAGAAGCTAATATGATGACAACGTCTGTAACTATTACATTAGCAACTTTTTAATACACTACCGCCAAATCAACGAACCAGACTAGGATATGATGCTGCTCTCCTAGCAGCGGAAACAACGGTATGCACGGAATCTAAATCCAAGTTTGATAGTAAGTCTATTGTCTGATCATCTATCTGCTATATGATAGCCGTACTTCATGAGCTCAAACGCAAAGCATTTTTGTGACTAACCTCGAAAGCCAATTACGAAAATAAAAAACAGCCGAACCCAACATCCACGGGCTATCAAGTCTCTTAAGATGACCGAGTCTGCAAATCCTGCGAGCCTGAGAAGATTAGCCTGACCCTTTGACGTTGTCTCTACTTGAGGTGCCTCTCATCTTCTTTATGCGCTCCTTTAGAAGCTTTTCTCGTAGCTCATTGGCCTGCTGCACTGGGGACTTAGTCTGAAGAATACGAGAGTCAGTTCTCGGTCTAAATGCACAACGTGATACAAACTCCCTAAGAAGAAGGACGAACCTCATCGGCTGTCGAGGCCGCGCGGTGTCTAGGGGATTTGGGTTTGTCTTCATCTTCCGAAACATCAGCTGATCTGTTACGGGTGCGGGGGGAATCGGCAGAGTCTCTCCGCCTTCTCGAAGGGATGTCTCTAGCTTTGCTATCCTGTCCGTTTCTTCGTGGGCTTTTCCGTCGTGGTCGCCTTGTCTCATCAGACTCTGATTTGCTTGGACTTCGCGTTATGGTTCGTCTTAGCCTCCCACGGTGGCCAGGCGAGGGGCTACGACTAATAAGTTCTCGGACCGGTCTTCGTCTCGGGCTACGACTGCGTGATCGCGAGTAGGAGGATGAACGAGAACGACTCAGCCGCCGATTGTCACGGCGTGGGGGAGACCGAGAGCGACTGGGCGAGTCTGAGTATCTACGCCTCTTAGGTGCCGGCGAGCGAGATCGACTACCACCGGATCTGCTGGCGCTTGCCGGCGAAGATGTGTTTCTTCTGCGGCCGTCTCTACGGGGCCTATAACCTCTTGTTCGCCCTGTAGACCGATCTCGCTTTCCTGAAGCTCTATGGCGAGGTGGCGATCGATGTCCCCTAGAACGGTGACGAGGTGGGGTAGGTGATCGGTGACTAACTCGCCGGCTACGTCCACTAGTTGTGCTAGATGATCGGGAACGAGATACAGAGCCTCTAGACTCGGGACTCGCGGAACGGGATGCGGAGCGTCCACGTCGAGCCTCCTGCCTGCTTCCACGGCGGCTTGGGGGTACATAACGATCACGGTTGTTATGATATGAGTCCCGCTCTCGTCGTGATGGTGAGGGGGATCGGTCGCCACCTCGGCCAAAGCCTCTACCGCGACCACCGCCAAAGGCTCGATCACCACCACCACGTCTCCCACCACGCCAATTATCGCCCCGTCCACCGCGAAAACCGCGGTCGCGCCGCTCTCGATCTCGTACATCTGATAACTCACGGTCGCGACGCTCCTGGGTCTCACGTCGAATTCGTGATTCTTCAGCAGCCTTGTCGGCATCGATCTAATGATAATTAGTACACCCTAAATTTACCGAGTATGGGATAAAATAGTACCTTCTCCTGAATAAGTTCTAGCTTCTTTGCTTCCAGGAGCTCCTTGGGGACGCCCTGGGGGCTAGACTGGGCGCTCAAGCAGAGGTTCCAAAGATCTTTACAGAAGGGTGCGGTATCTTTATCGAGGAAACCGGTAAGCTGGATTTGCATGGACTTGATATCAGGCTACGGCATCCAATGTCAGCAAGGTCAACGATGCTAGCCTTGCAGCATAAGTGCACCTACATATCGGGAACCTTCGATTAAGTTAAAGCATAGCTCGGTGACGACATCATCTTCGGATCCTAATATCTCGGATATCTTGCTGGCGATCCATCTGGGAAAGTTGAGAAAATTACGGTTAGCTGTTGGGTTGCTCAAGTACGCGTGGTTGGGGAGACAAACTTCTTCATGACCTGAAGATTGACCTTTTGCATGTCAACCTTCTGATTGAATTCGGGAGGGAACTTTGTCGCTCGTAAGAGCTTCGCGTCTACGCTGCTTGCCATGGCGCGCTTCTAGTAGCTGCAACTGCGAGGCGTCGTCTGTTCAGGTGTTAGTACGCGAAATAAAGATGGAAGAATTGAATGCAGGACTAAAAAAAAATGACGTCTGGGGAAAACGCCATATGGCTGGTCTAAGCTCTAACGTTTCACTGATCGGGTTAAGGGATTTAAGAGCCTGAGCGGCAGTGCAGTGCTAACTAACAATTTGCGCGCTAGCAGCTTTCTCGGCTGTGAGCAGCTGCCGGTAACAGCTCGAAACATTGTGTGTGAGACCTGTGGGTGCTCGCCTAAAAATACTATGTAATAGCATTCCACTCTCTAGGTTAGTATAAACCTTAATATCCCTATAAGTATGTAAACGTCATGATGAGGTTTAAGAGTTACCGGCAATAGAGATAGCGACCTCTAAAATTAGGTAATTTACCGCAGCATCGGTATTTAGCAAATACTAAAGAATATAATACATAACTATAGTTATTCATTAAGATTGGTTATAAGAAATCTTGTTCTTACAGAGCTATTGTGTATTTGAAAATAGATAAATATTCCACAAGATATCAGCCGTATAACTCAACTAACTATTATACTTGTTCGTAACTTGCTCAAGCCTGTATTTTTCGAGCATTCGTCATAAGCATCCCTGGCATCTTAGCACTCGTTATAGCTATAGCCTTAACCTAGTGCATATACCTAGGCCATTAAAAACCTTAATCCAGCACCCACCCACCTGCCTCAACGGTCCCTTCCCCTAAAGTTAATTGGCCAATTCAGCTTTTTTTTCCCTTTTAAAAGCGCAAATACATGTCGGTACTTGAGCTTTAATATAAAGACATTCATTGGCTCCTTCTATCTCGGAAGCGAGTTTCTTATCAACGACTAAAATAGCAGGACCCGAGAAACGAGAATTAAAATGGATATCAGTTGTACTGCCTCTATGTGGGTAGTCTGGTACGTAGTAGTGTATCAAGGCTGTAACCCACCAACCCCAAAAATAGCCAAATCTTCACTCCTATGACGCAGATGAGCGACTTGTCATGATCAACCGAGATCATCCTAATACATCATCATCATTTCCAAAAGATGGGCGTTGATTTTCATGATATACAGTTAATCCTACTGACCGCTTAATAAGAAGGCTCACCTTGTCAATTATTGAAGTCACCCCTGTTCCCTGTTCTAAGGAATAGGTATACTCTCTTAAGTCCGATGTCTTTAGGGTCATCGGCGAGCACGTAAAATAAAACAAGGCAGGGTCGTGATAGATGTAGAGAAACGCTGAAGAGCGATAAATCATATATTCTGTGCCATTTTACCGTTATTAGCATTAAACCCCATCAATCAAAATCCACCCATAACCGTAATCATATTCCGAATCATAGTAGCCGGGCCAGTAGCAAATCGTCAATGCACACAACTCAGTAGTTTTTAGCCAGTTCATACGCCGTTTTATCCCAGGAGCACCCTTGCTCGTTTGTGTTTTCTTGTCCGCTTCCCATCGTCCGCTCGATCCTTTGTAACGCCAATGATTGATGATCATAATGCAATTGGTCATTAGAAATTTAGGGAATATTCAGTCGAGCTGTGTCGTGATCACTTTGGGTAGCTTAGCCGGTTGATTTCTTTTCGTTCGTGTTTGTGCTCGGTGACCACCTGAGTCTGCTGTTTCGCGGCGAGGGCATTGATCTTCTCGCGCGCCTTGATTAAGCCGCTGTTGTCTTGCTCCCTCAATTTAGCGCGGATTTCGTATAAGGAAAGTAGTGTAGAGGCTCTATCAATATCGGCATCCGGTCGCTATATAATTAATCAGCATTTGTGCTGCCGCGACAAACAAAGGGCGACTTTAGAAAAACGCACCTCTCCTCCAAGAGGACTGCCAGGCATAGATGGCGATGCCGAGTTTGTTCTCGTCAATGGTGGTGTAAGCATACGACGGCCAAACTTGTCCGTCATGCGACTAGCTTGGGATGTCACCCTGCCTTCGGGGACGCTTCTTGGCTGTTGCTGTAGGTGTTCCTTTCGGTCGAGCGTTCGATTGACGCTCACCAAATTTTTCGCGGCAGATTGATCTTGCTGTAGGGCAGTTTAGGTCAGTAAGAGATATTCTCGTCAATGTGTAGTCGGGGTAAATGCGACGAGAAGGAACACATACAGCAGCTTGGAGATCATTGAGATCTGCTAGCATCTGTGCCAGCTGAAGAGCTTCCATACTGTCGCGTACAATGAAGACTCTTCAAAATTGATAATATTTTTATTTTGCTAGGTGTCGTCTAAATTGAGATTTGAATCCGGGGAAAGGTAGGCTTGCGACTTCGTAGAACTTAGATTAGGCGGACAAAGTTATAAATGGCAGGTATAAAAAGGAGATTGGTCTTGTGATGATATCAAGGTGGGCTAAGGGACTTTTGCAGGGGACATGGAGAAGATGAGAGAATAAATTATTTTCGCAGTAGAGTTATTGTGGGGTACGTTTTCCCCAGGTCTGGACCCGGCCAGTCCGACGTCCAGAAGTCTTACAGTGACTCCCCCACGCTGTAAAAGTGCACCCTAGTGATATCGTAAAGTACTATGGAGTTGGAATAACTAGATGTTGATTACCTAGGTTAAGTTGATAATTACTGGGGCAAAGCCCAATAATTTTCAGTATAGCTCGCAATTACGTAATCCCATCCCACAGTACCTAGGTACCTACCTAGGTAAATAAGATGTGCAAAGTACAATACCTAACGAAGTACATACCAATCGCCAAGATACCCCGTACCGAGAGAAAGGTAGATCTTTTTTTTGGCTAGTGGGGCCTGCACTAAGGGTGTGGTCCACTATGGTCCACTATAATGTACTCGCAAGCTCCATTTGGTGCCAGGGCTTAATTAATCCCGCTAACAACGACACGAAGCTTGTCAAGAGCTAAGAGCCGAAGATCGGTAACGTTTGGAGGAATTTTGGATCGATCAGCGCCATTAACCGCCATTAACGACTCCGCATACCGTCGCCGAACCAGCTTGACGTGATAGGTATAAAACTCACACCTTCGGATCACTTGTATCTAGTACAGCTGGAACGTTCCCCCGTCAGTCATATATGTAAGTCAAGCCCATAGGATCTGAAATCTGAAATCTGAAATCGCAAACGTGCATTGCTAATTACCTAGTTATCAAAGACCATGAATGTTTTCCGTCGCGGCATGGCGTCGGTGGCTTCTTTGAAACAGGCCGGCAAGGTCGTCTGCATCGGTCGAAACTATGCGTGAGTGCGCCCACTATGTAATCATCCCGCGGCACGGGGGTGAGGCGTCGTGTTAACATTATTACATGCACACAGCGACCACATCGCCGAATTGAATTCCGCCAGGCCAAAACAGCCTTTCTTTTTTCTGAAGCCTACGTCCTCGATTTTGTTACCCGGAGCCGGTCCCGTCATCCGCCCCAAGGGTGTCGACCTTCACTATGAGGTTGAGTTGGCCTTGATCCTGGGAAAGCAAGTGAGAGATCTTGCAGCAGATGATGAGAAAGGCGCTTTTGACGCCATTGAGCGTAAGATTTTTGCAATCTCATGATTTATGGTTGATGGTTTATGGTTTATTAAATATAACTAACCAACTATCGAAGACTATGCTCTAAGTATCGACATGACGGCAAGAAACATTCAAAATGAAGCCAAGAAAAAGGGCTTGCCTTGGTCAATCGCCAAAGGCTTCGATACCTTTTTACCGATCAGCAATCTCATTTCCAAATCGGCAATTCCTAACCCTCACTCCATAGATATCTACCTTACCGTCAACGACAATGTCCAACAATCGGACAATACCGAGCTCATGCTTTTCCAGATCCCAAGGCTATTGAGCGACATCTCCAAGGTCATGACTCTTGAGGAGGGCGATATCATCCTCACTGGCACGCCGAAAGGTGTTGGGCCAGTCGTACCTGGTGATGTTATGCGAGCCGGTATCAAAGTAAATGGCAAGGAGCTCGAGGAGAGCAAGATTGAGGTCAAGGTTGAGGAATCAACTGGCGCATATGAATTTGCTGAGACATGACGTGTTCCCCAACATGAACTATCGGAATCTAGCGAGCTGATCTTCACCAATATCTCTCAGACCGCTCCAATCTGTACATATTGATGCCCAGTATACTCAAATCATGGCTTATCACAATACATGCCGCAATCTAAAAAGACCCCTTTCAAGGCCACATAAACTCCCAAGTCCCTGCATAAAAGAGAAGAGGGATCAAATCAAATGCAATTACGAGACATAACCAATCTACTCTACTACTCCCCGGGCATACCCCACCGTATATTCCGATATTGACTCGTCGGGTAGTGGAGGTTATTCGGCGTCCCATCAAGCCAATCCAATTGCTTCGACATCGTATTAACCAATCCCCCCGCGCCGCCCTTATCGCCACTGGCCTCCCAGAAGAAGGCCCCTCCAAGCCGACGCCACTTCAGGTACTGCGCCTTGTATGTCGTGCTCCGAACATCATCGTACGAGATCAGTTCCTTGGCCGCGGCGTCGTAGCTGTACGTCGCCTTGGCCACGTCGTCATAAACGACCTCGGCCCCGGGCTTCGGCAGGTCCCTGAAGTAGTACACCCCGGGCTGCGGGCCGCCCTGGCCCACGCTCGTGTAGTTCTGCCCTAGTCCGGAGGTCCCCTCGAAGGCGCGCCCGTAGAGGGGTAGCCCGAGCAGGATCTTCTGCGGGTGGATCCCTTGGCTTTCGTAGTGCTGCACGGCGGCGTCGGTGCTGAGGCGTTTCGACTCGGCGCTGCTTTCGTAGGAGAATACGTTCGCTTGGTGCCCGCTGACGGTGTCCCAGCTTCCGGAGTAGTCGTAGGCCATCAGATGCCTGTTGTTGTTAGTATTATAACCTTATATGTGTAGTACGACTGAAGGTTAAATGTAAAAAAAAAAAATAAATAAAAAAAGGCAGTATAGGACTTACCAGGAGTCGACGTATTTATTCATTGTGAACAAGTCCAAATTTTCATAGTTTTGGGGGCCGGCGGAACTTGCCACGCTGATGGTGAATTGGTACTGTACACCGTGGAGGAGTGTGTATGTATCGAATGCCTGTCTACAAGCCTGAAGCAGCTTGACGAGATTCTCTTTTTCGACATCGTTGGCGGGATACTCCCAATCAATATCGATGCCATCAAAACCCCAGTCTGTAACAAGCTTCACGGCAGAAGTCGCAAACTTGTACCTCGAAGCATCGGTTGCGGCTGCTGCCACGAACTTTGGTGAGTAGTTCCATCCTCCTATTGACAGCAGTACCTTGAGGTTACGGTTCAACTTCTTATGGATGTATAACTGCTTGACGGCGCCATAAGCGTTCGCAGTACGATTCGAGAGCGAGTCGTCTGGGTAACGCTTCTGGAGATCTACGACGGGGTCTGAAGACTTTACTGTCCCGTCTGCGTCAATATCAGCGAAGGCATAGTAGATATGCGTAAGCTCAGAGACCGGTAACTCTTGAGGATGGAAGCCCGAGTTGACGCCCCTGATATGTGTGTTAGCTATAACTTTAGTTCAGTACAGGGTTATGTTTCCTGACCAATTCGTGAAGTAGGCGCCATTCTTGAATCCCCTGAAGGGACCAGGCGGCAACGTGGGCTTTGCTGTTGGTGATGTGGTTGGGGGGGCGGTAGCGCTTGTAGTAGTATTCCCAAATGGTACTGTAGCCGACGAAAGTGAAGTCGAAGGGACGGGGATGCCTGTGGTAGAGTTCCCGGATGGAACTGAGGTCGATGATATTATGGTTGAGGGGACAGTAGCACTCGAGGTACCATTTCCAAATGGAGGAGCTGTAGTTGCTGAAGTTGGGGTAACAACGACATCAGTAGTGGTACTTCCAGGTAGAACTATAGTCGACGAGGTCGAAGGGATAAGAACACTTGTAGTAGCATTTCCAACTGGAATATCCCAGCTACTTGTGATTATTGAGCTTGAGCTTGAACTCGCCGTCGTAGTTGAATTAGTCCATGGCACCTTTATACTACTGGTCACCTTGGACGGGGCAGTCCGCTCTCCTATGCCAGATACGCAAGCCCAGAAGAGGCACTGGGCGAGTCCCCACGAAGAGATCTTCCGCATATCGACTAAGAAAGCTGACTAGAATGAGCGAACGGTCCCTCAACAGCGTTGCAACTAAACTAACCATAGGAACCAAGGCTCCAGCTCTTATATAAGAAGCCCAAGTAATGCAAGCTTGCCACTCTTCACCATCTTGGGCGTTCATCGAGCCCAGACTCTACGTGAGCCCTTCCACCGAGTTATATGGAGGCAAGCTGGTGCCATCTCAACTCATCGAACGCGTCACTCCTGAATGAAAGCTTTGCTCGTCCAATAGGACAACTTGGAGCCCAAGTTTCATGAGCACGAGCGCAAGTCATTCTGCGGGATATCGATATGACCCAGGCCTTTAGCCTGAGTGCGCAAGTAGTCGTTTTCGGTCCGTCAGAAGGGAAATTGTACAATAAAATCTCCTAAGCTACCTACCTATGGGACGTATAGTCCGTCTGGAGAGGCCACGCAATTCTACTAAAAGATTATTGGACATTTCCTTGGAAAAGCACGCTTTGACAAGATGGGGCCTGCACTGGGATGATCCGGGAAAAGAGATGAGCAGGGGGTATTGCTGTCGGTAAAAGGTTGGTTAATATCGGGCGATGATACCGTTGGTTCCCGTTGGATTGCAACGCTCGATCTGATGCAGGCACAGGCCCTTACCTGCGTAGACCATGCCCATGGTGCGCCGTTATTGTGCGAGCATGCGGTAGAAATAAGTGCTTCTCAAAATACTTCAGCTTAGATTCTAGATGGATGTTTTCTTTTCTCTTCGCAACGCTACCGTAGCAATATTGATCCAATACCAAGGACGGCCCGATAGCTTAATAATAGAAAACTTGGTACCAACGGCGAGTAATGAGATGGAATATGTGCCAAGTCTATAAACACTATTAAGGAACGTTGCGTGAATGCAGTAAGGTTGCAGGGTAGTCGTAACCAGGTACGCACGCAATTGCGGGAAGGACGTCTTACGATGAGACTCTGAAGGAGAATGGGCTGATATTACGAAGCATGAAATAGATTGTATTTGATGCTGAAGATGCGCAGATTTAATATATCGCACACAATTATCACAATCACCACAATCACCACAACCACCACAACCACCACAACTACCGCAGGTATGGATAGGACAGCATCGGGACTTGATTATCATAGCACCATTACGATATTTTCCGGTAAATATATTATGATATTACTGTCTGCTCGAAGTCCAATTATAAAAGGTATGACAAATCCCTCGTGGATGAGGCTCTTAGCTGATATTCGATGCAGTCCAGGTTATATAAATACCATAATCGTGAACTTTCACTTTCGTCTAAGATGAAGTAGACAAACACCTAAATCTTGCACTACCCGACGGCTGCATTGATTGGGTTGGGCAAGATTTTAGTTGCGGGTAGATAAGATAAGTTGCCGCAAGTCTCCAGCAAGCGGCTGACTTAACATAACGCTAGAACCAAAATACCGACTAGGTACCTAGCAGGAGTACATAAGTATACAAGCCTTGAAGTTAGTATTGCCTATTGAGAAAGAGGGTTTGTGAAGAAGAATAAAAAAACTCGAAGTTGAGAAATCGAAAGATTTATTGATGTCGTTAAACAATGGAGCAGATCACTATGAAGTACCTAACCTAGGTAGGTAATTGTTCTCGGAACTATTAGGTCTATGTACAATACATTTGTACCTCTCCGTGCTTTCTTTCCTTCAATACTCCGTCCTACCTTAGTACCTACCTAATTATATTTAACGGATAGGGTTGTGCTGTGTAACAAACACTTAAACCAATAAAAGAGAGCTTTAATTCTATCATATCTCACCTTCTCGATAGCTCTGGTCTGCTGTTAACCAACTTGGAGTGGGGAAGCTGCGCCTCGTCCCGGCCTTGAATAAGGCTCCAGGCTCCAGGCTCCAGGCTCCAGGCTCCCTCACCTCACCTCACCTCACAACAACCTACGTAGTATAGTTAATTCTCTTATGTTGCAACCGAGCGAGCTGCTCAACTACTCAATATACGCCGTCATTGTAGCAGCTTTGCAATAATGGCGAAATATAGTTACACCCGGCGAGGCTCCATCCTCACCCCGAGCGATCGGAGCGAATCCCCACCGCCAGCTTACTCGTACTATCCGGCAGGATCCAGCTCTTCGAGCCGCCGTCTGCCCTCGGAACAGACCCCGTTGCTTCAGACTAAGATTCAGTTAAGACAAGTCCATATCGACATCCCAAGACCGTCATACACGCGCATCGGAGAGTGGTTCATAGTAGTGATCCTGCTTTTCCTCACCCTTGCTACGTTTATCTATTTCATCCCGACCCTCATCGGTCTCATCAAGAGCATATTCGTAGTTCCACCCCCTCCTATTTATGCCATTGCTATTATCGGTACGTAAATAAATCCCTAGACCTACCTACCCTTTCGAAAAGGAGATAAAAATCTAATACGAACTCAAGGGGCTGGACCAGCTGGCATATCTGCGGCCCAGCACTTATACCACAAGGCCAAGGCTCGGGGCATCTACGTCAACATCACTATATTCGAGTCCGCCCCCTTAATCGGAGGCCAACTAGCTCTGAACAGTTCTACCGGCAGTCAAGTCTTCCCTTACGATGATCCCACGCAGGACCCCATCATTGCCGAAGACATCGCCGGAACCGGCTTATTATGGGGTAACCCGCTGTTTTCGAGGGCATCGGAGAAGACTCTTGGAGACGAGGTTCAGACATCCGAGGCGGGCAGTCAACGGGTCAGCTAGTAAGCCCTTCAAAGCTACCTAAAAGCTAACCATGTCAATATTAACCATCTCCAGCTTCAACGGCAACCGCGTCATCGCGCAGACCACCCGTCCCTACAGCAAAACACCATTCTTCGACTGGGCGGGGTTAATATTCCAATACGGTAGCTCCGTCTGGTCCGCCGGCGCCATGGCCAAGCAAGGCGCCGAACTAGAAGACCGCCTCGTAGACGCACCCCTAGTGCCGGACCTCGCGCAACTCTTGATCTCCCTAGGCATATACGACTACGTGAAGAAGTCCACGGGAAACGAACTCAACGACCGCGGCATCGGCGGCGGCTACGTACCCGAAGTCCTAGCCCCGGAAGTCGGCCGCATATACTCGCAGGACGTGGGAGACATCAGTGCCCTGGCACTGATGCTCGCTTCGGGCATAGAAGACACCGCAAACGCGTATGTGGGCGGCGAACTCCTCGACAGGCTGGAGATGATCGTCAGTGCGATCGGTGCGAACGTCCGAGAGTCGACGGAAGTCCGCGGCGTCAAGTACGCGCAGATCGACGAGGACGAGTCCGCTTGGCTTGTGCAATATACCACCCCGGCAGGCCGTCTGCAAGCCGAATCATTCGACAAAGTCATCATTGCCGCCCCAAAATTCGACTTGTACCGCGCTGCTTCCGCAGAAGACGTCGAGGCCGCTTCGATCCTGGCATATCACACTGTGTATATTGCGTTCTTCACGGTGCCGAGACGAATCGATGCCTACGGCGACGTGAACCAAGTCCTGTTCCTCGAGAACGCCCTTGGAGGTATCAGGGAACTATCGTTCGTGAGAGACGTCGTCCGAATTGAAGATGACGGCAGTAGCACCGTTGAATATCTGTACCGTGCTCTGGCGGACAGCGATGCCGTAGAGCCGCTGGAACAACTAAACCGGGGGATCACCTGGTTCTATCAGGAGAAGGTAAGCCTTATCAGACTAGACTATCCCGATCCGACAGAATTGATACTGACGTTTACCAGCTTGAAAACGCCTACCCCTATATGCACCCATCTAGCCGATTCCCGTCACTTAAGCTATCCGACAAAGGCCTATGGTGGACGTCGGCCATCCACACGATCGCGAGCACAGTAGACACGAGTTGTCTAGCTGGAAAAATAGCTGCGGAACAACTTGTTAATGAGTTGAAGATAAGTAAGACAAGGAGATAGGAGTTGATGATGTTCCAAACATCCAAATGCTGGATAATTAACCATGAACTACATAGTCATCAAATCACCACAAAGTATGTATGTTTTACGAAATGAGAAATGAGATTGATTCCCGTATCGCCTCTATAGATTACAGAAGTCCCGAGTACACAGGTGACGGGGTCCAAAAAACCAGATGATGCTTTTTTTCATTATCGCAAAAAACGGACTTTTTTCTCCCCATTGCCATTGCCTTTGGATCAACGCAAAGCCTGCCCAACCTATCCATTTTCGCCCCTTAGATGCTGCGCTCAATCGTACACCTGTGTCTACGTCGTCTTCCAAGATTATGGTTTACATACCAAAGATTACCTAGTCCTCATTTCATCTCACCAGAATTTCACCACCTTATTTAGCAAAGTGGAGATCGTATCCGAGCCACTTCCGTCGGAGGACTTGCTCAACGCTAAGGCTGGGGTAGCCGTAGGTCAGCGGCAGGAAGAAGTACCACCCGGCAAAGACTAAAGACAAAATGACAAGGCATGCGATCCATGCCGGGATCATACTCTGGCCGGCGAATCTCTCTCGGGCGGTGACGTGTCGCCGAGGGCCCGGGGCAGGCTTCTTGCCTGACTTGACATCCTCGTAGGACGGCTCCTCGGCGGACGGCTCGGCGTTGAAGACAAATTCAAGCAGGGAACCGACGATAAGGCATGATGCGAGATGAGCAGGGAGGTAGTGATGCAAGAAAAGCTGACGCCCCATAGTGAAGAATGGGAAATAATGCGTGGCCCACGCTAGGAAAAAGAATCCAGTAGAGTTATAAAGACGAGAACGGGTACCTTTGAATTAAGTTAGCTGCCGAATAAGGACGGGATAATGGGATTTTGACTCACGATGGTCTAGGGCATCAATGCCGCGGCGTAGAGACACCTGATCAGCACCAACGATACCGGCATAAACGGCAATCAAACTGCTGGCAATCCACCAACCGATAGGGTTACCCAGGAAGTAAATTTGCTGGCGGGTCTCATTCTGTGTCCAAAAACTGACTCCTCTCAGTAGGAATGGCCACTGGTACGGCTGGCTAGCATACGGGTGACTGCTAGTCAACTGGCTATTGTGCCAGAACATTGCACGCTGCAACTCGAACCACTTCCTAAGGAATGGTAGAGTTTTAACCTGGCGTTCTTGCTTCTGTCGGCGAGGGGAATCAGCTGGGACAGATGGAACATCCTCCACGATCCAAACGTTCGAACTAGGCGCGATCTGCTTGTTTCCGTTGATCTCCTGTTGCTTATGTCCCCACTCTGGAAGAGGCTTCGTATGTGTCCACATTGCTACCTTGCTGGGATTATGTATCAACTTGAAATGGCTGGAAACACTCTTAAACTCTTGGTTAGGTTTGCCGTGTTCGATTCTAACCTCGAAAAGGGTTTCCGCTGAACGACTTCCATACGCGTCAGCTAGAGGTACAGTAGTGAATTCCTGGTTAGTAGGGAAGTAGGGGGAGGCAACGTCATGGGATAGCAGAACTGTATCCGTCACCAAGTGTCGTAGTCTGACAAGCTCGTGGTTCTTGACGTGGTGGCCCATCTGATGATCGTCGGTAGCAGGGAGAATTTGCCAATAGTTGTTAGTATCATTGTACGGATATCCCGTCACCTGTTGGCCTTGGCTGGAAACTCGGCCATCATCGTAGCGGAGAGGGTATTTCGCGTCGTGGCTATGAAGATAAGCTTTGGTTTCTTTGTGACGTATAGTAATGGTGTCGTAGTAGTCAATGCCGATAGAATTGGCTAACATGACATTGTCAGACAACGTCTCCTGGAACTCGGGGGTCATGAAATCATCGCCAGGACCAGATCGTGTCAAGATAGCAAAATGAACCTGGAACCAGAATAGGTAAAATAGGAAAGGAATAATAATCAACCCGACAGCACGAGCACCGAAGTGGTAAGCGAACTCTCGAAGGTCTAATGCGCCACCGGGCCGTTTAATGTCGAGTAAATCCCATAAGTCGATGACGACAGCAGAGCCAATAGTGACAAAGGCAAAGAGTCCGACATACTTGGTAGAGATATCGCAAGAGAGCGCGAAGCCGGTCAGAATGAGCCATTTCCACCATTTACGGCTGAAAGACTCGTGTCTCAACTTGTAGAACTTGATATAGCATAGCAAACTGCACGCCATGGCCAATACAAGGGTGGCATCAAGTAGAATCAACCTAGTCTGACCGATGTGGGCGTTATCCAGAAGAACGAGACCAGCAGCGACGATACATGCCGGAAGACTATACCCTGACTCCCACATGATAAGGTAAGTCACCGAGACGGTCAACGAGCCAAGGAGTGCGGGCATAGAGCGAAAAGCCACGTAGGGGACCTTGTTCGCAATGTACGAATCGCCGATATTCTCGAAGTGAAAATGCCCGTCATATCCCACAAGCCATCCCATAAGGGCAAAGAGAAGCTTTCCGAACGGAGGGTGGACATCGAAGAAATAGGTTCTCTCGAGGTAAAACGAAGCGAACTAATTGGAAAAGCAGGAATAAGCTGGTGTCTTCTACATACTTTTTTTGCTTGAAGCCCAATGATTATATTTGCAAACGGTCTCTACTTACTTTACCAAAGTGAACCTCATCGAAGACGACCTCGTTCGGGTGGCTAATACCCCAAAATCTCGAAATGAAGGCAAGGACCGTGATCACAGTCAGGGCAACCTTGTGGTCCCATTCTGAGTGTTTCTTGGTAAATTTCTTGTTTGCCTTGACGAGGCTGTCGAGCTCCGAATCCAGTTCATCAGAACTGCCATTCTTCTTTTTAGAAGAACCGGGGACATTCCGCTGGCGCAGAGTGCCCTGCGGAGTGCCCTGAGGGGTTGTCGACATGGTATAAAGGAGCGCAGTATAGAAGAAATTGATGTTTAGAAACTATTCGGGCCCGGTTGTTAGTAACCTTAGGTAGGTAGGTAAGCAGGATATTCCGATGTGGGTGAACACGTCGCAGTTGACGTGTTACCGCCACATTACAAGAATTGTAGTAGATGTAGTTAGATGTAGATGTACTTACAGAAATAAAGAAAAAGGTGAGATGAAAAAAAAAGATTGCCAACCGCACGACCAATTCGTAGGCCGAAAACTGCGATTGTTGACGCCAAAGTCGTCGAGAAGGATAGAAGATGGTGATCAAGAAGAAGTGTTCAAAAAGTCGGCCCTCATTAAAATCTTACTTAACGCAGGGGAAGCTTCAGTCGCGCAGGCGTGCGTGTGTTCCACTCTATACTACCATGTCGGTACCTACCATAGTAATATGACGGCCGGGGGTACAGTGGCATTGTATGTATTGTACCTTGCCTAGGTACCTATGCCTAGCTGGGCGGATAGGGGGTTATCAAGTTAATTTTGGACACTTGGCAACACCTAAGCCTCACGCCTCCTTTTTTTCTCACGGTGGGCTGAGTCGTAGTGAAGAAATAAAGCTTGTGCCGAAACCGATCTCTTACGGATATTTTATCGATAACCGATCACCGATCACCGATCACCGATCTCATCTATCTATTCGTTCTACGTGCAACGTTTACGAACATCGATACCGAAAGGTGCAAACAGCAACTTTTCTACATGCGTCGGATTACCTGCATGTACATTACTTACATAAATACATGGAGCTGGAATATCTGATGTATAAATGTAGATAAGCTTAGGTACCTGTTATGTATGTACAATACCTAAATAAGTCTAAGTAGGGCTGCCTAGCGCTACTCTAACCTCATCAAAGATCAAAGGTTACGTACAAGTGTCTCATTTACATGTATGTACCACCTAGAGGCCTTCCCACTTAGAAACGTGCTCACGTAGTACGGAGCTTGGCAACTTCCCCCCATCAAGATCCGGGACGCCGAAGTGCGGAGAGGACTGCGCGCCCTAGATTAAACAACTACAGCCTATAAATCTCCACTCATTAAGAACGATTACCAAGGCATCAATCCGGTTATTATTTCATATTCTAGTCTATATTTTAGTCTAGCTATGCCCGTAGTTCTTCGAGCATCTCCAATTCGAGCACTTCTCTCATCTACAGTCCGTCGCAGCTTGATTCCAGCTTCGCGAACGCCTTTTGTCTTCCGAGCTTCAACCCCTACCCCTATCCCTATCCGCACCATGTCTGACCTCACACCCGTCTTCTCCAAGGACGCAGCTCCTCGTAGGTGAAAATAACATAATACTAAAAAGCAATGTGAATAATGGCTGACATACTATATTATATATAGTTGCTGGACCTTACGTATGAATAAGACGGGTCCCAATATATAATTCGCTCAGAGAGCTAACTAGCCATCATAGTCCCATGCCATCAAGACACCAACTGCCATTTACTGCTCTGGTCAGATTCCCTGCGACGTCAATGGCAACCTTGTAGAAGGCACCATTGGCGAGAAGACGGCAGTCTGCATCTCCAACCTGAAGGCCGTCCTCATAGCCGCCGGTTCCTCCATCGAGAGGGTCGTCAAGGTCAACGTCTTCTTAGCTGATATGTCGCTGTTCGCCGACATGAACAAGGAGTACGAGAAGTGGTTTACCCACAAGCCCGCCCGCAGCTGCGTGGCCGTCAAGCAGCTGCCCAAGGCCGTCGATGTTGAGATTGAGTGCATTGCTCTCCCGTAGGAATCGAAAGCTTGACCTGAATACATTAGTTGCATTCGCCTAAAATAAGCTAGGCGTCGCCGTGATCTCAAGGGGTATGAGTCACACTAGCTATCTAGACAGAGTCATGTCACTGAGAGATAGAAAGGAAATAAAATTGAAGATATTTCAACCAAACTAGGCCCTAACGCTCTTTATTGGCGATTTTCTCGATATATTCACTCTACTTTGTCGGTAATGTGAAGGCTAATCCGAGGAGGTATATGCACCATACGTACCTGCCAGATAGGTATCTTGGTCATCGTAAGGGATGTTGCCCGGCTCACTTCCCCTTCATCCTCCTCGACCGTAGAGAGGTCTAACGTCACCGGGGGATTAGGGGAGCCCACCTCCAAGTCCCCATACGCATGCGGCAAGTCCCTACAGGCCCCAGCTTCACTAACAGGCGACATCGGCCGATCGGTACTAAACGAAAACGTTGACATGTCGAAATCAGGCTCGACAGCGGATGTTCCGAGGAGACCGCTAGGCTTTCTCACCGGCTCCCTCGGCTTTCTTGGCTGTAGTGAAGGTAACCTTGAAATGTTAAGTCTATTCCAGTCGGTGGACTTACTGAAATTGTACGCGATTCTGCCTGTGAGACCATATTTGGCCACGACTTCGGCCTGCTTGCAGATCTGATAAAGTTGCTTGACCGAGCGGATGGTTGGCTCGCGCAGTACGAGCTCGACTTCCTTTGTGCCTTTCGCCTTGGGACGTCAACGCATTTGATTTTCTACGCGGTCACGTTTGTCGAATAGCCTCGCTAGATCGAATGGTGAGCCGGAATGAAGATAGATGAGCGTTTCTGCCATGCCGTAATTCTGTGGTATGTAGTCCATTGATATGGTATGGGTGCCATGTGGGCTATTCTCTTCCTCGAACGACGAAGTATTCTCATGTTTCCCGTTCTTTGTATTGTCTTGACTTTTCTCCTCGCACCCCTTTCGGACCAGTAACTTTTTTATAGTCTTCATTTGGATACTTGTCTCCTTTATGCTATATGTAGTGTTTAAATTTGTAATTCATGGTATAGATCACAGCTTTAACTCATGCAGTGACAACTTCATTACCAGACAGGACGCTTGCTTCTGGCTGTTCGAAAACGATGAGTAAGGCAACAAATGTTTGCTACTCTTCCTGGTCAAACATCTAACGATGTTCTATTATACTTCCTGTATTAGTTATCGTCTTTCTCGAAGATTATCGTGTTTAGGCAAAGGGGGAATTCAACCTACCTACCAAATTCACTCCTCTTTAGATGGGTACCTATTCCAATGACCTCTAGTATTGATATATTTATTGAAAACGTGCGATAAATACGTGTTGTGATTATGAACTAGAACAGATTTCCACTGCTAAGTCAATATCAATTAAACTCTTAACAAGAAACTTACTTGTAAGTACTATGGGTAATAGTCTATTCAACTGGGGGAAAGGCTACGTACGTATCGCAATATATGAATTGATGATGTCTCGAGATACAGTGACTGGTTAAGTTATGTATCAGCACGATAGCTGCAGATCGATAGTGTCCGGTGATAAATCGGCAACATATTCGTCATGTATAAATTAGAATAGAGAATTGACATTGTTCACATATGAACCGGTTGTTCGTTCGTAGCATATAATCGTGAGTCCCGGTCAATGCTATTGTCAATTGCTTCTGAGCAGATGATTCAATAAAGAGCGCTTTTACGAAAATATCAGTCTACTTGTCTCAGTGTCACAGTGATTCTCCTAAAGTCACAAAGACATAACAAGCGAGAGGACAAAGAACAGCCGCTCAATAGAGTAAGGGGTCACTCCTGTTGACTCATATAAACACATCACAAGCGCATTCATACCGTGAGAAAGGTCTTGTCCGATCGTACCTTCTTATTCTATTTAATTTCCACTCTACTGGAACTGCCAAAGCAGTGTCTAGCATTGTTTACTGGTAGAACAACAGTAACACTTTTTCAAGCTATCTGGTATAGCATTTCGATTCTTGCCTCCTATTTCTCAGTTCCGATAAGAACGCTCCAGAAACACCGAACTATTACCAAGTATAATTAGCAGAAACATCACCATGTGTTTAGGTATATGTCCCGATGACTATGATAACCACAGGCCCCAGCGACAGCGACGGGATGAGCGTGCTCTTCCACCACGTTACGAACGTTCTCCACGTCAGGAAGCTACCCGTGCAGCTCAGAATTACGGGTGGCCGCGCGACCATAGTATGAGTAGCTCCTATAATTATGGGCAACCTGGGAATAGGGACTCGCACGTCGAGCCCGAACTTATGGAAGCTTTCGTCAGTCTCCCGGGTAGCGACTTGCGTCGCGTGTATGACCCGGAGCGCTCTCGACAATCATCTACCCGGGATCAGTACTATAGACAGCCTTCCCAGTACCAGTACCAATACCAATACCCCAACCAGCCTAGCCACGCCGCCATATCGGAACACTCCCGGTTGAAGAGCGTCCCGGGCGGGAGAGTAGAAGTCCATCGGGACAACCTGCACCGGTACGGAAGTATGCATGGGAGCGTTCATAGAGTGGTCCGTGAACAACCTAGGACATCCGAGACCATGAAAATGAAACCGTACCGGCACCAACAGACATCCCGGGGTATACGTCGGGGTTCTGTAGATAGTAACGGGGTTAGCGATATTTCTAGCGACGACGACGACGACGACGACAACGACAACGACAACGACAGGAGAAGACTTGCCTATACCCCCTCGCCGTTAGCTCAGAGGGGCAATGATCTTTACTCCCGTACGGGATATGGCTATGGACGCCGAGGCGCGTTCTAGAGTAATGCCGCGCGCTTAAGTATTGTGAGTCTTCCCAATAGTACACACAGCTCCCGGCTATATAGAGAAGATATCACTATCACTATACCCAGGCACGAGCATCGAAACAAGAAATGCCTGTTTTAGCGAGCATACATCCCTAGGTAGATAATGGATACGATGGTTCGTTTTTCCCACGCTTAATTAGACTAGAGACATGTCGCTTGGCTTTGCTCACCGACGACGATGATGATCTACAGGTGAGCAACAGCGAGGAGGAACCTGGGGTTTAGAGCTAGGTACATATCGTAGTATATCCATTTGCCATGACATGGCTACCTGTTAATTTGATCTTGAATTCGTACATGAGTTTTATTCGGTAGCGATCTGTAAAACATCTGCCTTCCCCTAGTGCTCTCATCCCATGTCAACGTGATACTACATGATAGTGAATTTGCGCGTTCGAGTTACGTATTTCATGACGAGAGATCTGAATGGAGATAATAGACGCAGCTCAGGCACCGATATTCTACATTGACGCGCAGGTGTGGTGGAAGGCATCTAGATTCGGGATGATTCTATTGGTTGATGTGATCGTCGTTATGGGTCGTCAAGATTGACCAATTGATAGGGCTGACGACCATAGATAGACGACTTTGATGATATAACGTTATGGATGCAACGATGCGACGATGGTACGTGTCAATCAATGGTTGCCAAGGTGAGGGGGTGAAGACCCTTTGAGACCCTTTGAGACCCTTTAAATCTATCACATTTGCAGGAACTGCAGGACTGGTGAATCTGCAGACTAGGTTAATGAGTTGCGGTGGGGGATTTGCTGCATGAGATAAAAACCAATGCCTGTACATATGTAAGCTCCCGAGATGAATGAATGAGTCAACGGAGAATGCTGCGGTGTCAACACTCTATTCGGTCCCGCTAATTTCGATAATGCGATTCCTCCATTCAGGGGGTTTCCCTCGTTTACTTAAACATTACCAGGTATGTGCATATGTACTACGTATGTAGGTAAGCACTTATGAACCTTGTTTGCTTCAAGTTCTGCAACGTCTACTTAGGTACTCCAGTGCTTCTTGCAGCACAGAGAAGTACCCAGAGGTATACTAGCCTTAATTGTGGAGATTCCTGATTGGAAGAAATGATGGAAAGAAAAGATGCAGGCGGTGCTGTCCTTGTTCATGTGCTCCGCTGAATCGATAAGGAAGATCAAATCAATTATCAATCCGCACCTTTCTAAAGACAGGAATGACCAATCTCGCAGATGCGATTTATAGGAGATAATACCCAGTCCATAATACGCGAGTCTTGAATTTCGCATCTGCGCAAAACACCCCTACGACCCCTATGTACGAGAAGATCCGAAAGGGACGCGGACGGAATTTTGCAACTGACATTATTACCGGTCAAACACTCTACAATAAAGCTATAAATTGACGTCACAAGGGTAGCAATAAAGTAGCCGGTCGGGGCAATTAAACAAAACATGCTCGAGCCGGATAGACTGGATACTTTTAGGCCGGCACCGAAGCTTTGTATATATGTGTTAGTAAAAAAAATAAGAAAAGGGGTCCTCGGACAATTAGCAGCGCAACTAACGATTGATTAAGAGCCTAAGGCGATTTGTTCTTTTCACAATCAACCGATATGAACACATGCTCAATCCGAGTTTATCGACGTTTCTTGCTTTCTTGTGAATCGTCATACGACATGGGAATCTTCCTCCGTCTGTGGAAGGAATGGTGGCTACGGAAGAGCGTGGAACCACTCGGTTCTTATGTACGTTAGGTATGTACAGAGTATTACTGTAGTATTATTGTGCGCATCAGGTATTAATAATAAAGCATTCCAAGGCTTAGCGCGAGTCCAACACAGCTTGTAGATCCTGCAGGGCCAGCGATGCTAATCATTCCCTCTATGCATGATACCTATCTTCAACCTTTCTTCTTCCGATCTCTGTTCTTACTTGTCGGCGTGTTCCACAACTTCACATATGTACATACACGAATGAATATGGTAGATTGGTATCTGTTTGGTATGAACCGTAAGAGGTGATTCCTTATACGTGTCCCTCTATTGTAGTATTTACACATGTAGTTCATATGTAGTAATAGTCGAAACGTGGGTAGGATGTTAGATTTGGCAAGTGGCATGATGTATGATGTATGATGTATGTATGAGAGACAATTCTGGATCTTTGGCCAGGAACATTGAACGTTAGAATATGAACCATGCTGCCATGGAGGTAGTGTAAGCGAACTATGAATTAACTATGGATTGAGAAACGGGTCGCGTCCGCATATCCGGTTTAGCGCGAGGCGTAGATAAACCTACCTAACTTATCTGCGTACATATATAGGCGCAGCAGCTGAGTTACATCTGCCCTAAAAGTACTCTAGGACTTTTAGCGAGTATTCCATGTTAGTGCGGAAGTGACGGAAATGTTAGTGAACTATTAGCGTTAGAGCATATCTTAGTGGGTACTACCTGGGTACTACCTAACCACTACTTTTAGAACCATCAAACTCGACTTTGGACTTGGTTTGGGAACTTGACATGGGTGGTCCTTGACAAGCCCTTGACAGTCCCCATAGAAGACGGCTGCTGCCTAAATATCTCCATCCTTTTCACAACGACTTCCCATCATCTCAAACCCCCAAGAGCCCTTACCCTTCTTCGACTCTTCGTCCTCGTCCGGCGCCTCTTTTCCTCGACCAAGCGACTAAAGTGTTCTTGCGCAGCAGACTTATTAACAATTCATCTGTCATATCTCTCTAAGGCTACCATATTTTGTCCCATCGTGTCCCATCGTGTCCTATCGTGTCCTCTTTTATCTTGTCCTATCTGTTACACCGGCTACGTAAGTTAGCTTATGAAGAACGAGCCATCTGCTCTGCTCAAATTGGCAAAATTTTGCCTATTTCTCGACTCATTTTGTCTTATTTTCCGCGAAACGCGCATCGGTACATATAGTCCTTCTATCTTTCTACGCATGAGCTCATCCGTTCCGTGAACCCGCTACTCGTGTAAGAAATGTCCTGTCCTATCCTCGGAGTGTTCTTCTAGCCCTACCACATATATATTTCGCTTTCCCGTCTCGTCCGATGCCCATCGATTGACCAATGTCAAGCTGGCAATTGCGATATCTTTTTCACTCCTCAGGCCATCCGAGACTCGGTGTGGGAGAGGACCCTTGTGACTCATATGACTGCTCAGCCTTTTGGTGCATAACTGTGCTAACCGGTACCGTGGTCTTTACAGAGTTCAGAGCAACGATACCATCGATCGCCTCTCGCCTATCATAAATCTGTTCCCCACTCCCGTTATACCGAGTCATCATGTCCTTCTCCAACCCTCGAAGGACCCCGGTGACTCGCCCGGACTCAGGTTTTGGCAATGGTCTAACCGTTAAGACGAACCTAACCCTACGGAAGGGAGCAACCTTCCATTCTCCTGTCACTCCTCCGACTAGTCCACATGCTGCTGCTCCATTTAGAGTACCCTCGTTACCTCGACGCTCTCAGACCAGTCTTGATGATGTTGTCGATGCTCATGTTCGTCGTGCTGCCTTAAACATTGGTAAATTCGAGGTGACCCTGTCGGCTATGAAGGCCGAGCCGTTATCTCCTATAAGCCCCTTCTCGGACGACTGTCTTCCTATCCCTAGAGGTTTCCTGGACAACACCCTAGTAGGAGACACGATGTCCGAGGCTCCGACTGCTTTCGAACCGGAGCGAAGGACGTTACGTCCTCGCAGCCGTCGCTCTTCTCACCACCACGAGTCTGATAGTGGGTTGGGAACATCCATTGCGTCCACAAATCAGAAGCGGAAGGAGGCCAAGTCTTCTGGTACTGGCGTTTCAGCTATAACAAGGTCGGCCACGGCCTCCAAATCTCAGAATATTCAACGTCTTAGCTCGCGTGCTAGGAACCGCATCTCTGAGCATATCCTGAAACCGCTACTGGGTGAACCTTCACTCAAGGAGTTTCATTCCATTGTCCTTGACTGTCCCAGAAGGATCCAGGAGGACCAGATCGTTTGTCTCAGGGACCTCGAGAAGACACTTATCTTTATGGCACCAGTGAGTCAATTAATGAAAGACCCTAGCGTATGTGGAGTTACTTATCGTTGGTTGTGCTTGAAGGAGACCGCAAAGTCTGTTGAACTATATCGCGACTTCTGCCTCACTTCGATTCGATGCATCCAAGCTACTGTCGAATACCTTAGCGACCGAGAACAAACGCGACCTCACGATCGACCTTACAACAGCGGCTACTTTATCGATCTTGTGGAACAAATTCGCCAACACGCGCAACAGATGCAAGAGGCCCGCAAGAGACAGGACGCTGGAGAGGAGCTAGACGAGATGGATGTTGACCCGTATGATGCCTGCCATGACCCTAGTAGTTGCCCATATGCTAACCTGTCGGAAAGAACTGACGAAGTAAAACTTGTTGGTGGTCTTACAACCAACGGTCGACCAGCGGAGCTAGTCCGCGTAAAGAAGAATGGCAAGGCTATCTCCATAGCTACCGGAAAGCCTATTGAGGACCTTGAGGAAGAAGTAACAGGCCCAATCCGATTTAAGCGTTCAATGAGCGAGCAGGCCGAGGACGAAGAAGAAATTATGCGATCCATGGCTCGCCGAAAGAAGAACGCTTCGCCGGAGGAGCTCGCTCCTAAAAAGTGTGCCTACCCGGGTTGCAGTAAGGAATTCAAGCGACCCTGTGATCTGACAAAGCATGAAAAGACGCACTCTCGTCCTTGGAAGTGTCCTATTCCTACTTGCAAATACCACGATTATGGTTGGCCTACCGAGAAGGAAATGGACCGACATGTCAACGATAAGCATTCGGCAGCTCCTCCCATGTTCGAGTGCCATTTCAAGCCGTGCCCATATAAGTCCAAGCGTGAATCCAATTGCAAGCAGCATATGGAGAAAGCGCACGGCTGGACATACGTTAGGACCAAGACCAATGGTCAGAAGAAATCAAGCAAAGCTGGCAGTTCTGCCCAACCTACACCTCTGATTAAGAGCTTGCCCACCCCGAGCAGCGAGCAAACGGACCTCGTGATGACACCACCTGAAGATCCTCTATTTGGTCAATACAACAACGACCATGAGTTCCCGACCTATCCGTCAGATCAGGAGTTCAATGCTAGCTTATATGAACACCAACCGTTTGACAGTGACATCCAACTGGAATATTCCCCGGTTGACAACAACACGCCTTCTAGTGCCGAATCTGACCAGTTCAACACTTTCGAAGACCTGAGCCCCGAGTTCACTGGCCAATTCGAAGACATCTATGGTGCCCATGTACAAATACCTACACCGACGCACTCAGTTTATAACAAAGATATTGGTGCTTTTGCAAACTTCACAGCGCAGACCTGCCAACAGTTTTCCATGCCGCAGCTCTCAACTGTCGGCCAGGGTAATCAACTCATGCTGACGCCGCCGACTATGGTGGACGAGGGCTTTGAAGACTTTCAGCCTTGTCACAACCAGTTTGGCCAGGACTTCGCCCTGTTCCCTCCTAGCACGATGGATAAGTCGGGTGATTTTACTCTTTTTGGAACTATCCCACCCAGTCTTGCTGCTGGTTATAGTCAACCATCTTCTCAAGATTTTAACATTGAATATCCATCTATGGATTGGACAGCATCAGACTTCCAAGGCTTTCCGTCCAGCTAGTTGTTTTCAACTAGTAGCGGCATTTGGGCCGATTGTTGGATAAATGTCAATTTTGGTGACTTGTGTGTGCTCTGCATACATTCTTGTCAAGCTGGTTTTATGCAAACTCTTGATGATATTACGATGATAACGAGTCGTGTATTTTTGGAGCGAATTTAGGGGAGGGTTGATCCCAGAATGCCTTAGTGGTTGAAGAATACGGCATATGTGCTGAGGATTTAGGGTTAGATAGACAGCGCTCTGCTTGTTACGCCCTGTGTACAGATTCATATTATTTTGCATCGAGTTTAGCTTTGCTGATATGTCTGCGGATGTTTTTGATATGGCAAGGAGCGATCTCTGAAACAACTTAGCTCGGGAATTTTGCAGTTTTAGTTGCAGAGATGTACGGAGACAGAGAGAGAGGCATCTCCAATAATGAGAAAAAAAATTCATTTACATACCTCTCATTTGATCGTTATAAAGCGACTGGTTTATTTATTTCTACAATTGCCAATCCCCGTTCTATGATAGGAAAATACCTCCTGATGGGTTAATTTGGTACAGTTAATCGAACTAGTGGAGTCATGCCCAGGCCGTCTGTCCGTCGGTTGGCAAACGACCCGCTTTTTATTTTAGACCAGTTCATCCATGTCGAAATTTATTTGCAAAGGGGTTTTTTTTTCTTCTTTTGCTTCTGCTCTTTACATCTTCCATCTCGACGATGCGAACTTTCATCCTCCACCGTCTCGTACTTTTTAATCTAGGTAGGTAGGAGAACTCATTCCTCGCTTCAGCCATAGGTAAGCCTTCTATTTTTATTTTATTTTTTTTTAACGTGCTGTTTGCCATGTAGCTATACATATTTATTTATGTACACCGCCGCCATTGCTATGATGACCCCGACACCGCAAGTGTCGAACCTTACCTCTCAAATTAGGAAGAGCCGTATGAGACCGTCTCCGGGGGCGGGCGACTTTTTTTCTTCTTCTCTTTTCTCCTTAGGGAGGGAGGGAGGGGGGAAGGCTGGCGTCTGCTCTCCTTGGCTGAACCGTGCGTGTTCCCGCGTTCTGCCTGCCGGCCGTATGGGCGCCGCGCGTGCATCGACACGTGCTGCCGCGGTTTTTTTGCCCGGTGTCGGTGGGTGGGCGTGGGAGCGCTGCGGCGAGGTGGGGATGTGTTATGCTTAGATTATTGGTTTCTGATGCCTTGGCGGGCTTTGTGCATGATTTCCTGGGTTGTTTGAGTTGGTTCTTGGAGACTTGGAGCTAACCTCATGATTCTAGTATTTTACTGTTGGTACCTTTTTGTGGTGAGGCAGGTGGATGAGAACGGATTGGACGGAAATTCTGGGTCGGACTACTGTTGACTCGTAGGAATAGGAGAGGGGGTTAGGTTAGGTTACGTAGTCTCAATCAACCTCTTATATATATATATATGGTATTTTAGGTAGTTAATGATAGGTATTGACCTAGTCTATGTTAACTTGGATTCGAACCTCAAACTCCCTGCTTCTATGATACTATTCCCTTTTTGCCGGCCGAAAAAATGATGGTCCTATTACCAGAGATTTCGTGAACGCCGTAGACCGCACTACACTTGGATATACAACGATCGACTCTAAACATTCGATCAATTTAACCAGTAAAGACGCGCCGTTTGTTAGGCCTTAATATCCTTTATCCAGTCCGCGTGTGCGATATTCTCCTGGGAATCCTTGACCATGAAACTGCAGGCCGTGGTAAGCTTAATACGAGATATAAGCACAGAGAATCGGGAACCAGCTAACTTACTTGTACCATAGTATGGTAGGGCCGATGGTGCCTAGATGCCATAGGCTATGTGCGTCCAGGGCTCCCCACAACGGTGGGAAGTCCAGCAGCTCCAAGCCCATCACCGTCATGATCCACGCGACGGCGATACCAGGCCAGATTGCCCACGATCTGTGGGTCGCGGACCACTTCTTCAAACTGAAATAGCTCCAGAGACTATTTTGTATCAAGCCCACAATTACGTTGGCGGCCATATTATACGTATAGTTCCAGCGCCACAGCTTTAGGTATGCGACGTGCGCGGCATATAAAGCGCAACAGGCGACAGTCCAAATCCGCAGAAGGCTACGGCGGCGGTACGTGGGACGGTCGAGACGGAAAACGCGGATCGGGGTGTAGTACAAGCCGTAGAGGACGCCAGCGCCGGCAGCGAAGTAATCGAGTTGCTCGGTGAAGCGGAAGTCGCGGGTGTGGAAGATGGCGCTGAAGATCCAAGTCGCAATACCGAAATACGCGAACATCTCGTAATACCAGCGCAGCGGGTACGCCGCCGGGATCGACCCGCGCACCTTGATCAACCCATTATGATGCGCTATCAGGTTGCCCAGGCTAAACAGTACCGAGAAGGGCTCCTGCATCCCGAGAAAGCGCACGAACGGCCATTTCCCATGGAACTGCGTTACTGGTTTGCCCGCGGCCACGCGACGCTGCGTCACAATGTGTTGGCACGTGTAGTCGCATTCCTGGGGGCAGGTCCAGAAGAGGAGGCGAAGGTGGAGGGCTACGAGAAGCGGAGAAGCTCTAATGTTAGCCCAGACAGTTTAGAGGCGCGGTTCGCGGTTCGCGGTTCGAGCTTCTCGCGGTGAGAGGTATAGCTAGGCTAGGTACATACGGATGTGGGTAGGGTTATTATTCGGATCGCAATTCTCACGGGCGCAGACCTATATATTTATTTAACGGACACCGTCCGTGTTAGTCAACTTTTTCTTACGTAGATCGACCGTGCCGACGATCCGGGCCCTCCAGCCAAGTCGGCACGCCATAGCCGTAGCCCACGCAAAAGAACGTATAAGACACGTAGGAGGGTTAGGTATTCATTTATACACGAACCTTGACGCATTCCCGGAACTCGGGTAGCCGATCGCCGGTGGAAGCTTCGGCGGTGCTCCATAGCAAGCAAACGGCGACGACGAGGAGGGTCAGTAGCGATTCTGGGCGAGGCATCTTGAGTCAGACTGCATTGGGTCTGTTTGGGGGGGGAGGAGCAAGAGAACTGGAGAATGCGAAACGACAAAACTCTCGGGTTTCCCAAGCAGCCCGGATGATAAATCTGTCCTAGGCAGCCGGGACGGGCCTGTCAGGTTTTCTGATTGGGCGCCTTGCTGGCGGTGGATGCGAGTGCGAACTGAGGGATGGGTTTTTAGGGGGTTTCGCGGTGGGGTTGGGGGGGGAGCATAGCGCCGCAGAAAACAAGATAAACCCCCTAATGGCTAACGGGCAGAACGGGTCAGTGGAAGGTAGATCGTCATAGCGCGATTATACATGCATAGCGCGATTGAAACGTCGCTGGTGGAAACCGGTCCCGCCAAGAATAGCAATTGACGTATTGACGTCTTGTATCGGTACCCCGGATTCTTGGCTGTGATTTGGTGCATCATACGTACCGGTAACTTCCCTACCTAGGTAGGTTTTATCGACTTTTTTCTTCAGCGACCTTCCTTTTCAATGAAACCCCAGGGTAGCTTCCTCGAGCTTTGCTAATACAATGCGATTCTTCCCTTGTTGTTATTTAAAGCTTACATGTACCTAGGTTAAGGTATTAGCTCGAAACCCCTCTAGTTAATAACTACCTACATAATTGGCATATTAACAATTGACTTTGTATAACTACCAAATAACCAAATAACAATCAAACAATACCAAAGCTATGCGCTTCATATTAGCAAACGAATTGATTTATGATATATCGAGAACCACACATTCAACCTGCCAATGCTATACTTATGCGACAGTTCGCATCTCTACAATGAGGATCCAAACGTCCATACGAGGAACAACTATAGAGTAAACACATTTGATATTTACTACTTGGTAGTCACGGCAAAGTAATGGTCTAGATTAGGCCTGTTGAAGCTTATGAGCTGCAATTTCTACTATTTCGGTATCTCATATTACCCATTACTCGGAAGACTTCCCTCCGCGGGCCATTACAACACCGTCTGGTGGTTTATACTAACTACCTACCTACGTTTATATGTCAAAGTTCGCCGTACTTCATTTCTCTGATTTAACTGTTCAACCATGTTCTGCTTTTCTAACTAACTAACTAGATCAAATTCATACTAAAGAAATGAAGTTGTCTCTGGTTCTTCTGTGGGCGGCAAGCGCTCTTGCCTCCCCTCTCCGCCGGAGCGCTGCAAGGTTATCTCCGGTCACGCGCAATGGGACCAGTCTTTTGGTTGACGGGAAGGTCTGGAAAATGGTTGGGCCAAATGTCTACTGGCTAGGCCTCGATGAAAATGTGATACCTCCAGCTGGGGAGCCGTTCTATGCTCCTACCAAAGCCAGCTACCCTACCAAAGAGCGTATTACCGAGGTGATGGCAACCGTACAAGCTCTGGGAGGCACTATGATTCGCGGGCATACCTTGGGTATTAGTACCGGGAACCCCCTGAGTGTTGTACCCGAACCGGGAGTAGTCAACGAAAGAGCCTTCGACCCAATCGACTGGGCCGTCTATCAAGCAGGTGTATACGGTATCAGGCTACTAATACCGTTGGTGGATAACTATGTCAGCTCATATATCAGAGAACCTGGAGCGACTATAAGCTCATATCTCGATAGGACTATTATCACGGAGGAAAATACAACTTCCTTCGTTGGGCAGGTTTCGACCTAAACCAAAGTCGGGATGAGAAGAACCCTCTAGTTCAGCAATTCTACACCAATACCACCATCGTCTCTACCTTTAAGGACTACATTAGGACGATTATAACCCACAGAAACCAGTACAATAACCTTACCTTTGCTGAAGATCCTACAATCTTCGCATACGAGACGGGGAACGAGCTCCTCGGTCCCGTATGGGGTGATATGAACTCGCCAGCGGACTGGGTCCAGGACATCGCCAAGCATGTTAAGAGTCTTGCTCCGCAGAAGCTAGTAGGTATGTGAATATACATCCTTATATGTATCTCGATAACTCATACTCCTATATTCATTCCCTACAATCCTGCCTCTTTCTTATAACTCCTTGCACTGGACCACTAATCCTAAAAAATTAAACTAATCCACATAGTCGACGGAACTTACGGCATCAACAAAACCCACCTAAGTATCGAAGAAATCGACATATTCTCCGACCACATGTACCCCGTCGACACGGCCAAACTAGAAGCCGATATCAAACTCGTTGAAGCTGCTGGGCGCCCGTTCTTCGCCGGTGAGTACGACTGGGTCGGTGGCAACACCGCCAACCTTCAGTCCATGTTCAAGATCATCGAGGAGAATCCTGCCGTTGCGGGTGATACTTTCTGGAGCCAATTTGGCCACAATGCCCCCGACTGCAAAGTAAGTATTTTCTTAAACTATTCTACACCTAGGTATTATTATCATCGTAAGAAATAGTGCTGAGTTTGTTACAGACCTACGTGGACCACAGCGACGGTCTCGCGCTTCAATATGGCAACCCGAAGAACACGGCGAATCAGAACAGCCGCATCCAGCTTATACGAAAGCACTTCATCGCCATGAGCCAGGGCAAGGAGATTGCGCCGGATGAGCCTTTGCCTGAGGTGCCGTGCCCGGCCCCTACGTCGCCATCGTTCCGTTAGGGAACCACCTTTGGCCTATGGCTACTAGGACGACGAGGAGAGCTCGTATTGGGCGGGCACTAATCCAAACTGTTAGTTTAAAGGGGGGCTTTTGTATCCACATAGTCACGGATTTGAAAGAAGTATAAAAAACCACTGCACTTATGACAAACCCCAGGAATATTTATATGATCTCGGATCTTGGAGCAACCTAGCCAGGGAAATCATTTCCCCCAGCGTAAGAAGTAATGATATAAGCCCATCGCCCCTAGCTAAGACAGGCGGCGCGACATGCAAAAAATATATATATATCAAAACATCAAAAAAAAAACCAATATCTGCGACTTATCATTCAGCTATAGCTATTTTCGTAAGGTATGTTCATAATACGTAAGAGCCCGCATCCTTAGCCTTAGCTTCTTAACGACCCCTCCTAAGACCCTTCACCAATTTTTGAGACCCCCGAACTTGTCAATGATACATCGTTCTTCCATCGTGTATCCCTACCTACTATCAAATAGAACTCATACGAGCCACTAGCCTCCGTATGCTTTCACTATAGCGGCGACCTTGTTCGCGAGCTCGTCGGCCTCGGATCTCGTAGCCGCCTCCGCGTACACCCTGCATGCGTTCTCTGTCCCGCTAGCTCTGGCGAAGGAGCGGGCGTTGGTGTACTTCTTCACGACCTTGTCGATTTCGTCTTGACAGTGTTCCGGGTGGCTAAGTTTTCGCTCTGCGTCTGTTGTTCGGAAGAGGTCCTTGTTACCGACTTCGACGCGGACGAGACGGTTAGGAAGATCCTGGTACGTCATGGCCCAGTCTCTTAGCGACCACCCCTTGTGTGCCAAGATAACTTCCACCATGAGCATATCCGATATCGCATCTCCAACGGTCTGGTTAATGAGATCTCCGAGGGCGCTGAGAGTCTCGAGAGCGTCCTTCTGTGCGGGCGACTGGGGCTCCTTGGTCTTGAATACCTGTAGGGCATCTTGAGAGAAGAGGACGGTACCGTGACCGTTTGCCTCGAAGTATACACCAATATCATACGAGCAAGCGGCGTGGTGAAGGTGCTTGACACCTGTAGGCGTACAGATCACAGGAATCTGTAGGTGTTGCTCGACATATTTTGTGCTTGATCCGTTAGCGTAAGCGGTCTGGACTAGACCGATACGAAGCTGTCCCTCCAGGCCAGCAGTACGGATAAGGTCTGCAATGAACGATGCAGCCAATGTCGCAATGCGATCTCCGTCAAGCATGAAGAAGCCAGTATCCGGGTCGATCCAATAATACATGAGACGGTCCGCATCACCGTCTAGAGAGCACCACCTCTCACCAGGGGCGGGCTTGGGGCTTGCCGGTGCTCGCTGTCTGGTCTTGACGAAGTCGGCACCGCAGTCCAGGTTCAAGACTTCCGGACGCAGGACATCATCGTTGGCAACCCTAACCTCCAGGCCCGTCTTCGAAGAGTCGTGATGCTTGAGGAGCTCACTAAGCTTCGGGCCACCAACACCATTGGCACAGTCGACAGATAGCTTCCCAGAGACCCGTCGCCCGCGGAGTGCGCGGTAGAAAGCTTCGACAAGCTTCTTGTAGTACCCGGTCTCGCTGACCTCACCATATGAGCCAGGGGTTCCGGCAGTATTGATACAACGGGTTAGATAGTGGAGCTGGGGGGTCGTGAGGATCTTGAAGTCGGTATATTCGGTATTTGTAGCAGCTAGAGAGTCGGCAAGAGCTGTAACGAGTGTCTTCCCCGAAGGGCGAGTGTCTCGACCGGCGATGACCTTGCCGGAGGAGGTCAGGTCGATCTTGAGGGAGTCGGCTAGCTTGTAGAAGTAATCGACAAGCTCTTCGTGGCTTGGGGCGTTGACGAGGTTCGTAGCATGTACTTCCCACTCTTGCTCGAGCATATCTCCCATGGGATCAACAATCTTCACACCGTTATCCACAGCAGGATTGTGACTAGCGGTGATCATTACACCGATCGTTTGGCCGTTGAGTTTACGACTCCGGAGAGCAGAGAGGAGTCCAACTCGGAAGGTGACGCCATCTAGAAGGTCGGCATTCATACGAAAGCCTGCAGTGCCATATTTGTACACCCTTCCAGGGACTATATTGTGCTTCTTCGAAGCGGCGAGGATTGCGTCTCGGTCCATCTTCGGAGGAGCTAATATTCAGTCTCGAGATGCGATACACAGTTGATATTGATAAGGTATCTTTTTTTTGTTGTGGGATTTGGGGTTTAGGATTGTTAAATCAACTAACTACCTGTTATAAATGCAAGAGACGGAACTTGAGATGGGGTTAAGGGTTTAAATATAAGGGACCAAGGAGTTGGTTACCTTAATTTATAGAAATATGTACGAAGCTAGAAAAGTCCAAGTTGTTAAGATGAACATCGAAAGTATCGAACGAGTAGCGAGTAGCCTAATACGAGGTACACATGTAGTAACCCCTCCTCTCCGTCACTAAACTTAAGTAGGTACTCACCACTAAGTACATAGTGGTATGGCCCCGCGCTATGTACCTAAAGAGAATCTGACGTTACCTCCCAAGCTGCAGGGTTAAGAACCAGTCAGAGAGCTAGTCAGAGCGTAGCTAGGTACCTAGTACCAATAAGGTGGGGCCGAGTAATGGCTCATGAGCTCCAAGCTGAAAAGGCACCTCTCAGCCCCTGCAACCTTACCGAGCTTTGCTTCCCCTTACATTCTACTATTACCTTATTAGACATCGCTTGCAGCACCTTATTTGTAGAGTATTTTATTGGTTATGGTCACCTGATTTCGCGATTGGCGTTTCTTCCTTTAACGCGCTCAAGTCGCGTCTATCTCCTTAGATTATAATACTCAATTGACATCGCCCTCAACGACGGAAATGCCATCTAATGAGCCTTGCGCTAACCCTCTCCTCCTAGGATGGATGGAAGAATGGATTACAAACGCTCGGGACCAAAATTCGAAGGGACTTTTGACTTATAAGAAGGCATATACGTCCCTCAAGAGATGCCCGGTAACCTTCCAACATCCTTCTCAATTGCAACAATTAAAATGGTTTGGTACAACGTTGTGTAATCGCTTGACCGAAAAATTGAAGAAGCACTGCGAGGATAATGGATTGCCTATGCCTAAGCGTCCAAGGCAGTCTATCATTCCTGGCTTAGTTAACCAGGATGACGAAGAAGATAATGCACCAGAAAGACCACCTAAGAGACGAAGGACGAAGCCTTATGTACCAACTCTCAGGTCTGGCGCTTATGCCATCATTATAGGTTTGGCAACGCTTGAGGAAGGTGATCGTAATGGAATGACAAAGCAACGGTTAATCGAGGCGGCTCAACCTCATTGCGATGCCTCTTTTACCGCTCCTTCTGATCCAAAAAGCTACTACACGGCTTGGAAGTCTATGACGACCCTTGTCGAAAAGGACCTCGTCTATGAACGCGGTAGACCAACTAGAAGGTACCATTTGACCGAGGAGGGATGGGACGTAGCACGACGGATTCAACAAACAACAAACCCTGATCAACCTAGACCAGCTGCGCCAAGAGCAGAACTAGATCTTCAACCGGTTGAACCTGCTCCTCTCCCACGACTTGCCAATAGGTCTCCATCCCTGGAAATACAAGATCCGCCCAGGAATGAATCTAGCTATTCCAATGTCGTCGCTAATGGCGATCCGGCATCAGGAAGTTCAGCTTTACCGAATTTTAGGCCAATTCGTCTTGCTCCTGGATCCTTTGAGGTGCATTTGGTATTAGACACGCGTGAGATCCGGGCAATGTCTGATAGAGACTACAGTAAGTAATATTCTGGTTCGATACTTATCACACCATCCAGGTCGAGAGCATCAACCCCAGTTTTCTAAACAAGACGCCTCGTTTGTCGAGCCTAGAAACCGACTACTGACCTAAATCACCTCAGTGCAAAATGAACTGGCCAAGAAAGGCATTAACCCAATAATGCGTGCTCTGGAACTGGGTGACGCCCTCTGGGTGGCCAGATGTCACGATGCAAACTTCCTTCCTCGACTTGGCGCCGAGGGAGATGAAATCGTGCTCGATTATATCGTGGAGAGAAAACGGCTTGATGACTTGATTGGAAGTATCAAAGACGGCCGTTTCCACGAACAAAAGTTTCGCCTAAAACGATCCGGCATTAAGAACGTCGTTTACATCGTCGAAGAGGTCTCTATGGATTCGGAAACGCTGGAAAAACGTGCAGAAATGGTGCAGTCCGCTATTGGGTCGACACAGGTGGTTAACGGCTTCTTTGTGAAAAAGACGCAGAAGATGGATGATACTATCCGATATCTCACGCGGATGACTATGCTGCTAAAGAAGCAATACGAAAGCAAACCACTACTCGTCATCCCCACCGAAATCCTTACCGCGCAGAACTATCTCCCACTGCTTGAGCATCTTCGACAGAAGGAGCCCACCACAGGGCATTATATCACCTACCCAGCATTCGCATCTTTGGCGTCGAAGTCAGACATGATGACGCTGCGGGATCTGTATCTAAAGATGCTGATGTGCACCAGACAGGTCTCTGGAGAGAAAGCGCTCGAGATCCAAAAGAGATGGAAGACACCTTACGAATTCGTAAAGGCTTTCGAGGACTGTGGCGGCGGGGAACAGGGCAAGAAGCGCAAACGCGAGATGGTCTTTGAGCAGATGGGGGGCCTGTTTGGACGCAAGAGGATTCCGAAGCCGCTCAGCCAGAAAATTGCCGACGTTTGGACCGACATGTAAACCTGACAATTGCCGTGTCGAATCCGAATTTGGAGTCAATGACTTGGTACACTGAAGCGCCATTCTTCATTGTCAGTATCTAGGTAGACAACACCCCAGCTTATTATCCATATCGGTTACTGGCTTGACGTGTATATCAGATGGTATGGTGGTCCTTGATTATTCTTCGATGCGAATATGTCACGGCATCGGAAATGGATATATCCTCGACTTGAGCATTTACAGTCAGCCTATAGTAAAGCAAAGCATCCCAGCGTTCTTAAGTCCGTTAACCAATATCCGTTTAGATCATGTAGACGTAGATGACATTGAACCCCCTTTTTCGTTCTTTTTTCCGTCATCAGATAGATCACCCCCTCCGTCTTGATACTTGAACTAGTCATTGACCTCGAACTAATTTCACCTAACACCCGTACCCTTAACACCTCTCTCTCTCCCGCCCCCCCCTCCTCTCACGAATGCGCCCCCATAGCCTGCGCCACCAAACTGCGCACCACCTCCTCCAGCATGGGCTTAACCAACAACTCGCCCTGCGCGCCCAAGTACCCCGCCATGCTCTTCTCCGCGTACTTGGCCAGCACGTCCACCTCCAAGTTGACCGAGTCCCCCGCCGCCTTCCGCGCCAGCACCACCTTCTCCTGCGTGTACGCGATGAGCATCACCTCGAACCAGCCCTCGGCGTCGTCCACCCGCGTCACCGTCAGGCTCGTCCCGTCCACCGCCACGTACCCCTTGTGCACCACGTACTTGAGCGCCTCCAGCGTCCGCGGCGCCAGCCGCACCGTCAGCGCGTTGCCGTCCGGCGTCACCGACACCACGTCCGCCGTAGTATCCACGTGGCCCTGGACGAAGTGCCCGCCCATGCGCGTGTCGGCGCGCACCGCGCGCTCGAGGTTGACCGGCGAGTCTTGGGCCAGGTCGCCCAGGTTCGTCAGCCGCAGGGTTTCGGGCGCGATGCCGACTGTGAAGGACGGCTGGCCGCCGCCGTTGTTGTTGTTGCCCGTGGCGCTGAGGTTGGTCGCGGTTAGACACACGCCGTTGACGGAGATGCTGTCGCCGAGGAGAGCGCCCTCGAGCAGCTTGGAGGACGCGGGCAGCGCGATGGTGAGGGATGTGCCGCCTGTTTCGTCGTGGGGGTTAAGCTCGGCGACGACTGCGGAGAGCGTGGGATACGTTAGCCACTTCTCTATCTTAATCTCAATCTCAATCTCAATCCCAATTTCCTCTCTTCAACCAACACCTAGTAAAAACCACAATATAAATAGATATATATATATATATATATATATAAATACTCACCGCCAATCTCCTCGACTAATCCCGTAAACATGGTTCCTAATTACTGTCGTCGGCTTAGGGGGTCTTGTAAGGGGAGAGACTAGGTTAAGGATTATGACTGTTCTGCTTGTCGCAAGAATGACGTTGTTCTTCTTAGCTTTCCACCCCGCTATCACATGTCCGATAGGTCAATGATAGACGGAATATGTTCCGCGCTAGACAAGGACCCTTAACTGCTTAATTAGTAAGAGGAAATTACTAATCGGCATTTTATACTTCTGAGTGTCTTACGGAGAAGTATTAATTAATAATACTCATTCGGGTGAATAATAATCAAATTATAATCACGATTTACGGTAATACAATATCCATCAAGTAGGTATGTATTTACGACTACCTGAGCGGTGATCCTGACTGACCCATCAACCTCTCAATCGTCACCTTCTGTAGAGTGACGTCTCAAGGGACGTGTAGGAGTTACTGTCTATCGTAATCTTCATCAGTCGTCAACTATGACCCATGTCATACAATTATCCCGAATATAGTTCCATTTCCTCGCAGATGGCAATTCCTCTTCCCTCTTGACCCGAGGAGAATAACTTTTATGCCTTCCAACGCCGTACAAACCCTGTTCACCATGCCATGCCATGATGCAAGGCCATCGAATTGATGCTTTGCAGCTTGTCGTCTTCTTCGCAGATTTGCAGAGTTGCAGACCCTGTCTACTAGTCGAGGACTGGCCAGCCCGAGTCCTGTTAAGCTGCAAGACACTGTAATACGAGACGTGCCCTTCAAAGATTCATCCCCTCTAGCACATCTTATATTCGCAAGCACCGTCGGCAAACCGAGTGCTATCTTGAGTCTCTAGGTGGTAATCGATCTTGATGTCTAGGTCACGTCGGTTCTTGTCGTTAGGCTTGACGTCCAACTTGAAGCTAATCTCTTCTCCTTGCTGCACCGTCAAGACCTGGTTTAGGTAGAAGACGGTTTGCTTCCAATGGGTGTACTTAGTGTGGGGACCAGTTGAGAAGCGGACGGGCTTATGGCATGCCGTAAAGTCGATATCGAACCATGCCACAAGAGCATGTATGAAGTCGTCACGTCGAGACGTCAACTTAAAGGGTATGGCGAAGGCAAGATCAGCTGTTGTGCAGGTGTAGAGATCAAGAGTCAAGACTGCGACGGGGTCTGTTACGGCCGCCTTGATTTCTACCGTATCAACGAGAGGCTCGGCCAGGGCAGTCTTCTTCAGAGGGGTGTAATCAAACCCGTAGACGTTATCCCAGACTGCAACTAGTTAGCTTACTTGTAATAGAGATTTTGCGGCACAGAACTTACATCCAATCTTCTCGTCCTTATATTCGCCATCCTCAATACCGCAGGCGAAGATGGTGGCCTTGTCCGGGAAGATCAAACCGTCCTTCTCGAGGAACTTGTCGCGGGCGTACAAGACAGTGTCAAGCATGCTCTCGTAGAGGAGGAAATAGCCCATCCATTCCGAGATGATAATGTCGACCTTGGGGAAGGGCAGCTCGATTTCTTCCATCTTGCCCTGAATGAGGGTGATCCTGTCTTCCATGCCATTGACCTTGACAATCTCCCTGGCCTTGAAGATGATGGTTGACATGTCAACACCGATTACGTGCTTGGCTCCAGCTTTGACAGCGAACCTAATCGAAAGGACGGCGTATTAGTTTGACAGGGCTAGAGTTGCTATATGGGTTATAGTAGCTCACATGGAGAGGATGGCTGTTCCACAACCCACGTCAAGAACAACCTTATCCTTGAAGAGGTGCTTGTTCTGCACGATGGCATTCATGTAGGATCTTGTGCGGACTTCGTCTTTCTGCACAAAGCAACAATGCATCGTTAGCTAAGCTGTAGTTCTGAGGGTAGACTTGGCTCTACGAATTTAGAGTACGCACCAGCATTTCCTCGTGAATTCCTGAATTGCGCAAGATTCATATTAGCAAATTATCCTTCCAAATGCCTCAAGTAGAAGTAGCAATAGATAATAGATGCATACCGTGGTGATTGTAGCTGTTGTGCGACAAGCATTAGCAGGAGCCTTATCGCGGGGAGTATATCGATCGCTGTCTCAGGATTCTAAGATTCCAGAATCCAGCGACACGCACAAGAAACTAACCTGTTGAAATAATGCTGCTCAGAGTGAGCCATACTCTTGAGCTGCTGTTCAGCAGCTTCAACGTCCATCTTATCGGCAGCCATCGTTCGGAATGAAGATGTGAATGGACCGAAGTTGAGGTTGGAAGTATGAAATAATGAAGATTGGGCCGGACGACACCAAGTAGTAAGGTAGGTAACTATATTTTTTTTTCTTTTCTTTTCCTGCTTCTGGGAACCCGCTGCAGCGCAACTAAAAACTGTACCTAGTACAATACAACGGATCTAGACTTACCTAAATGATACCCCACCTTTCGCTCTTTTCACTGTCTACGCGCCTAACGCGTTCACCCTTCTGCCGCCTGCAAAAATTACCCCACCGGGATGGATAAACAATGCGCCTATCAGATATAGGTTATATACGAGGTAGCCTGTAGTACATAAGTACCTAAGGTATGTACCTATTTCAGGGGTTAAGGTTAGCGAATCTTCACCCGCCAGACCAGTAGGAACAATCTTCATTGTCTAAACCAATCAGGACTTTTATAGTTTAAAAAAGATTGTTCTCTAACCCAGCTGATTCATACCTGTCTTGGAAGATAATATGTCCAAATATGACTTATCAACAGGCTGTTTCACACACTTAATTAAACCAGCTATCGAGGTAAGACATTGAATTGACTAGGTAACGATATACATCTGATTATAGCCAACGATATCCCATTCCCCGGTATCAGTATTCAGCGTGACATTCGTCGGATTAGTCTTACCTCCCCTCACTGCAATACAACTGATTAGTAGGTTACCCTTAAGAAATTGCAAGGAAAGCGAGTAAAAGACAAGAAAAGCAAGAAAAGCAAGAGACGAGACCAAAAGGAGGCACTTACAAAACCCTGCCTCAACACTCCCCCCACCAACCGGCCTTGCAAGCCTATTCTCGCCCGCCAACACCGTGAAATTCGCCAGCGGTAGATCCCACACGTTCCGTGATGCCACGCTCGGCGACCCGTAATACCGGGCGTCTAGTTTGTCGGGGGTTACCGATAGCAGGAAGTAGCCGCGGTAGTACCCGTCCTGCCACTGGAGCACCGAGTTGTTGCCCACGCGATACTCGGCCTCGGTTCGGCCGGGCGCAATCAACCCGCTAAACCCGGTAGAGCTGACGGCTGTTCCGGCGAATTCGACGCCGACGGAGCCTTCGCCGGTGGTTGAGTCGTAGGGCTTCTCGTCTAGCCAGGCCAGGTCTGATACCCAGCTTTGATGGCTGTCGCCCGCAAGGAAGATGGTGTTGGTGATTTTGTTGTCGTAAAGGTGCTTCAGTGTCCGGTTCCTGTTTGCTTGGTACCCCTGAAAGTGTTATATCAGAATCAAGACCCAACAGTGCTCCTTGTCGTAGGTAAATTCCAACTTACATTCCAGTTATCACCACCGTAACCGTAAGACTCGACGATGTGCGAGAATACGATCTGATTACCGATTATTCGCCAAGTCGCACCTCGGCCCTGAGACTTGGACAGTTGGTTATAAAACCAGTTCTCCTGGTGCGAACCCATCAGTGTTCGCGAGGCGTCATTCCGTATGAGGTCGATATAGTTATCATTCCAGTCTTTACTCAGTTAACCGGAACTCTCGACTGTTGCTTGTTCTTCGGGGAATACCGATACTTACCAAGAGAAGTAATGCTTCGATCATAGTTCCGAGTATCGAGTACGATGAAATCCAAGACTATATCGTCAATAGTTAGCATGACGAAAAGGGGTCAGAATTGGGGCTTGGAACTACATACGGTTTCCCATCTGAAAGTTCCTCCATATCCTCAGGTTATCGTCGAGGTCTACCTGGCTTTAGAAATATTAGCGAAACGTCAACTTACGACCTTAGATCATCATATACTCACCGAATAGGCATCCACTCGAAATAAGCTCTCACAGCATTCATCTTCCGCTGGTCTACGCTGACACCACCATCCTTACGAAAGGAATCTTCGGTGTTGTTCAAAGCGCTGGACCCATCCCGGTACCCGTTATTCGAGACCTCTACACGAACAGTCAGATAGCCCCAATAACCTACCCATATCTCACTCATCCACTTACCGTGGTCGTCCCAGGTCGCTATCCAGGCAAAGTTCTGGGAGGCAAGTTGAAGATCCGGATCCGTACGATACTATTTATTTATTATGTCAACCTTCCAAGCCCAATTCGATAGCTCGAAGTAATACACACCTGCCCGTGGCGAGTCCTATAGTCATGCAGACTAAACAGATACTTGGGTGGCGCGTGAGCTCGCTCGCCCTTTGCGTTGCCTTCGTATATGTAGTCGCCGAGATGAACCTATTCATATTAACACGCGAGCAACAAATTGCCTAGCTTCTACACTTACTATATAATCCTGCTCATCCTTCCGCGCCGCGTTCCCGTAGGCATTAAAATAGCCATTCGCTTCCAATCCGTCAGCAGGACCCCTATCCAGACAAACACCAAGGTAAAATACTCACGATAATTACTGCAAGAAAAGACCGCAAACTTCAGCTCCGGAACATCAACATCCGCCAACGGCGCAGTCTTCGTCCGTCCAACGGGACTCGTCTTGCTCGACCCGCAGATGGTAAACTGGTAGTTATACGTAGTAAACGGCTGCAGCCCCGCAGCCTCGACCTACACGCCCATTAGCCCGCATTCCCAACCCAACGAGGAGACCTCCGCAATAACCTTCACCGTATAATCAATATCACTAGTCGTATACGCATCCCCCGCAGCCACCACACCCCCCTCATCCCCATCCCCATCCCCATCCCCAGTCTCATTCAGCCAAACCCTCCACTCCACACAAACGGGGCTAGCATCCGCATCGATATAAACCTGCGTCTCGTGGCTATACAGCGGCACCGGCCCCTCCACCGTGACATTGCTCCCGTCCGAGTCCCGCGACGGCGCAACCCGGGTCCACAGCACCACGTTGTCGGCGTACGGGTCGCCAGACGCCACGCCGTGCGTGAAGTCCAGTTCTTCCGGTGCGAGCGCCGCGGCGCCGCGCTTCAGGCTGCGCCGCGACACGTGCGGGACGTCGATCCCGAGGCTGGCGTGGCGACGCGAGGGGCTCGCGAAGTTCAGGTTGCCGTCGAAGCTCGCGCCTGCGAGGGGGAGCAGAAGCTCGGCCGCGAGACTGAGCGCGAGGATCTTGTTCATCGTCGTGGTTGGGTGGATGGCTTCGGTCTTTGGATAAGTTCTAAGCTTAGCATGACACACAACTTTAGTAACTTGGAACTTGATTATGTATGTTATGTCTAAAGATCAACTGAAACTATATGTTTATGCTTTACCTATGCTTTATACTTTATTCTATCGATGTACCATGTGCTCATACCTAGGTACCTGCCTCTTCTCACGAGCTGCCAGCTGTGCGTGTAAGCCATGTGGGGTATATACATACACATACATGCAACCAAGGAACTTTACCGCAGCAGCTTCGATGGCCTGGCATCGAGAACGGAAGGTCAAATCGATAGTCGGTGCAGACGCTCCAATAAGCAAAGGTAACTACGATGGCGCAGGACGGTGCTACCTTGAGCCTCGTACAAGAACGTGTGTAATGGCGCCCTTCCTATTGGCCAGGACTCGTTGCTCTTATGCAGCTTCTTTGATCCCCGCTGGGCTTGAGAAAGGCGCGAAGTTGTCATAATTCGGTGCTTGCCGAATCAGCAGTGCGTAGGTATTGAAGGTAACGGGACTAATTACAGTCCGGGCTTACTTTCCAAGACAGAGCCGCATAGTCTTATATGTATGAGTGTATGAGGGTATGTGAATATATGAATAATGACTATTCACCGAGAAGTATAAAATTAGATAGCTACTAACTTAGAAACATCTGGGTATAGTCTAAGTAAGACATTACCATTATCAACACTTATTTAGAAAAATACCAGTGCGATTCATCACCAACTCAACTAACCACACCACCTCTCGTGCGGTTCTCTCCAGCGAACGCCAAGGATCTCGAAGATCTTCTTCTCGTCTCGCCCCTCGAGCAGCGTTCCTTCGTTCACCTTAGTATTCCCCTGTCCTCGTGGGACATTCCCAAACAACCCTCTCTGGTTTAGCCGCATGCCCTTCTTCTGTGCCAACAGCCGTATTGACCTATTGAATATGTCGTTTCCGGTGAAGTAGATAAGTGCTGCGCCGAGCTCGGTCCGGGGCACAAGTAGAATGTCTATACGTCTCCATATAGGGCGATATTCACTTTGAGGACCAGGGAACGCACTCTCTGGCAGCACACAGCAACCGTGCCATTTACTACCACCGTCGGTATCGTCGCCGTTACCATGATGAGCGGCAAGCGCAACAGTCAAAAAGCCTTCGCGGGACAATGTATCGACTAGCTGGTTCAGAAACGGAGCTAATTGGCTTGTAGAAGACGTGCCCTTTTTGGTCACGATCAGGTCAATATCGCCGGAACTATCAGCTCCCCGCCGATAGCTGCCTCCGATAATCAACTCTACGTTGCGATCAATGGCCGCGGCTGTGTCTTTAACACAATCAGCTAAAGCCTCCACCTCCCGTCGTGGAATTCGGGTATTCAAATCGTCAAAGTGTTCTAACCCGATTTTCTGGTTGGTATTCAGATCGGCTTTGTTCTTTAGGTCGTCTAGCGTCCGAAAGCCTTGGGCAACCCACTTGTGAGCCTGAATCTGGCCTACGCCATAGATCTGTAGAAACAAGCCTATGATCTTCCTTCGAGGGTCATCAAGCGCATACTCGAGTTGTCTTAGTCGGTTCGTAGTGACAATCTCCTCGATCTTGTCTGCAATTCGACCAATATTAGGCAGGCCGCGTGCTTCTTCAGCGGTACTTATCTTCTTTGATTGCATTCGTAAGGTTGCGATAGCTAACCTATAAGCTCTAATACGGAAATTATCACCGGTAAGAGTATGCTGATCTAGCATCTCCTGGAGAACCTTGATCGTCTCCGCGTTGGGATTACTGTCCGTATGGTCCTTAGTCCCGCCCTTCATGCAAATGAATTTTTCTTGCCAAGGGTTTTTGCCCTTAGAATGGCCAGTGCTGCTCCTGGTTCTCCTTTTCCACGGTCTCCTATCATCCGAGCTGCTAGAGTCTGAGAGAACCTCAACTTCATCTGTTAATGGCGGCCCAGCAGGATCATCGTTATCCATTAACGAATCACTAAATAGGTCGCTATTACCCGTGGCTTTCATCTCAGATATACACTGTGTGAGTTCATCATCCACACCAGTCTCAATTGCCTGCTTTGAAGGTGGTGCCTCATTTTGTGCATGCGCTGGTTGGGCATTACCTGTGGCGCTTTTATTTCGTTGCCTCTTGGAAGATGAAATCAAGGCAGCACTTCTCTGAGAAGAGCTCTGGCTATACGACTGGGTGCTTAACACAGGCGAACGATATCGTCTCGCCGACTTCCTGCGGCTTGGCTTTAACTCGAGCGAGGCATCATCATTGTCTAAACGTGACAGTTCTGTTTTGTCTGCTGGTTTCTCAGCAGGCGTTGGGGTCCCAGAAACCTTATATTGGCTCTGGTTAGGATTTGCAATTATGCGGTGCTTAAGGCAGTCAATGGGGTAATTTTCATTGACAAGCACCTTTTCTGACCACCTGGGGTCATCTTGCAGCTGCCTCTCTATATCCGTATAGGTAAGCTTTTTATCGACAATTATATGAGTCGCTTCGTCTAGCTTCCTGCACCACCTATATGATGATATTCAGTTAGCCGACCCGTGTGTGATTATTTCGGATACTTGCTTCTAACCGCCGGGATAGGTCTATTAGAACGGATACTTACGTAGCACCATGTTCCCGAGCTTTCCTGATCTGCAATCTGCGCGCCGGGTTGATATCGTCATTAGGGATGTAAAAAAATAAGAGGTCTTTGAAAATTCGGCGTGCCTCAGGGGCCAGTTTCAGGGGTGCTTCCTTCTTGCGTTTTCCCATCCTAACAGAGGGTGAAGGATCACTTTTAGGGCTAGAATGTATGGTGAGAAGACTTGAGCGCATAGAACGTGTTGTGCGACGCGGTGGCTGTCTAGCAGCTGCAGATGCAGTCTCAGGCACAGTCTTGTTACTAACAGAGATGCTTGCCTGTAGGCTTAGACCGCCGGTTCTTGGCTCATTACATCGGGGAGTAACAGCAATGATTTCTACATCGGGATCGCTATTGCTATGAATAGGGTCTGACGCCAATTCCATAGGAGCAGCACCGACTCCCCTTAGCGCAGTAGGTGAACCATTCTTGGAAGTGGTTGGCGCAACGGAGTAAAAGGCTTTGGTTTTCTGCCTGTATGCCTCCTCATCAGCGCCCAAGATATCATCCTCTCCATCATCATCGTCATCATTCGTATATGCTTCGAGGCGTTCAAAGAATGCGACCTTTTCCTCTAGCTGGTTCTCCATCGAGTTGACGGGAAGAAAAACGGAGTATTGTTGAGGTCCGTTTCGGTGTTCCACGTAAGAAGACGCATTTTATGAGTGTTGAGTGCTTCACCGGATTTGTACTTGCTGCAACTCGACAAATTCATCCGGTAGGCATCAGCTACTAGGCGCATACATGTAATCACTGATTGACTGTCTTAAGTTTGTTGATTGGTAAATTCAAGATGCAATTGAAAGGCAAAGCTAAAATCCCTTGATTTGCTTAGTACGCCCCTCAGTTGCGTATTTAGACACATTAGGTACATATAATATACCCACTTTAACGAGCTAACTATTCGTGAAATCAAGTACCCCACATGTATCATTAATTCCCAGAGGCATGTACCTCCATATTTCGTAGGCGGACCATATGTAAGACTCGGGCTTCTGATCATCATGATTTTCCACATTTCAACTACATGAGAAAATTATGTATGTCTTAGACTTATTAAGTATTTCCATACCCACCACAGTCGACATGGAGCAAGCGAATGTAAGCTACTATGTAAATACTGATATCAGGGGTATATATGTAATCAACCGTTCTACGCACACATTGCATTGAATTCCACAACGCCTCCCTAGAAACTACATGAGCGAGCGAGACATTAGTCGCCAGTCAATACCCTAGTTTTTCCATACACGTAGTCCCAAATACATAGTAAACCCAAGATCTCATCGTACAAACCAAGCCCCTTATGATGGTATAGGTGACTGCGACTGCTGTCCAGCGTACATACGCGGATCCATCAGGGGAATGCTGTTTTTCTCTCGAGGGTCGAAGGAAGTCCCGGCGTCTGCAGAGTACCGGCTATTTGCTTCTCCTTCAATATCGTTTAACAACTCCCGAGTAATCTCCACGTAGTCGTATGCAAATTCACCGATCTCCGCGTCGTCGATACCTAATATTTCGGCGTTCTCGGTTGTTCGTAGTTGGAGACCCGGGATCAGGTTCAAGACGAAGCAAATTATACATGTGCCGGCGAACGAGTAGCAACCTCCGCAGATGGAATCGGCTAGTTGGTATGCCAGCTGGATCCAGTGGTGATTTATCCAGCCGCCCTGAATTTGTGTGTAGCCATCGAGGTGAGCGATGTAGTCGGCGGCGAAGAAACCCGTGCAAATATTTCCTACGAAACCGCCAACAGCATGCACGGCAAAAATATCCAAGGCGTCGTCGATCCGCAGGACAAACTTGAGCTTAGTAGCGTAGTTGGCAAAGCCGGCCCCGAGAATTCCGTAAATAACTGCGGCCCAGGCGGGAACGAAACCTTTAAAGGGTTAGAGGTATCTTCGCAATACATAGTTATGCAAATTAATAACTAACCTGAACCCGGTGTGATCGCCACAAGACCCGCAACAACCCCGGAGCAGAAGCCCACCGTCGACCACTTGCCCTCTAGCCTGTAATCAAGCACACACCATGTAACGCCGCCGACACAAGCCGCTAGGTTTGTTACCACCGCGGCCATGACGGCACGCAAGTTGGCAGACAGTGCGCTACCGGCGTTGAAACCAAACCAACCGACCCATAGAAAGACCGTTCCGATGACTATGTGAGTAACATTGTGTGGTCGGTAGTTCAGTTCGTGCGTTCCGTGACCTCGTCGCTTTCCAAGCATCATCGAATCTACAAACCCACATGTCAGCAATAAGAACGTAGAAACTCCCAAATGAAGTATAGTCGATGGTGTAGACTAACATGCAAGCGCAGCTGTTCCGGAGGCGATATGGACCGGTGTACCGCCAGCAAAATCGAGGCCTCCCATCTTATTCGACCATCCAGCCGGGTTCCAAGTCCAGCAAGCGATAGGATCGTATATGATCGTGGTCCAGATAAACATGAATATGACGCACGGCAGCATCCGCCCCCTTTCAGCAACAGCGCCAGTCGCGAGCGCCACGGTGATGGCCGCGAACATGCCCTGGTAGACGGCGAAGAGCAAGTCCGGGACCTTCGCAGAGCCGACTGACGGCTGGGCCAACACATTTTTAAACCCGAAGTTGGACAAATCTCCAATGTAAGCAGATGCCGTGTGCGAGAATGTCAACGAGTAGCCCCAGAAGAACCACTGAAAGGTAGTGACGGCCGTTGCCATGACGGAGAGCCATATTAGTGATAAGGCAGATTTACGTCGAGCAAGACCAGAATAGAAGAAGCTTTAGGATTGTAAGCTAACGAACGCCCGTGGCGGATATAGGTTGGCTGTAGCGCGGTTTACTTACCCAACTCCCGGAATCATAAGCAGCACGAGAGCTGTGGACGTTATCATCCACGCGATATCACCGCTCTATGCTCGCTCGCGTATTAGAGGTCAAATGCCGGAAAAGGAGACGCGGCGAGTTCATTTACTCACCTCGTACCATATATTCAAGTCCTCCGTTAGGGAATCTCCGCCAGTAGGACCAGAACCATTATAGGGTACTTTAATGATATAGCCCAATGCGTCAAGATCGATGCCATTGAGTACGACCATTTTGTCACGTAGCCCAACGAGGGTCTCGGGAGTTGACTAGAACGAGATGATCGAAATGACTATCAGTATTACACATAAGGAGTGAAAAGGTTCAAAAGAGTGTGAACAAGTTGGATGGATGCCGTCGGGAACTTGCAGTCGAGGCGAGGTCGAGGCGAGGACTAGATCAAGTACGTCAAGTTCAGCCGTGATTTGACGGGGCCAAGACGAGGTTAATGCAAACCCCTAACCCTTCGTAGTCGAAATAAGAAGCAATTCAAAGACAAAAGTTCAAAGACAAACATTCACTCTCGTTCGAGTCAATCGATACGCTTATCAAACATGTCAAATCGAAGCATGTCAAATTGAAGCAGGGGATGCCTTACGGATAACTCCAAAAGGAACAAGAATTGAGGCTTGTGAACTGGCGGTCTCGGCCGGTGGGAAATCATTTTTTATTGATAGCAGTCCCTTGTCGTACGTAGGTAGGTATGTACAGCATAGCATGTACATACATACACGGGTGTCTGATGATAGGTATCCCATACCAGATGGGAGATTAGGAACAGCCACTCAGGCAAGGGCATGACCTGCAGGTTGCATGATCTGTGCCCGCTTCAGATCGGTGACTTACATACTGTGGCAGTAACTAGCCTGTTCGTACATAGTATGTACATGTGTATAAGCTAAGCAATAGCAGCAATAGCCAGCTATTCGATATAAGCAGGGATTCCGACATGTCCGGCAAGATTACGTACATATCTAGCCTGCTCTTGTTCTATGTAATCGAACGTTGGGCGCGAGATATAGGCTAGCCGGCCGTGACACTACATATCCAATATTAATATGTATGAGCAGCATACGGCAGCAGCAAGCTGAACTCAGTGGTGGCAACGCCCTCGATCCCATTCTCTGGTGTGAGATTCGTCACCTAGGTGTCCTATTAGAGAGACTTGGGTTTGTAATTTTTTGGATACATAGTAGACGATGAAGCAGTTGGACGCCCAAGCAGATGATCGATATTACGATATTACGATATTACACAGCAAAACAAGTAAGAAAACAAAGATAAGCAAAGAGCAGGGTTCACACCAATCGGCCTACTATTGGTATTGGGTATGTACTACGAAGTACGTAAGGCTCGCTGGTGGGGTGCAAGTGGGGAAAGAGTTCCCAGGGGCTTGGGGAAGTACATATGTACCTACCTAATGTACATAGGTGGGCAGGTGGGCAGATGGGCAGGGGGATTTAGACTTGGCTCATTCCATCTCGAGTAGGTATGTCGAGTCTGGTACAAACGATAAGGTTTATGATAAAGTGGATTGCTATCGCAGCTGTACCCCAGAAGTAGGAAGTTTTCGGTTTCCGGGTCCTCTTGTTATTGTTCCTTAGGTACTGTGGAATAATATTGGTGGTCAAAAGGATGTTGTATTAGAAAGGAATTTTAATACCCCACTTCAGTGGTGAGAAATCTTATATATGCGTTTAAGCATCGCACCTTCCAACAGTACCTGTTAAACTATATATATATATATATATATAAAAGTGCATCAAGTGATTTTACATGTAAGCCATCATTCAATATTCTTAACAAACTACCTACCTAACATACCTACCTACCTATGTATAGAGCCTGCCTTATCTCGCATCGCAAGGCGAAACGTAGCATTCCTACCGTAACTACGTAAAGTTGCAGAAGGCCTGATGCGAAGAACAAGCCGTGTCAGCTGCCTCTGCCTCGGCCAACGGTCAGCCATCGTGTTTCCAAGTCCCCCTGGTACATCTACTCCGAATCTCCCCACCCCCGCATCGGGAAGGTCGGATACCAATGGTCTATGTATGTTATGTCTAACAGAGGCCTCGCAGATCTTGGTATTGATAAGGCTAATGCTTCATGAACCATTTAACTCAGGTTAGCTTATTCCAATTGGGCGGTACTTAGTGTTGTTTATTAGTGCATTCTAGAGTTAGTCGACTGTCTTAAACATCATTCAACCTCCGAAGCGATGTTGTTATTCGGTGTAGCTCCCTCTTCAGAGGCTTCATGCCGCCGTTTAACTAAGCTCAGCCACCCAGCTAAGTAAAAGATCATCTGCAGAATTGAGACTCTGGCTACTTAATCCAACACAAGCTACTCCATTGGGCGCGAAGTCTCAATATCCCTTTTATGATAAATCTCCGGATAGCGGGCCATGAATATGTACCGCATGCATCCCCCTCATAGTGTTTCGTCGGTGTGAGACAACGGCACAAGGGCAATGTGATACAGCGCTGCGAGCACTGAGCTATTCTCAGACTCGGTAAAATTTCCGTTGCTATTCACAAACAACACGGAGCGAAATGAATTATCTTACATACCTTGACTTCGCAGTAGTGTTGCCTTTAAAGTCTAACACTATCCCCCTGAATTATATTGAGTATGCAGATATTTCAATCAACTAACCTATGTAGGTTAGACGTATGTACGCGCGCCCCTTACTAAACACTCAAGCCAACTACGTACCTACGTGTCATTACACTAAGCACCATAAGTCTGACTTGCCTAGATGAGCTAGCAGCCATCTCGACTGTCGGGTCTCGATAAAATATTTCGCGACACGGCATTAGTATATCTTCCATATCGACTACAATGAATTTATCGAGGTACCCTAGCTAGATTAAAACATAAGAGGAATTAAGGCCAAGAAGAAGAATCCCGTAGCCCGTACCCCGTAGCCCGTAGCCCGTAGACTTCATCGTGAGCGGGATAACCCCGCTAGCACATCGTCCAATCACAAGTAAGCACATAACCGCAATAGGTAGTAGGTATAATTACCTGGGGGGTCCATCCTAGGAATCATCAATTATCCGCTTATATCTTTCAGACGTATTGAGATCCACGATCTTGGTGACCTCTGAGTGGGTGCAGGCGTTCATTAATTATTAAGAGTACCTAGCGAAATAGCTACCTAATGGTCGAACTACATCAAAGTCTTCTATCAGACTTGTTTTCAAGTGTGCTATAGGAAATCGACCAAATACAACATTACCAACTCTTTTTGTACAAACCCTCCGAATACTGGCTAAAGTAAGGTGGCCTAGTAGCCCGTTTCCTTACCCAACTAGATTAAAATGTGTTTCCATTTTGCCCCATTCCGAAAGCATATTCTCCGACTCTGGTGCCTTGACCAAGGAGCTGACAATGTTGATGCCAAGTCCGCCTACATGGCGAGCATTGACTACCGTGCCATTCGAAAGTGATATTCGTACCTCGAGGTGAGACTTCAGGAACGGCTCGGCGTCTTCTGCATGCAAGCTTGATACCTTACCTGATGCTACCATATGCATCAGGGCCGAAGTCATGGGTATTGTCCCCGTAACCATCCGATCAGAGGCGCGGCTGTGCACGCTTTTATGAGCGAAGATTCCGTGCGTGCCTACTAAGTTGGGCGCTACCGGCCATGATGATGGGTCGGATGGGACGTCCCCTAGGAAGAGATGGATGGAAAACGAACCACCCATAGCATGTTTGTTCACCCTTATGTTTGCAATCCACTCGCGATACTTGCCACCCCTAAAAACCGCGCTTAAGGGAGGCCTGCTGGAAGACTGGCTGTTCCAAGATATGCCATTTGCCTTATACGACCCTCGATGACTTGGATGCTTTATATGTCTGCTGCTATGTCGTAGACTCCTGTCCGACCCCATGAATATAGAAGCCGGGCTAAACTTCCCATAGAGCTTGTTGATCGTTGCCACAAGTTCTGAGCGATTCTTGTTGGCTACTTCGGGGTACGTATAGCCGAAAACTTCATGATCCCGTACCATGTCAGCCGTCCAGAAATCTGTTTCGTTGAAGAAGAATGGTGTGAGAGGTGTCTGAGCGTTTTCTACCTGTCCAGGAGATGTCGTATGAGAAGAATAAACAGCAGGCTGGGGGACCACATATGTGTCATTGTAGAGGTGTTGCCACATAGTAAAGATCCTGTCGATATTGGCATGATGTAGCCAGAAGAGTGGATCAAATCCGGAATAGGCTATGATAGCAAGATGCCCGTAAACACCTCCTCCAACTGTGTGGATTGCGTCGTGAAGAGATTCAAGGGAGTCGTACGTGCCATTGTTAGGACCAGGGATCCAAGCTTCGTTGCTGAAGGTTGTATAGTTGGGGTAGTTAGAGAATAAGTTGTATAACCTCTGCTGGAAACTTGGGAGATGGACATCTAATGCGTGTGCTACGAATGAATTATTTGAAGTTGCATTTGCACTATTAATCGGACGCGGTGCTCGCTTTGTCTCGAGCCATGTATTATACTATGCAGAATTATTAGCATACTATGTTCACTCTCAAGGGAAATAAACCTACAGGGAAATCCGGAAAAGTCGAACTATTAAATGGCCTAAAGACGTAGCTGAATAGAGGGTTCGAAATACTCTGAATACCGTTTGGTCCGGTCACGTTTATGGTCGGCGAAGCACCAACACTTAGAGGGAGGACACTGACTCCGTTCGGGGGGACGGCAGCCCAATCCCAGTACGGGATCCGGAAGGTATCTGCAGCTTTTTGGAACCGGTCTTGAAGTTCTGGTGGGTAAAACGACGCAATAAATTGAACAATGTTGTACAAGACTTGCTAGTACAAGCAACGTCAGCAGTTTTTCTAGAAGATCACGACTTTATAATCAAAGTGGAATGAATCTTTCCAATATACCTCATATAGAGCAAGATAAGGTCGATGCCAGGGAGGAAACAGAATGGACACATGAGTGCAATACCCACTGTGTTCATTTCCTGGCGTCGGGTTGACATCTGCCCATGTTAATGCAGGAGCTCCATGAATCCCTATAGAGAGTTAGAATATAGACCCAATATTGTCTTGTCTCTTGCAAGCGTACCTGTGATCTGGTACCACGAGAATTGTGACTCCTGGTCGGTGAATTGCATCCAGCTAAGGGCGAGGAGGTACAAGTTCCATTTGTCCTCGTCATTTTGCAAATCTCGGATATCTTGTCTCAACTGCGTTTCCCCATTGAACCGAGGAGGGCCGGTTACGATAGAAGACTGAGACGGAGCCCGTTTTCGCAAACGAAGATCAGCGGTAAACCCATAGTCGTATTGCCCCGGTTGGACGTTAGCAACAACTATAGAGAACAGTAGAGTGACGGCAAGGCAAATCTTATGAACAGACGACATGTCGGGCTCTCATGTAATTAGAGCTGCCTGGGAAAGTACGGATGAAGCCGGGAATCACAAAGGACACACAAAATAGAGCGGCAAAACAGTACGACGCATGTGATTTGGGATGAAAGATATTGCCGTAGGTGCCAGGGGGGGAGTAGTGAAAAAACGAGATAGGATGAGCTTGTCTCCCTAATAGATGTGAGTAAAACTAAAGGGCCATAGGCTAGGGCGGGCTTTCCATACAATATGAAGACGGAACGATGCTTTGATTAATAAAATGACATTGTAACGGGAGGAAGTTAAAACTTTCAGATACGCAGCAGAAATTAAGGATGCATATTTCTGTAAGTATGTAGGTAGGTATCTACATGTACATACCTCTTAGGGGTCGTAATAGCTTATATTAGGCACCTGCATCCTGCCTTTAGTGCGGACTAAACTTGGGAAATAGCGAACTGACGCGATGCGATCTCGCGATTGCTTCTTTGCCGACTACCGTCCTCTTACACAAACTGCCCAGGTGACTGCTCGGTTGGACCATGACTATTTTCTCCGAGCAGTACCTCCCCATGCATCTTCAAAGTAATCAAAACCTCTATGAAATATTCATATAGCCAAGAACATCTCCCGAAAAGGCGGCAGGATGCACGGCATTTGCGCAGATGTGGTATATGATACACGGTGGTTAGCCGTTCTGAAACTAGTTTGGTCCTAGCATCGGTTACTTACATTGCTGCCTCTCGCAATCTTCACCGCCGTCCTTGAAAAAACCATCTGAAGACACCAGAGAAGAGAAAAGCAATGTACAATTTTTATAGAAAATTTGTATTGAACTTCATTGTGTATCACCACCGAACTGGAATTATCCATTTTAAACCCGAAACCGAAGACCCGAAGCCTTTTAACTCCATCTAATGCAACTGACACCTTTTAGAATTCATCTTTCACGGGCTCTACGCGGCCGCAACGACGGGTGGGAGGGCGTTTGCTTTCTTTCCCGTAGAAATTACGTCCCATTTCGCATGTAACAGCGGGCCCTTTCGCGGAGCATCTTTCGGGTCGACTCGGTACTTCAACTTAACTCCCATGGCTGCTAGTTCCACGTCAAGGTACTTGAGAGCGCCGGGAACTGCTACCTTCGTAGTATCTTCACCTCCGATCCACTGGTTCCCTTGTCCATCTTCCCATATCTCACCTGCTAGTTGGGTTAAGTCGACATCCTTGATCTGATCGAGGCGAGTCGCGCAATTTCGGCATCGGACGCTATTCACTGTTTTCTTCCTACCTACAAAAGGAGAGACTGTAGGCTGTACCGATAAGAAAGAGCCGCATCTCCGGCAAATCCATGATGGCGTATAATCCGAGCAGTTGAGAAGACGGTCTTGGAGAAGGAAGGCTGTGCCGTGTGCTAACAAAGCGTCTCGTTCCATTTCACCAACACGAATACCACCACCCCGTTTTCTACCTTTGATCGGTTGACCCGTCGTAGCGACTACCGGTCCTGTCGTTCTTACTTGGTACTTATCGTTGACCATGTGACGCAATCGCTGGTAATACACGACACCAATGTAGATATCTGCGGCTAATTCTTCCCCAGTAATTCCAGAATACATAGGCTCGTTTCCGTGATAATTGTAACCAGCCTTCATGAGTTGATGCCCGAAAAAGTCGGCGGCCGTATTATCTTCATCGAAACGGAAAGGAGTTGAGTCTTGTGCGAGGCCATGAAGCGCGCCTGCCTTTCCTGCTAGCGACTCGACGAACATACCGATTGTCATTCGAGAGGGGAAAGCGTGGGGATTGATAATAACATCGGGTTGAATACCGGACTCTGAAAAGGGCATATCGACAGCCGGCCATTTTTGCGAAGCGACACCTTTCTGACCGTGGCGTGATGAGAACTTATCGCCGATGACGGGCGACCGAGGAACGCGGAACTTGACCGATATTGTTTGAGCAGGCTCGTTGCCTTGCTCACTGCCGATTAGTCGTACCTCTTCGATAAACGCTTGTTCCGAATCCTTGTATTTCTCGTACTTAGTAACACCATCTCGATTTACTAAGTTACCACTGTAGTCTGCGGAGACGGTGTGATAAGCAAAGATGATATCACCTTCTTGAACCATTCGTCCGACATATGGGAGACCGTCTTCATCTAACATGGTTTGCGTCCATGCCTTGACGACGCTGCCTGGAGCGAAGCCGAACATTTTGGTCACATTTTTGACTGACCTTGTACGACTTTCCTCCTTGAGCGTGTACTTTTTAGTCTTGTAAATAGTGCCATGTCCAAAGCCTCGTTCGTGGGCCGACTTATTTAGAATCATAGCATCGTCCATATCATATCCAGTATAGGATATCACAGCGACAACTGCGTTTGTGCCGTTGGGGAAATTGTCGAAGCCGTACGCATTATGCAGTGGAGATCTGACAATAGGTGTCTGACCAGTCTGGAGGCGGTACATTTTGTTGTCTGTACGGTATGCGAGTGACGTCCCTGGAGTGCCCATCGTTTGCTTACCCATCTGACACTGATACATATTCCTTGGAGACTGGTTAAAGTCTGAGAAAGGCGTCATATTTGCTAAGATTGATAGAATATTCGTAGGGTCAAATTCAACATGTGTCGATTCTCCTGAGACAACTTCTTGCTCCGTGCAAGCAATAGACATATATGGCTGTTCTAAAGGTCCTACGAAGTCTTCCTTCGCTAATGGGAGGTACTTGGTTGGCCTTACCATTCTAGCGGGTTCAGAGGACATGTATATTCCAGGGTAGGAACCTCCCTTGGACGATGGTACGTGGCCGATTTCGAGGTGCACAGGGATTCCGTGGGAGCCTTCAACTTTCCAGTATCGGAAAGTGTCCGCTATTCTGCGCGACTCGGATGGGTGGCACCAACCAAGGATCCTACCATTTAAGATAACGACCACACTTTCATCTGTCGCGGCAGACGAAGTGTCAACGACGCCAAGCTCGGCGGCCAGCTGCGGGATCATTGAAGTGTTGACAGAACCAGTCATGATCTTGCATTTATGTGCAAGATGGTTAAGTAGACCGCAGGGCGAACCATCGGGAGTATGAACAGGGCAGAGGAAGCCCCAAGACTCAGGTAATAACTTTCGTACCGTCGTAGTCTTCAGCTGAGCGAAGAAACTTCCTCGATGTACCATTCGAAAATGACTGATAAAACGAAGGAAGTTGAGCTTCTCGGCAACGACAGTAAACCCTGATACTTGTTGTAAATCTAGACCGGACGGGCTTGATAAATTGCCAGTCGATAAGAAATATTCGAGAGCGTTGCCGACATTCTCGTTGGTCTTCTGGAATATCTTGATGGGAAAATCCTTCGAAAATTCTTCAGAGGTAAATGACCTTGCAGGGTGCCTTCTCATATATTCTCGTAGAGCACCGCGGAGTCCAACGGAGAGCAATTCGTCTAGCCGTTCTTTAATGATCATGCCGTATAAAAATCCACCAAGGAGAATCTCCTGATTTTGAACTGCATCAGGATTGTCAACCGAGCAGTCTCCAGCAACTAAAGCATAGAGCTTCCTGATCATAAATAATAGCATACGAAACTTGTCTGAATCTTGCTGCTCCGTTACGTTGATATTTCCTAAGTGGACCAACACGATTCGTCGTAAGAATTCGGTACCTACCTCGTAGTGCGATAAAGTATCGGGCACTCCTAAAACAGGTCGGAATTTCTCTCCGAGATACGCTCGAGTCTGTGCCATCGTATAGATTCCATAGGTCTTGTAGGTTCGTAATAAGAGCTCAACACGATCTGTGAGGAATGTGTTCTCGATACCTTTTGAACCCGGAGCTCCAACTAGACCTTCGAAAATCTCTCTGTCGTTCGTCTCTATGAGTGCTTTTAAAATCATCATAACTGGGACTAAATATTCGTTCTTTCGCCAAGAGAAGCGAAAGGTAACATTGCCATCGTCTAGATAATGTAGAACATTTGTTTGGGAAGTTTCATCCGGCCGCACTGATCTAAGTATGATACCGTAAGGAGTGTAGGCAGGACCACGGCCAGTGAAACTCGGACGGTTGATGGCTAGAGGGAAGTTTCTTCGGTTGACCAGAAGAAGTCGTATAATCTTTTCGATGCCGTTGACAACAAAATAACCCCCCAGCTCTTCTGATTCCTCTTTACGTGCGACCAATTGCGCCGGGCTGTTATCTCTAAGATGGCAATAGGCCGACTATAATACAGCTTAGCAAATCATGACTTTCACGAAAACATAATAATGGCAGCCTAGCAGTCTTACCTTTACCATGATTGGTAGTTGGCCAATCTCTCGGGTGAATTCCTTCGCATCGCCATCGTTTATTCTGTACTCAAATGTGGCGGAAAGCTTCCCTCGGTATGATACATGTCGTTCTCGACACTCCGCGGGTAAGATCTCTCGGTTTTTAACCACAAACTTATTTGTAGGCGGGAGTTGCGATTTCTGGAGGTGTATTCCCTTGCACTTGATCCTTAACCTGTTCTTCCCGGTTGGCGGAGCGCGGTCGTCTCCATCCAGAAACAGCCTTATGCCAATGTCGGCCAGTCCCTTCGCAACCAAGCCATTGTCGCCAAAGAGAGCATCGAAGGACTCGATATGTGGGTTCACAGCCTCCTGCAACAAAGGATACGCGGATCGATCTGTCGGGGGATCCCTAAAAAGCTTCTCTCGGCGAAGAGTGTTATACTCGTGGTCCCAGCTCGTGTTGGTTGGTTGTGGCGCCATGGTGGCAGGTAAAGGATATCCCTGTGTTTCGACCAAACTTCAAGTCTCGCTTCATACGGAGATATAATACAGGCAGAAGATCAGTAAAATGTCTTGAAAATGTCCTGAAGGATTGGCGCCCAAGGTTTGCGCGTAGTCAGGTCTTCTTGAGCAAGCTCAACCCCTCGGTTTTTGAGACTACTAAAACAAACGGAAAAGAAAAAAATCCTTATCGGCCAAAATATTTCACCTGATTCCCTATCGATAGGTTCTTATCAGATGAGCTTGGCACTGTGGGCCTTGGAGTAACGTCTGGATATCGGCATTGGGGTACGTATCGAATGTCATCACTGCACAGTGCCTATACTACGACTTCACATTTACAAAGGTATACGGGTAGCTCTTTTTGGGTTTAGTCTTAACATCTACGAACATACATGTACCTACATAAATACCTACCTACCTACCTAGGTATATTTCTGTCTGTTTCTATCAAATTGCCTACCATCTCATATGTAGGGAGCTAAGCTTGCCCTTACAATAGCTATACCTTGAACTGAGTTAAGAAAGCTATATGCTGGAACTAACACAATAGCCCTGTACTATTATTCACCTTGGTCAATTCTCGACCACTCATCTCATCAGGAAGCACGAGGTGCGACGTACATGGCTGTTGTCATCTTGCACCGGTCTTGCAGCCCAACCGACCTCTTAAGTTGTCTGCCGTGCATACTTGCATCCCGCAGGCTGCCTGCCTTGGTCTAAGTCTGAATCCGTCTAGTTAGTGGAATTTGGTAGGGTACATAACTTTGGAGTCTGGGTCCTGGCTTTTATTTTATCAGCTACCTAACATACATCTCCTACCTCTGGGCTGCTGCATCTGACCTCGCTTGAAGCTGTTTATTGCCTACATCCTGGAAGACCTGACCGCTTCTGGGACCTCAAATCGCAGCCTACCATTTTCGACTTGGTTCTTTCGCTGCAAACAACCTGTTCTCCGTTCAGTGCTCCGGCCGCCGCCACCGACGCTTCCTATTCGCACCGTGCTATCCAGAGCTGAATTTACTACGATATCGATATCGTGCTAAGAAATCTAGTTGATTCGGGTCTAACTAGTTATTCGATATCCTACGACTACGTCTCAAGAGCGAGGGGTAACTTCATAGAATAGTGTTGGGCAGAGCGAGCTTCTCAGTCCAGCAAAAGAAATACGTAAGGCATAATTAGCCCAATAAGCTTAGCTGCTGATGGTGGTGCTGAGTGTGGGGGAACGACTTGGATACCTTACCCGCCCGAGCAGGTGACGGGTCTTCCGAGACGGCCAGAGTAGCAGTCCGGGAAACCCCTCGAGGCGTAAAGCTGCGAGCAGAGCAGAGTAGAGCAACTCTGATTACCGTTTTCCTACGGTGCTCCACTACAGAAGAGGGCATAATAAGCCCCTTACCTTTTTTCCTTCTATCTCCGACCCTCTGTTACGGCATTCTATTCTACCCATCAACCGTGGGCTTGCTACATAGTAGACAAATCTCACATCGATTTTCATCAAAGCTACAAGTCTACCTAAAGCAACCTGGAAACTGGAAACTGGGACCTGGGACCTGGGATCTTTAGGTGATACCTCCAAGGTTGTGAATCTACGAAACGCTCGCAACGGGCCGGTCAATAGCGACCATCTTAATTCCCCATACTCGCGGCTCCAGTCCGTTCCCGCCATTCATTACCTATTTCTCTCGCTGTGCAATCACTACAGTCTCCATCTACAGTGCACTAGGCTCAGATACATTTTAACCTATTTGGACTATTGTGGTTCGAAATTGACTGGCCTTGTCGAAATAGACGAATGAAACCCCAGTCTTTCTAGCCGCTGTCGGTTCAGATGCAAGGTCGGCCTTCTATCCCTCCCACCTTGGTCACGTCCCAGTCGAAGGCACGGGGCATCATAAGTTCATAACAGCTTGTGCGATCTTCCGTGGTGGGGAATTGTGACCCTCCGTCCAGGCGTCACCGTTCATCCCGCTTCTATCTTTCATCAAATGCTGCATGTACCTTTACCACCGCCAGAAAGCTACCTTCGATAGATCGCATTCACCGAACGTAATTTTGCGCCTGGGGCCGACTCACCCGTTGTGAGCGCTACGAGCGAAGACATCGCGGTTCATCCTCATACGAGACATTTTTATTCCTATTTTCAGCAAGCAAATCCCAGCGTAAACTATTTAAACTTGTTGTTTGAGACAAACCCCTAGTCTTTCCCGTCCACCGCGTTTTCCCAACTGGCTTAGCCTTGCGTGGAGCTGCAAAATATCTTCGTTATTATTATTTTTTTACGGTCCTGGCGATCCTAGCAATTACAACCCTTTGTTACTGATTAGACACAACTATTCCTGAGTCGAATACGATGGCAGGGTTATTCCGGAAGGTGTACGACTGGTTGCTCAGGACTTTCTGGTGAGTTCACGAAGCTACGCTCAGCGCGGGGTCGCAGGATCACAGGGTCGTGCTGCTGCTCACCGCCGTACCTGCGTATACGTATGCGTCCGCATCACGACGTCGCCGGCCCTTGCTGAAGTGCACTTTACTGATGATTTTTTTTTTTTTGCTAGGGCAACTGAAATGGATGTCACGATGATAGGTCTGCAGAATGCTGGGAAGACGTCCTTGCTTCGCGTGCTATCGGTAAGCACCCGCAGCCATCAATCCCAAATCTCTTGAGCATTTGCTAACGATCCGTTCCTTTCTAGGGTGGTGAATTTACGATCGAGTAAGCACGAGACCCTCGTTAATGACTTTTGAAGATTTCGTTATACCGCGGGATGTCAATTTGGCTGTCGCTAGGTCGGCTAACAAGTCGTGTAGCTCTATTCCCACCGTCGGTTTCAATATGAAGCGCGTACAACGTGGCCATGTGACACTTAAATGCTGGGACTTGGGTGGTCAACCTCGTTTTCGGCCAATGTGGGAAAGATACTGTCGTGGGGTGAATGCGATCGTATTTATCGTCGACATCGCAGACCAGGACCTGCTGCCCATGGCTAAGGAGGAACTCCATTCCCTTATGTCACAACCTAGCCTCGAAGGAATCCCTTTGCTAGTGCTCGGAAATAAGTCCGACCTTCACATCAAACTCAGCGTGGATGAACTCATAGATGCTCTAGATCTCAAGAGTATAGGACATCGCGAGGTCTCCTGCTATGGGATTAGCGCAAAGGAGGAGACCAACCTAGATGCCGTAATTCAATGGCTCATGAAATGGGCCAACAGATAAACTCATCTTCGCCATCCACAGCACTTGAGTTTTTCATCATTTTATCCTTTTTCCCCCGGCTGCTAGGAAACATAGGCCTGCTGCCGGCGACACCTTCTCTCGCCGCTTCCGCGACTGTGCGGATGCATTTGACGACGCTAATGATATCATGGGGTGTAAAAGACGGTTCAGCTTTCGGCCGGCGACGACCTAATATATAAACCATCTCTCGCGAGCTTAAGTTTGGAGGCGACTGTATCGTCAGTATGCCTTCATATCGATTCTCACCTTCCAGTATTTTTCCTTTCGTTTCTATGTGCCTTATCTGCTCGACCCAAACACTGCATGGTTATTGGAAACGGAGTCGACGGTTTCAGAACTCGACCTGCTAGAAGAGTCAGGATAGCCTTCACAATACGTTTTTTTCTCTTAGTCGGATCATCACATCAACGTTTAAAGGGGGAGAGTGGACAATGAACATTGGTAGATGTTCGAATATGCAAGGAAGCTAAGGAAGCATCGATGTAGTTAGGTGCATTTATGACCAAATCAATCATGACTTGACGACTTCACTAAAAGCCTGTGGGAATGTTCGATGATACCATATGTGCATTGCTTCAATGTCTTTAATGTTTGTAGGAGACGAGTGGTTGGCAAAATTTTTGAGAGCGCGAAGGAGATGCGCCTAGGGCGGCGTTGGGGGAGAGAATTCCTAGTCGCCCTTGTAAAAAGGTGTGACATAAATGTGCTGCTCGACATGGCGTCTGTCGCTCGACAGGGACTGCGGCTAAAAAGCCCAACTTTAACAGAAACAGGAAAAGAGAAGACACGATAATCGGACATGATAGTGGATTGAGACGATTAGTAGTAAGGAAAGAGAAGGGGAAAAAAGGAGAAAGCATTGGTGACAGGAAGAGGTGCAGGAAAAGCGATACTTGAAGGCTACACACAGACCACATTTGATGCGATGATGAGTTGGCAAACCCTCCAGCGTCTCGACGATGGGAGGGATTGATTGGCTCACAAGGTGACCATGAACAGCGCAACGTGGACTTCAGGTACCTCAACAGGGAGCATGTGGGTATGGATTTGGTATGGATTTGGTATGGATTGTATGGATTGTATGGATTGTATGCATTTGACGAAATGTTGTTGCTGGTTACCAGTCAAGTGGTTGTTCATCTGGGTATCTGAGTATCTGGGTACATCTAAAACCTGCATCTAATACGCAGGTAATACATCTGCTACGGGTAGAAATATCGTGTGTAAGTCATGTACCTTTTCTTCTTCTTTTTTTTTCTCCCTCTGTTTCTAACTCTTAAAGGGCGAGGGCTGGCTGGCGGGCTGGCTAGCTGGCTGGTAGCGTTGTGTTGGAATGGGCGACATGCCATGGGCCCATGATATGAAATCTACGGAGATTTTTGACGTGGCCGCATGTCATTAGCTCGCCGGATCTGCTGCCCTCCGTCCCCTTCAACTTAGCAACTGATCGTCCATCTCGGGTTCTAGACTAGCTGAACACCCACGCCCACGCCCACGAGAACACGATCTTTGTTGCTTTTATACATAACTCCGGCGAGACTTAGCTGGAGGAAATCTAAATGCATACTCGATACGTTCGTGGTGGGACGATTGTAATGTTAATTAGGTAGGTACTAAGATATCCATGCCCTAATACAGGTAATATACAGGCAATATCACAACTTGTATCGTGTGCCGAAAGTGGTATTTGTTAAGAGTCTCTTTATTAATCCGGATTCTAATTTCTGGACGAGGGATGGAAACCCATGTACGAACATGGTATAATAGAACTACTATTACAACAGAACAAGAAACAAGGATGATCTTGATAATTTATCGAAGCATAGGAATCGAATATGTATCCCTCTAAGCTGAGGAAAGGTAAGTATACCTAGGTAGTGCATGTTGAAAATACCCCGCGTCTGGCATGCCAGGAACCGTTAGAGAAGCCAGACAGATTGGCTACGTTGGTTACGCTTGGAGCACATACAAGATAAATGTCGTGCCCGACGCCCACGTTGTCGAGGTCATCCGGGAGAGGTGATAGATATTATCTTAGGTAGTTTGATTATGGACAAAAGAAATGTTATACACTTGGAGATATCAAAACTAATGCGCTGACAATAATCATGCGGCGTGTTCATTTGCATATTAAGGCAATAGGTATTCAAACAAGTTGAGATGATGCGAGAGAATTTGTATTATCATAGTATCATTCGGATTAAAAAGTCGCCTGAATAGGTACTGCGTATTAGGTCCTAAGATACTTAGCCTTGATTGCGGAGCTTCGGGATCCATTCGTCATCTTCCAAGCCACAATTCGACACTAACAGGTGATTGATTACCTAGGATGAGCACCGTCGGTGTTTTTGTAGCTGCGATGTCGCTAGCATACCGGATTCTTGATATTTGTAATTAACTTCCATTTCGCTTAAACTTTATAACGCCCAGCTACATGGTTGGAAATTATTGGGTGGGAAAGGCTGAGCATGTAGATACGCGTATCAAAACTAAGAAAACTTGGGCTGAAGGTACCTCTAAGAGTACTTTGATGTCGTTACACAGCCACCGCGAACGCCATGGTATGACCTTGGTCCTAGTACCCAATACAGTGGCCAAGCAACTTAACCTAGGTAGGTATCCCACTCAAAATCGGCAATCGGCAGCTTCCAAGCCATGTCATGCATCAAATGTTGCGTGTTCATTGTCTAAAGGATTGTCTTTTTTCAATAAGAAGAATACTAGCGACGCTTTTTCTTCCTTCTTTCTTTTGTTTTCACATCAATCAACGCCTTAACATTTATTACGCTTTCCACCACACCTAATATATGTATCAACATACAAGCTCGTGTGCCTTCGTCCCCACGTAGCTTTTACATCCACATCACGCAAGCAGAGTACCATACATTACAACTCGACGTCACTTGGCGTCAGCATATCCTTGGCAGCCAATCATTCCCCTTTTTGGACAATTCCAACTGAACAAGCTTCCACTACATTTAGAGGCAACCGGAGCTGAGCTTTTCGCAACTTCATAAATTCACACTTCTGGTATTGCGCATCGTTTTGACGCAATATCGTTAGATATCTACATATGGCGCCGCTTATCGACTTAGTTAGTGCCCAATTGGCGGGATTGGCGAAGCGGGACGGAGTGTGCAGAGACAATGAATACTATCGATACGGCAGGTGTTACAGCGCCTGGTATTGGTATGGTCGATGGATCTTCGCTGCCATAGTCATCGCTCTCATTATCGCCGTTGTCTTTTTTATGATGTGAGTACTTCATTTGAACTATTAACTAGCTAGAACCATAGTGTCTAATAAGAATCGCAGATGCTCCCGTCGTCGTAAGCGTCGCGGTCTCCAGCCCATGTACGGTACGGGCTGGATGGCTGGAAATGGCGGTCCGAACAACAACGCAGCATATTACAATAATCCTCAACCGGGCTACGCCAACCCCCCTCCGGCATACGGAGCGCCACCCGGCCAGTCCTTCCCGATGCAAAACCAGTACACTGGCACTACCTTCTCGCCTAATGACGGTTACTACGCCCAGAACGAGGGTGTCCAGGCGCCCAAGAACGTCTACAACAACGGGCATAAGGACGACTACGCTCCTCCCGAGGGCCCCCCGCCCAATCGATAAACTAGCAGCGGAATTAGGTGCACGAGCAATGTCAATTGAAGAGCAAATGGATCAGATACGAATCGGACATACCCTTATTGAGGCTAGTGGTTTAAGGCGTTAGAAAAGGCTCTATTGATTGATCGTTTTCCGTGTTGGTAATGAGGTGGTTGGCAAAGGGAAACGTGTATCACGTCTAGAGTACTATAAATTTCCTATCACGAATGGAGGGGGACATGCGTCTCATTCTCTTGCATTCGCCTATATGGGATACTTTACACATTGACTATAATGTCTTCTGAGTTTAGGTTGTTTATGAGGTGCTCTAATCTCAAGGTTACTATTCAAGTATGGTAATTTGAAATCAGAAATTCCCGGTCTTATGAAGATCTCGTCTTCTGTAAGAGGTGATATGGACGGGTAGTCTTTGTGATGAGAGGAAGTTCAACTATTACGGTCTATCTAATGTAAGATGTAAGTGAGAAATATGGAAGCTATGGAAGTTAACTACGATAAGAAAACTTCGAGAATCATGGTAACTAACCGCGGTCCCGAGTTGTTCAGATAAACGGTTTCGACTTTGCAGCAATTCCCACAGTGGGGGCTGCACGCGCGAACCCCACAAACCGTTTCTCTTGTCACACTGGTGAATTCGAGACGACTCCACATCGAAAGTGTTAGCTGAGGACTATGTGTAGTAAGAAGGTAGTACATACCTACGCCATTTCAGCCCTGCTACATATGTAGGTAATTATGTTGGTAAGCAGTATAAATATAGGATAAAAATACACTTCTATATCGTAGACAGGCAGACTCTTTATACGAAAATCCCATAGTATGGCTGGGGCGCAGCTACACAGGCGCCTGTATGACCTTCCTAGCCTAGGCGCAGTGGACGCCAATGTTAGAAAAGAACACAAGACGCACCAGTCGATGTAAGCAGGAGAAGTTCTGTTGTCACTTGGCTGAAACTCCGGGCCTTTCCTCTATTGCATCATGGCCCATCAATTGGCACTTATTTGGTTATGCCATGTTGAAGTGTTGAATCCAGGTACATAGAGGAAATACCGCTTTATCGAGTCCCTATAAAAGGTGCTAGTCACACTACCGCTAGGGGCGTATTATTGGGAGATCGCTTTGGGCAATCCCCCGCTCTAGTGCTGCGCGGCCTGCAGGCATATCTAAGCGAGCTTAATTGCGACTTGTCCCTGAAATTGCCGTTCTGCATTCGCGCCCCCCACATTTCCAGGGACCGACCTTCGCCTCGTTTACTGCCCTTCAGATTGCGCATTACGACCTCGAGCAAGCATTTTCCCCAATTCCATCCAGCCGTCTTTCGCAATTCTTACACCATACCTAGGCTGGAATTTTTTGTTTTTTTGTTTTATCCTCTCGCTCGTTTCTACCTACATGGTTGAGGGATGTTTCCCATGCCCTCTTCTTTGTTGTTTGTAAGATATACTTAGGTGTATCGTTCTGACGCTCCTTCGAGTAACCGATTTGCTTTGATCCTTGATCCTTTCATTTTTCCCAGGTGGATTGGTTGACGGTCAGGTCAGCCTTTGACGTGTCACATCCGCTAACATTCATTCGAAAACACATACATCGAAACGACGAAGTTGCGGGCCGAATTTTAGTTACGCGTGGATTCAAATCGAGTGATTCACGAGCTGAGGAGACGGTATTTTGGTAGTTTGCGTTATATTTGCGGCTGGACGAGGTGCTACTTCCACGGGTTGGGGAACATACGACTCATACTACTATTTCGTACCATGGATCTTTAGAAACCGACGTTTCTTAATCCGATTATTTTTTACGAATAAACGTAAACTTTACTCTGATATTTATTCTTTTCAACACCACCCGGCAGAGGTGGATATTGGAGGATTACGCAATGCCGCACGTCGGCATTCTAATGGAGCGTAGTCTCCAAGAACGCAGCCTTAGGGATGCGTTCGCGGATCTCTTCGCGCGAAGCGCTGTCGCTGCGCTGGGCAAACGGCAATCTCTTGAGTCGCTTACGGGCGGAAGTTCTGACCCCAGGGTTGCCTTCTCCAGTTGGGATAACTGTATGCAGGCTAATATCTGCAAGTACGACTGAACCCTGTTCTAAATATCACCAGTATCAAGAGGCTAATATCTGCTAGGTGGCCGGCAATTGCCGTGATCATTATCGGTGGTCTCATCATTTTCTCTGTCGTTTGGTGTATCGCGCGATGTCTCTGCTGTGGACTTTCGTGCTGTTGCGAATGTTGCTACTGTCTAAAATGCTGCGGTGAATGTTGCGGGTGCTGTGATCCCCCTAAAGGGAAACGGAGTAAGTATCTTGACGAACCATTCGTTCCACCGCACCATGAACAGAACCAGGCCTATCGCTCGCAAGCGCCGATGACACCAGCATTACACAGAACACCTTCACCTTCTGTGCCTCAGTATGCTGTATTTGATGACGGCGACAAGAAGGATGCAGACGCATTACCTGCGATGCCAAGCTGGGAGGGCGCGAAATCACAGAAGGTTCTGATTGAGGAAGAATCCGTCGAGATGGAACCATTGAAGAAACCAGAGAATGTCCAGAACAATAATTCTTTCCCTATGAGCAACTTACCGCCGCATACGACTACCCCAAGCCCAGTTTCTCCCGACAATAGAAGCCCCTACGGACCACCACCAGCACAGGGCGGTCCTAATGGGTATATGACAGCAGCACGAGCTGGTCCAGATCCATATTCTACCAATGGACAAGGCTACGACAACTATAACGGTTACAATGGATATGGACAGGCTCCCCAAGAAAATATGAACCAGGGATATGGCATGGCAGCTGGAGCAATGAGGACCCAAACACCTCACCGTGACTATAATAACGGTAGTGGAAGAGGTGGAGCTGAGCAAGGATATCCCCAATCGCGATCTCCGAGACCCTACAACGACGAGTACGGCCGCAGTGCTAGTCCTGCGTCGTACGGTGCCCCGCCTAGCTACCGTACTGCGCCGAGCAATAACGGATACGGCAATCCCTCGCGAATGGCGTCGCCAGGCCCACAAGCAGGTTATGGCTACGGTAATGGTAATGGCAATGGCAACGGCAACGGAGCTCCATCTCGTATGCGCACTCCCGGTCCCCAGCCAGGCTACGATTACCCCCAGAGGTCACAAACACAAACACCCAACAGTTACAACCGCCAATATCCCCCGGCACCCCAACGACAATATTCAAGCGACTCTACCCGACCGCTAGTACAGCCGGCGCAAGACTCGTACTTCGATGAGCAAGGACAGCGATCGCCCATCCAGAACAACAGCGGCTTCGACTTCAACTCTGGCTACAGCCGCTCTGAAGCTCCTCCTTCGCAAACACAGACGCAGACGCAGGCCGCAAACGGAGGAACTGCTTACCCCGGTTACCGCACATATCGACCCCAAGGGCAGCCCCAGCAGGATAACTGGAACGGAGTATAAACACGATCATCGTCATGGAGTTAGTTCTGCTCGTTAAGGTGTACCAAAATAAAACCAATTATAGGAGATCCGACTAATACACGAATCGGACGGGCATACGCGGCGATCTGACGGATTTTGTATTCAGTGACAAAGAAGGCGTTTCGGGAAAGGGGGAGGACGATCATCTGCATAGCATGATGGAATTCATATATAGAGGTTTGCCGATGCTTTTGCGATTTGCAATTGCGGTTGAATACCAAAATTCCCCGGCCGAGTTGTTTGCTTATAGGGACAGACAGATGTACTAGGATACCTACCTGTAAATATGAGCCTGTATAGGCAAGTATATATGGGAATGAATTCGTTTTACACGTACGTGCGAGCGTTTTAAATTATTCAAGTTTTTACACCGTGTAAGACTACCTACGATCGTGTTCGTTGAAGAACACTAAAGGGGGGAGGTATTCTAGAACTTTCGTTTACTTTGATTAGTGAATTCATACGAAGCTACCAGTCACATGCAGCAGCACAATAAAACAAGGCCATTTACCAAGCTCTTTGTTCCGACGAAAAGGTCGTGCTCATATAAAGGTGCTATGATCCATTGTAGCAGACAAGTATCTTGTTGCAATTGTATCTGGCAAGAATCTGGGCCAGAAGGCAGCCTTCAGATCTAGCCAGGTCAGATATCTAAGCCAACACCTATGCCAATGCTAATGCAGATGAAAATGCAACTGAAAAACTACCTAGGTAAGTACTCAGATGTCAATGTCCCTCCGGGGCAACCAGTACGATCCAAATACAGTACACATTCCACTTCCTCCACTCCCCCTTTCTCGGGGCCAAATTAAACATTACGCAACAGCAATAGCAACAGCAATACACCAAGAGTTTATTCCGTGAGCCCGCCCGACATAACCAGTGATACTTTGCAGTTCTTCTCCTCGATGTCAATCTCAGTCGTATTTCCGTCCTCGTCGGTCACCATGTGGGTAGAGATGATATCACAACATCCTACAGGCTCGCCAGCTTCGATTTTTGCTTCAGTGGGGGACGGCACTTCCCATTGCTCCCCAAACAGAATTAAATCGCCGTCCCTCGTAACTGCAAAGGGCTCTTCTTCGTCCTTCTTTTCCACCACCTCCTTCTGTTTGCCCTTTTCTTTATCCTTTATCTGGTCGGGTTGACTAGCGCAGATATTATCCTCACCGGATTCTGCCGAGGGTGTGTAATTGATAGTACTTCTGCTGGCTGCGCTACTACTTCGACGACTTCCAGCACTTCCAGCAGTCGCCCGTGTCGTCCAGCTACAAGCCGAATATGCGTAATCGTCAGTGACCTGGGTGCCACTAGATCTTTCCCATGAAGAGCTTCGTTCCCGTTCACATGAGTAGTGGCGACGTGAGTTCGGCCACCTTCTGCGTCCCCGAGTTTCGTCGTTAAAAGGGGATGTTGGATATTCGCTGCGGCCGGCAGACCATTGCTGCCTATATTCTGTGCTACGAGGTACGGCATACCCATTTTGGTAGTGACTTGTGTTAAAGGCGTAGCTAGGATACTGCGGCCGGCAAGATCCGCGTGTTGTGGGAGAGTAGTATGTATGGTTGACACCTTGTGGTATGCTGGCGTGTTGGTAAAGCTGGCTCTGTGACCCCCAACCGTGAACGTTGGATCCGACAGAAAAATAACCGTTATCTATGTACCAGGGAGCATAGAGATCTGACGTGGAATGTGTCAGATGATCAGGAGTTCTCATCCGGTAGAGAGGAATTTGTCTATAACAATTATGGCAGTATCCGCCGGCGAATTCAAATTGGTGATTCGAGCTATTTTGGTATCGTATATCCAACGGTGCTCCACACAGACATGAATAGCCCGGATGGCCTGTATAGGCCGGGTAGTTTGTATAGTAGGACGTCATTATGTTGGTATCTTATTTTCTTGCCGGTTGTTGATTGCCTTTTCTTAGCGTCAGAGAAGAGTAGAAAGGCGGTTTACTACAACAACTAAGTCGAGGATGGTTCCAGGTCGAAGGAATGATGTCTGAGGTGTCTTATGTAAATAAATGTGGTGGCCTTGAGTACGTCAGAAGGCTGTAAACAAATAGCACGAGATAATATCGTTGCTATGGAAGGTATAAGTGAGACCTTCTTAACAGGTTACCTATCTAGTAGATTCTAGAAAGAAGTAGGTTTCATGAATGAATGACCAACTCGTCCGTTGATGGGGTGATGATGAATTAAGTTTGGCAGGAAGTAGGGTAGGTATGTATGTAGTGTTAACGAAAGTGCCTCTAAGAGGTACAAGGTGTAGAAGTGAAGAAGAAGAGGTGGTAAGGGCAACCTCAGATCCCAAAGTGACAGCGACGGTGACAGCGACGGCAAGAGCGACCAGAACCAGTGGGGACTTGGTAAGATCGATTTGTAGGTGTGACTGCCTTTTGAGTTTCTGAACCAAAATAGAAAATTACAACAACATCAAATACAATGATAATATTATCAGACACGGGGCAACGTCAGGTATTTATACGATGCTGGAGGGGTCTGATCTAGTAAGGCCGGTCGTAAGAAACTTCCTTTTGCCTCGTGTCCGAGCAACCTGTAGGTTCAATTCATGTGAACCTCAACAATAATTCAGCCACTCCTAAAGTATGACCAACTCTAGCTTCAGTCCGAGAGTTAGGCAACTCTAAAAGTAAGTAGTCATGTATATCAACTAGTATGGGGATACCAGCGTCGAACAAACAAGTCAGCACGTACCTAATTTATACACTTCAGAGACCATAGACGTATGTTATGTCATGTCGCTCAGGCTGCTTCAAAGTCAAACGATTCACGGTCCACGGTCCGCGTCGGATTGAACATGTTAGGGAAAAACTACAGGCAGAACAGGCAAACCAAAGCTGCACCGGCTACACCGTAATGAAATATAGGTGGAGGTGAACACAATACGTCCTATTCGCCGTGGTCGACTCCAGTCTCACAGTCGACAAAGAAGCGCGGTAGGCAGCACGAAGGCCAACTAATAGAACTAATAGAACTAATAGAACTAATAGTCACCACATGCAGCTAACATTTCTGCACATTTCTGCACATTTACTTCTGCATATTTACTTCTGCATATTTACTTCTGCACATTTCCGCTAAGACTATTGGCAACCAGACGCCTAACCGATCCACCGCTATTCCAGACTTTACCACTTCTTGTACAAACCCAACCATATATTGTCCATATCTGAGATATCCAAATCACGACCGTACTAAAAAAAAATAAAAAATTATAGTTTGTATAACTATCATAACATAGAATTTGCAAACACTGTATATTTGGCCGATGCTAAAGTTCAAGAAAAAGAAAGGGAGTTCCACGTTACTCTGGAGGAACCAATTCTTTAGGTAATAGTTTTCCTCTTTCTTGACTCCTGCTGCTCCCTATTATTGTTTGCCCGTCCAGGTCCGGGTCGTATTCTTCGCGCCCGCCATCTGGGCCCTTTATGCCTGTCCTCTTGAAATTCATAGAGTTGGAGAGCTTCATGCTTTCATTGCTCTCTCCGCTGATCGATTCGTCGTCACTTTCGATGAGCGGATCATCAAAGGGATCTTGTTCATCTCCTTCTTCCGATGGAAGACTTTCGTGGCCAGGTTCTTTCAACTTGATAAAACTGTCGATAATGTAGTACTGTATCGCATTCATGATAAGTGGGAATAACATCATGACGAATACGATCTGTACGCGCTCGTTGCCTTCGGTCCATCTGAGCGCCCAATCTCCTACGCGTGATATCCATGGTAATATCAAGAATATAATAAGAACGCAGATCTTCATCCCAAACAGGCCGCAGAAGTAGATAACAGATTGTTTTAACCACCACCAGGCGTTAGGTGGGTTACCGTAGTTGCCAGACTGGATTGACTCTGGCGGCTTTCCATAGGGAGTATATGCTACGAGGCCGGTGAAGACACGGAGGAGGATGATAAGAATAGGAATACCGATGGTAGTCTGCCGGCGGATTAGATTCTCTTATTGTCACAAAACATAGATATGTGCAGACTTACATCGATAGCCAGATTCAATAGGTAAAACGAACAAGGGTTCGGGACATATTCGTCCTCTCTTCGTAGTAACCTCTCTGCCGTCTGCACAGTGACCGCATCCAACTTCATAGAAAATCGGCCGCTTGTAAGCAGCGACATAAAAACGTTCGCAATGTGCACCAAGACCGATCCGAACACCTGTTTCGACACATCGAAGAACCAGATCTTGACAGGCCGTTGAGGTCTTTCCCGCCACCGCTTGTAAACGAGAGATAGAAGCGCCAATCCACCCAGCGCGAGTTGTACGATCAAAGCAAATGGCCCAACAAGCTGGCACTCCCCCTCCCCGCCATGGTCGTCTTCAGGGCCAGGCATGGTCGTTGTTGCGGCAGCTGCTATCGCCGTTGCGGTGGTGGTAAGAAGCGAGGTCACGTCGTTGGTAGCAAAAGGGAGGTCAACTCCTATAACTGCATCAGGGGTAGCGGTGACTATTGCGGATGAGGTTTCGTGTACGAGAGAGGCAATGGTGGAAGAAAGCGACATCGACTTCTGTGCTCGAGACACAGGTCGGGTGATACGAGGTAAGAAAAGGGAAAGGAGCGAGCGAGGATCGACGCCTAGGATCCAGCCAGGGTTCGGTCGAATGGGAGGGATTCCTACTAATAAGTTAAAAAAAAAATATGGCTTCTATGCCAATAATCTGAGTTCCAACAAAGATACAACCGTAATTCAGTGTTTGTTACCGAACAAGGAGAGGGAAGAAATAAGAGAAGGCGTCCTAAAGGTTGAATGTTCTGATGAGAAGTGAGGATTGGAGGCGATTGTAGGAGGTCGAGGTGGTAAATTGGGAGATGGATAAGCCACAAAAGATCAGCCGCTCAGCTTCAATCCTTTAGCATTAGGAGCATAGGGCAGCCCGTACGTCTCCCAAATTTATAAGCCTAAGTGACTCGCTGCTGCGCCATGGCATCATACATAGAGGGTAGGATATTAAGTAGGCTACTGCCTTATCTAAAACCACTAGCCTCCCCCACCAAATCTATGTGGTACAACACATATGTATAGCTCCCTTAAGCGTTAGGTACTTTAGCTTTAGGTACCTTCTACATTACTAAGAGCTACCTATTCTAGGTACTTAGCGGTATATTTTAGGTACATGTAATTAAGGGGTACTTATTTTTAGGTACTCGCCAGCACTGACAGGTACATGTAAGTATTCCGTATATCAGACACCGCCTGCATTTAACTTTACCAGACGAAGTCGTACATAGATTTCCAAACCGTCAGGTTGTTTTGGGTACCTCTAAGTCATCTGCAAAACATAATTTAAGTTTAAACATCTTACCTTACCTAGCTGAACCTAGATTTGCCAAGTGCGTCTATCGGAGCGTTCTAATACCACGTGTTCTACTTTCCGTTTGGCCTTATCCAGTCTTCCAATTAAAGATGGGCTTCACGTAGTACGAAGGTGGAGGAATAGCTGAGTGGTGGTTAATATTACAGGTTTTATCTATAATGGTCACGAGAGCAGGTTGTGATTATAACTTCACGTTGAAAAGGTCTACGTACGAATGCATTAAACTAGGATTAAGACACGCTCTTAGGAAAATCAATTCCTGAGGTCTTCTGCATTCTCAAATAGGAGTGGAAAAGCCTCGAAACCCTGTGAATAAATGACATATTCTTCCACGCAATCACAACGCCAAATAACTATGTGGCATAAGAAGTATGCCGTAAAACCATCGAATAACCATGAATCAATCTGACCAACGTCCACCGCGTTCCGTAGGTGTTGCTAATGAGCGACTTGCAATTTAAAGGGGTGGCACGTCTAGCAAAAAGCTAACACTGCGCGTTCGCGAATTATTGTATGCCATGACCGAATGCCCGGACATCCGCGCAGATAATTTGATCATCTGTACGATACGTTTAAGTCATGCATAGCTTATTCGATTTCTGTGGAAGGATGCCCCGCACGAAGTTCAACGCGATCTTTCGTGCATGTCGGGCGACGTCGTCTGGCCTACTCTTCTTGTCCTTCGCCACCGATGTCGGCTCCTTCTTGATCGACGTCGTAGTGGAGGAGGTAAAGCTCGAGCTAGATGTAGTAGAAGCTGGAGAAGACGGGACTGCAGACGGAGCACGGGCACGGGTCTGGAGCCTGTCTGCAGGCCCGTCTAATTGTCAATCGATTCCATGCTTCATCTTGAGCTGCGCTAAATTTTCCTTGCGAGCCTGCAGGTCGTCTTTTGACTTGAGGGTCTTCTCTGGTTGATGCCATAGAACTATATAATATGTTAGAGACAATGTACAACTACAAAGGGGAGTCTAGGTGATGATGGGTAAACGTACCGACAAGATATCGGTTCTGAAAGTTGTAGCCATTTAGCTTCTCGAGAGCGTTCTTCGCATCCATGACGTTCCAGAAGACAACATAGGCGGTTCCCTTCGCCTCGACTGAAATTCCCTGTCGAATTTGACTATAATAATTGTTAGCAAGATGACTTTGATACCCGATCAATATGGGAACGTACCGGATGAGTCCGTCCTCGCCGGGATCGAAGAGTTTCCAAAGCGCGTCAGAGGATACTTCGTAGCTATAATTTCGTTAGAAGGAAGTCGGGAATAAAATTTGGAGGACTTGTGGTGACATGACTAACTTTAGATTCTTGACGAACAAAATTCTAGACAAAGAGATTAGCAGGTGTATTAACAATTGGCACGTAATACTGGAGGCGAAAGGAATTAAATGTGACGACTTACGGGAGCTGCTCGGGGGCAATCTTGCCGGCGCGACTCATATCTTGATGAGGCAACTATTTTTGTATTCTCGAAACTCTGATGGTTGGTTGTTGGATTGTTGGTCCAAGGAGGTGGTGGTATTGATGGGGTGTTTTAGGTAGGTAGTCAAGATTGGCGAAGAGGCATGTGCAGCTTTTGGAGGAGTCGATCTGATTCTGGGGACGGGAGTTTCGCTCTGGCTACGGAGCAAATCGGATTAGGCCACGCTAAAAACCGAGCCTTGCGAAACACGTGACATGATGGGTGCCTTATCAGATTTCACCGCCTAGCACCTAGCGACCGTTTAGCTGCACTAATACCACCTATGTATTGTACCTATGTAATAAAGTAAGACCACTTTGTGACCTTGTTACACAACGCCAGTAATTAGTACTGTGTGGAAATCGGTTAGGAAATTTATAGAATTAAAGAAACAGCAACGTTAGTCTTGTAACGCTTAAATCGGGTGGTTACTATTAGCTTAAGCAAGAATTGGAGTTTAACAGTTACAAGTTCGTTATAGTTATATTAACCTTAAACATAAAACTCAAATCTTATTACTCATAACTGATGCGTTTTGGAACGAATACGGAAGCCTCGATGAAGTGTATAGATTTAGTGTTGCTGTTAGCGATGTACTACATACACAGTATATATTGTGCATTGTCAAGCAGGCGGATTTGAATAACCCTATTACGTCATTTGAAGGACACTTGGTCGCTACATACGTCTTACTGAAGGCATTTATGAAAAGAAAGTTTGTACTAATTTTATGTAATCTGGATCAGTTCAAAAGACAATACTACTACTACCTCTCTTAGGAGGTACCTAGTTTCTCATTCCCCATTTCCGATACCGAAGGAAATATAGTCGGAGAGGTATTATCTTGAAATCCGAGTCATAAGGATTCCTCCGAGCTGCTCTCCGAAACCGTGCCCCGAAGTTATCAGGAGTGGCTGTGAGCTCCGATTGCGCCAGGATCGACTACAATAAAGCGGAACAAGACTTAAAGCTGGTCATTGACTGTTGATGTTAGTAGTAGCACAACACCTCGAAAAGATTAATTAAATCGGACAACGCGGACCGACAGATTGCTTTGTGGTGGATAATAGGTACGCATCACCTGAGTGTACAGATTAGGTACTTTATACAGATATGATACTACTTGGAGTACATATGTATACCTACTGTTGAACCCATGGCCGAGGAAATGTCCGTATCTAGAAGATCTAGAAGCAACTATAATTATCATATCTACATGTATGGAAGGCATGGTGCTCATACATGAACCTAGGGTACTTTCCAATTAAGGTTAAGAGGTTAGGTAAGGTAAGGTACCTGTAGAAATTGCCCCGGTTAATATACATACTTAAGGAGTCATTTTTAATTAACCATCTTCCCTTTCCAACTTTCCAAGACTTAGGTAAACAGCAACAGCATAGTATATACCTATGTAATAATAAACTTGAACACGATTATACACCAATTTCATGGCCTACGTACAATGTATTCGTAGAACATGGGAAGATAACGTCCCTGTGCGTAAGATGGTAAGTAGACCATGGCGACGTCCCCTGCACGTTAACGGATATATTCAACACTTTGGATTCTTTCGTTATTTAATATCTAGATCTCTATCAATTTTGCCGGAACCAGAGAAGTGACACGCATGAAACTAACCAGGAAAAAATGTGGTTTCTTCTGGGGCAAGACGTCTCGAGACGTTGGCTGCTAGTTATCGTATTTTCTGTGCTTTCAGCATTAGTATATGATCGCTACCTCCGATCGACAATGGCTGAAAAGAAGCCTAATTTTCTGATAATCGTCGCTGACGATTTAGGCTTTAGCGATACGTCTCCTTATGGAGGCGAGATCGACACCCCTAATCTACAAAGGTTAGCCGACGAGGGAATCCGTATGACCGGTTTCCACACAGCTGCATCATGTTCTCCTACGAGAGCTATGCTCCTGTCTGGCACAGACTCACATATCGCCGGGTTAGGTGTAATGGCGGAGAAAATAGTAAGTTCCAATTGTAGTCGGAGTTATTACACCATCCATCTGTCTAATATCTTTCGTTTAGAAAAAGGCTCCGGACATCTTCAAGGATAAGCCTGGTTACGAAGGATATTTGAACTATCGTGTAGCCGCTTTAGGAGAGATCCTTCAAGATGCGGGATACTTTACACTCATGAGTGGGAAGTGGCATCTAGGCCTGAAGAGGGAACTTGGTCCGCATGCGAGAGGATTTACCAAAGTACTTTCTACCCTTCCTGGGGCTGGAAACCATTTCAACCACGAGCCACAGCTGTATGACCTCAAGGAGAAGCCATCAGCTATCTTTAAAGGTGACGGGATATGGATGAAGCACTCAGAGTTCATCAACGGGAGCACAGATCTACCTAAGGACTTCTACTCTTCTAACACATTTACGGACTACTTCTTAGACTTCTTAGAGGAACGAACAACGGAAGAGCGATCACAGCCTTTCTTTGGCTATCTCCCATTCACAGCCCCTCATTGGCCACTACAGGCACCGCAAGAAATCATCAAAAAGTACTACGGCAAATACGACGATGGACCTATCGCGTTACGGAATCGCAGACTCCGAAGCCTAATCGAAAAGGGGCTCGTACCTCCCGATGTTGAGCCAGCTCCTATGCACATGTTAAAGACTAGGCCTTGGGAGGAGCTATCAGACACAGAGAAGAGAGAATCATCTCGAGCCATGGAGGTTTATGCGGCAATGGTTGATCTTATCGATGTGAATATCGGCCGCGTGCGGACTTATCTAGAAGAGACAGGTGAGCTTGATAACACATTTATTGTCTTCATGTCCGACAATGGGGCCGAAGGACAACTGTTGGAAGCCTTGCCTATCCTAGCTGGCTACACGGTAGAAGATATCGTTGAGAAATACTACGACAACTCATTGGAAAATATCGGTAATTACAACTCCTTCGTGTGGTAAGTTAAATTTATTTAAAATACGAGCCATTTCTTTGAAATAATTAGTTAATAAAAAAAGGTATGGGCCGCAATGGGCCGGAGCAGCGACAGCTCCAGCGCGTGGGGCAAAATCGCACTCAACCGAGGGAGGGATTCATTGTCCTTGTATCGTTAGATATCCGACAGCGCTAAAACGAGGCGGGCTGGTCACTAGTACGTTTGTGACGGTTATGGATATCGTTCCAACCGTCCTGGACCTTGCAGGATTGAAACATCCGAGCCCTATTTTCCGCGGGCGCGAAGTGGTCCCTGTCCGAGGAAAGTCTTGGAGACCGGTTCTAGAGCATCCAGAAGACGAAACTATTCAGATATATAATGACACGGACATCGTTGGCTGGGAGCAGCTTGGAATAGCGGCAGTCAGAGTGGGAGAATGGAAAGCATTATTCCTCCCTCCCCCTAAAGGTCCTGGCAAATGGGAGCTCTACGACTTATCTAAGGACCTCGGCGAAGTCCATGACCTAGCGGAAAGCCACCCGGAGATGCTTAAAGAGATGCTTCATCATTACGAGACGTACTTCCAAGAGACTGGTATGTTCGATTCGTACACTATGTATCAGGAGGCGTTGAAGCAGAAGAAAACGGAGAAGGTGAGAGTGGAAGTGGATATCGATCAGTAGTATGTACACGTACCCAGGGTATTAGAGCTCAAGCCAACTAACTCATTAATCAAGCAGTACTCCATATGTATCAATCATACGCCAGAGTCTGGCTTTCGCGCAGGAAAAGTTTTACGGCCTTCTAAAAGGATACTGGGGCAAAGAGTAGATGGATCTCTCATGAATATAGGTCAGCCTCGGATAAAAACGAGAGAATGGGTTTCTTGCTATTTGGGAAACTTCTTTTCCGTCATTATGTTCCCTTACTCGATGTTTTTAGTAATTGGTGTTGTACAAGAGATCTGTTGATACTATAGGTGACACATTATATCACCCTTGAACACACTATATGTCTGAGAATGTAAATACTATTAAAGTCCCAACACGTTGGACTGACCCCTTGCTCTTAATTGAGTTGTGGAGTTGGACTGAAGTATCTTTATACTTATTAATTTCACGGCCTACGTAGGCCTCACTTGATGAAGAATTCTTTTCAGTTACTTCAAGTTAAGGAATAACTTACAGGAAACTAGACTGCTCGGGTTCTTCTATAGCATCTGCATTTACGTGAGGTATATACCTTATATTCCTCGTAACAGGTAGCTATGAGTATTGCTATGAGTATTCGTTGAGCTCTTCAAATATATTTATATCATCTATAAATTTACCAACAGAGAGCTCTTATCATACATTATGCATATCATTGATAACCATTGTAAGTATTATCCGGTATCGAATTTTATGCTACCACGTTAGTCGTATTCATATAAAAGCTTAAGAAGCGCGGGAGACGCTTAAAGATAACTTCAGACGAGACACGATCACACACTATATCCTAATACCACAGGACTTTGGTTAAGAGGGGAATTTTACGTGGCCTACAAGGTTGTATTAGCCAATGTTGCGATGATGTCTCTTACATCGCCATCGCGGGGATCGGGAAGGGGAGAAAGAGCCTGCAGTCATTGGTAGGTCCGATTAAGCTGAACTATGAGTCTATGACAACTAAATAATTGGATTCCCACATGTATCTTAAGATTCACAACTGGTATCTTTGGCAAGAAAAAGAAACGAGTTGCTTTGGGTTTGTTTACTTTTATTTACACGTGTTCCAGCGGAGAGAGGTTGCCCTGGTGTTTGCCTTGGTAAAGACAAACGAGAGTTGCCTGAATATGGATGTAAGTGTAAGTCTGTTAAATGTACGGTGTACGTACCGTATGTACGTACCGTACAGATTGACCTATGTAGGTTAAGTACCTAGGTATCTAACGTATTGTTTAATGATTACCCAATGAGGTAAGCCTATCCTTCTCAATTTCTCAACACGTACTTAGTCACCAACAATGGAGGTTTGTTTTTACCTTTTCGTCCAATGTTCGTCCAATGCTATGTACATGTACCTCCTCATCGAAGCACCGAGCTAAATCCGCTAATGGGAATTAAAATTTAGGCATGTTCAGGGCAGCCCTAGAGGACCCCTGAAAGTTGGTTGATCCGGGCGGATAATCCGCCATAATCCGTATCGCTCTCACATCACTCTAATAAACAACTTGCCTAACCTAAGCCAACATGCAATACCTCCTCCCTTCCATTTCGTCCCAGCTCCCACCCAAAGCTCTTTATCTTCGTCTATAATCGCCTCTGGACTCTTTATTATCCTCCCCAGCCCAAGCGAAAACTGTCGACGTAGAAACCTGCATCTCCTCGAACCTCCCCAGGGTTTTGTGTGCTCCACACAGCCTGCAGATGCCATCCGTAACGCCCTTCGAGTTGCCTATGCTCTCCTCGAGTAAGAAGAGGAGGCATGATGACGACCCCAACCAGGTGCAGGTGCAATTGTACGACGACCCGCAAATTTCTCTCGTCAAGTCCCTATCCGCTAACTGCGAGTCCCGTACCAGAACATCCCAACACGAGTCGACGAATCTTCTATCCGCCATCAACAATAATGAACGCTTCATATTCCCCACATCGGCCCGAGGCGCTTCTTCCCTGCTGAATATGCCTCGGAAGATGATACCTCTACCTGTAAACAAGAGAGTCCGGCTTGTTAACGACAACGATGGGCATCTACATTCGCACAATTCCTATTCCCACGCGCACCCCGAGTCCCCGGTGCCTATACCATCGCCACAGCACACCAAACTAGGCATATGTCTCAAAACAGGGCAATCAAGCTCACAATCCCTTCTAAGTCCCTGCCACATCTGCCACCGGAAACCCACCAAGAAATCTGACCTGGACTCCTTTGCCGACTGCCTCGGCTGCGGACAGCGGTCCTGTTTCGTGTGCCTACGCGCGTGCCGGGACTGGCTCGCATCCTCAGAAGAAGACGACGATAGTCTATCTGCGTCGTTCACCATGCAGGATGTAGACGACATCACCCCCGAGTCCTCCCCCGAGGCGAGCCAGAAGCAAAGAAAGGGAGGCGGTACCGGGCCTGACTCGAGCTGGGTCGGCCGCGGCCATCGGGAGCTGATCTGTAGCCGGTGCTGCGTGGAGCGCGGACCCGAGGGCGACGTTGTGTGTTTAGGGTGCTTGGCCGGGATGGAGGGGGCATAGGGTGCCTCGACAGACGAGCAAGACCAAGACCAAGACCAAGACCAAGACCAAGACCAAGACCAAGACCAAGACCAACATTAGTAACTCACCATTCACCATTCAGACGAGACTACCACCCCAACACCAGACACGAAGTACGATACCCGTGCGAGCTTAGAAGGAGGGAAATAATAATATAGTTCGGTACCGAGGGGGAGCGGGAGCGGGAGCGGGATGGCACTGGGGAGAGCCCTATCTGGAGGGCTCGCGGAAACTTAAGGCATGGCCACGGCGCTACAGGAACATTGCATCGTATTTTAGCATATGACTTCGCAAGATACCATTCATATCCGCAAGCCGCGGGTGCGTTTATCACTTGCCTTGGAAGAGAAAGAGAAGAGAAGAGCGTACATAGCATGCTTGGGGTTTGGCACCTTAGCTACCTGCCTACCTACTGTAACTTATAATAACTTAGTGTCTAGCCTAGGAGGCTGGTCAAGTAGCACGGCCAACTAGGCGGGACGGAACGGGATGGGACGGGACGGGGTAAGGCTGTTTGTATCGGCGCCCGCACATCATGTAACTAGTAGACACGCACGAAACAAGACGACTTTGATGACGACAACACGATTTATGTATAAGTAACATAACGCATAACGCATAGGTAATGCATAGCACATGGCACGGGCGAAGCTGGCTGTATTACCTATGCCGGGAGTTATCGCTGAGCCTACATATAATTCCGGCCTAGCTGGCTGGCCGGCTGGCCGTAGTCCATTATCTAACTGCTATTCATACAAGCAACACATATCGCTTCCTTACTCCCGTTTCCCTCCCATTTTCCTCCCCGGCGGTACGTCTAGTTGTATTGCATGTATGTGGCGGTCGAGTTAAACTTAAGGTTGCCCTTGATGACCTTGTCGACGGCGCTCAGGAAGTCCTTCTCGGACGCAACCTTTCTCCTCGCGCGAATGGCGAACATGCCCGCCTCGGTGCACACGCTGCGGAGCTCGGCACCCGTAGCGTTGGGACATAGACGGGAGATTAGTTCCCATCGGATATCTCGCTCGACGGACATACTCTTGGCGTGGATACGTAGGATGTTGGCTCGGCCCTCGAGGTCCGGCAGGGAGAACTCGATCTTTCGATCGATTCGACCGGGTCGCATGAGCGCGGGATCTAGAGTAGAGGGCCTGTTGGTGGCAAACATGACCTTAATATTACCGCGGGCATCGAATCCGTCTAGTTGTGTGATAAGCTCCAGCATAGTTCGCTGTACCTCGTTGTCTCCACCGGCTCCGTCGTCGAATCGAGCACCGCCCACAGCGTCGATTTCGTCGAAGAAGATGATGCAGGCCTTCTTTGTCCGGGCCATCTCGAATAGCTCTCGCACCATCCTGGCTCCCTCACCGACGTACTTCTGCACTAACTCACTGCCGATGACTCGGATAAACGTGGCGTCTGTTCTGTTTGCGACAGCTCGGGCGCAGAGAGTCTTTCCGGTACCAGGGGGGCCGTATAGCAGAGCACCTTTCGGGGGATCGATGCCTAAGTTGACGAACCGCTCGGGCGACAGCAGCGGCATCTCGACCACCTCTCGTAACTTCTCCACCTGCTCTTTGCAACCGCCAACATCGCCGTAAGTAACATCGGGCTTCTCCTCGACCGTCATCATAGTAACGCTAGCATCGATCTTAGGGGGAAGCGGTAACAGGATCTGGTATTTATTTCTGTCGACGCCGACGCGCATGCCCTCCTCGATATCGGTGGGAGACACACGCTCGCCGAGCTGGACGACGAACTTAGCGATTTGTTTTACGTTGATGACGTATTTACTCTTGGTCTCGTCCTTCTCGTCGGCAATGATCTTGGTGCACCGCGCTACCTGGAGCGGCTGTTCTTCTGACATGCGCTGGCGGTCGGCGGCGACATCCCACAGGTGCGGCGGCGCGAGGCCAGTATCGGATTCCTTGACTCCGATCTTCTCGTCCACGGCTTGTTGTTTCTCCTTAATCTGCTTCTCGAGGTTTTTGAGGGCGGTGCCATACGGTGCTGCTCCGTATGTCTTGAGGACTTGGATATCTCTAGATACGAGGTTAGGTTCGGCGTAGGGTAGAAAGAAAGGGAAATTGGGCTGGAACGTACTCGTCTGATAAGGGCGTGATCTTCTTCTCTTCTATCTCATCGTCGGCGAAGTTCTTCCTGTACTTCTCCCAACTTGATCCGGTGGCAGAAGGCTGAAGTACCGTTAGCTAGAGGCCTGTAATAATAGATGTAGAAATCGCCGTACCATTTTGTTAGAGAGCTTCTAAAATCAAGAAGCTCGCTAATGTTGTTATTATTATTAGAGAAAAGAGAGAATTGGTGGGAGGAGGTGAGGACGGGTGTTATTTGAGAATTGCGTATTGTGTATTGTGTATTGTTTGTTTGGTGGACGGATAAATAAATGGTTGATGGAAATGAATATTATGAAAGTAAGGCAAACTGGAAGTTCGCGAGGTCACTGATGATGGACAAATGTGGTTGCATAAGCTCCTTCATTGCCTAGAGTCGGACTTGCAGCTTCTACATACCAGACATATGTAGATAATAGAGGTACGTACCAAAAATCTATGCCATATCTGGTTAGTGGGTAAGTAGCCTCGCAGCTACCCCGGGAGCATTTTATTGTACATAGTGTATTAAGCACATATACCAAAAAAATATCACAGCCTAGGCGGGGAGCTTTTATCACCTCTCTCATAAACCCACCTCTTTTCATAAATCGTAGGCTAATATTTCGGTGTACCCTACGACAAAGTTTTGACATCCTATCTCTACCAGAGTTCGGAGTTTTTAATACTAGGAAAACTAGGAAACCTTGTGTTTGTTAAATACTAAACAGCTGGATCGCCATGGCTACCGCAGCGCAATCCGCCGTTGGCGCACATTCCAACGCTACTTTCAGAGTATGACCTCTATTTCTTCAATCCAGCTTGCAGTCTCAGGACTAAGGGTTCTTGTATGACTAACATGTAACAGGATAAGGAAAAGCCCATCGCCGTGCGGTCTGCAAACATCGTTGCTGCCAGAGGTATGCGTATCTCTACAAATCCTCCCGGTACACTTACTAAAGCCCAACAGCCGTTGCCGATGCCATCAGAACCTCGTTAGGGCCTCGAGGAATGGACAAGATGATCAGGAGTGGAAGGGGCGAAACCATAATCACAAACGATGGAAACACGATGCTGAAGAGCATGTCTGTCATGCACCCCACAGCCAAGATGCTTGTCAACCTCTCAGCAGCACAAGATGTCGAGGCAGGAGATGGTACGACGTCGGTGGTAGTTATATGCGGTGCCCTGCTCGGCGCGGCAGATAGATTATTATCCAAGGGCATCCACCCTTCAGTTATTTCCGAGTCTTTCCAAAGAGCGGCGGCAGCGGCAGTTCAGATCCTCCACGACATGTCACAACCTGTCTCCCTAGCCGACAGCGCCACCCTTCTTCAAGCAGCAAACACATCTCTCTCTTCTAAGATTGTCTCCCAATATTCAGGCTTGCTCGGCCCTATGGCGGTCAATGCGGTCACAAAGACTATCGATATCAAGTCAGCCGACAATGTAGACCTGAAGAACATCCGAATCATCAAGAAGGTGGGAGGTACGATAGAAGACAGCGAGCTGGTGGATGGACTGGTCCTGAATCAGTCGGTCATGAAAGCAGCAGGTGGCCCGGTAAGGATGGAGAAGGCCAAGATCGGCTTGATCCAATTCCAACTAAGCCCTCCCAAGCCAGATGTAAGTCAAGATGGATAAAAGTCTCCCGTCTACAGTTTTCTAATTACGTGCGTAGATGGAAAACACGATCCAGGTCAATGATTACCGTCAAATGGACAAGATCGTCAAGGAGGAGCGTCTCTACCTTCTTAACCTCGTCAAGAAGATCAAGAAGGCCAAGTGCAACGTGCTTTTAATTCAAAAGTCTATCCTCCGTGATGCTGTCAATGACCTCTCCCTGCACTTCCTTGCCAAGCTTAACATTCTGGCGGTCAAGGATATCGAGAGAGACGAGGTTGAGTTTATCTGCAAGTCTACCGGCTGCAAGCCCATTGCAGATATCGATTCTTTCACCGAGGACAAGCTTGGATCTGCCGACCTTGTCGAAGAGGCTCAGTCTAGCGGTGCACGGATGGTCAAAGTTACAGGCACGAGATCGGCGGGAAAGACGGTGTCTATAGTCTGCCGTGGCGCTAACAACTTAATTCTGGACGAAGCCGAGCGTTCGCTCCATGACGCGCTTTGCGTCATCCGTTGCCTCGTTAAGAAGAAGGCTCTTATTGCTGGTGGTGGTGCGCCAGAAATCGAGATCGCGGCTCAACTCTCCAAGCAAGCACGCTCACTTGCCGGCACGGAGGCCATCTGCTGGAAGGCCTTTGCGGATGCTTTGGAGGTGATACCTACAACGCTAGCAGAAAATGCCGGCTTAAACAGCATTAAGGTGGTTACGGATCTACGACACAGACACGAGATGGGAGAGAAGAATGCAGGTGTAAGCATCAAGAGCGGTGGTGTCAACGCGAACATTGCCAAGGAGAACGTACTGCAACCGCTGTTGGTGAGCACGAGTGCTATCGAGCTGGCGGCCGAGACGGTCAAGATGATTCTTAGAATTGACGACATCGCACTGACAAGGTAGTGTGGTTTACGACAGCTAAAATGAATTGTACATGATAGCAATGAAATAAGACGTGATGAGATGACATAATCAGGGGTATAAATTCCCCTTAGCCTAGTAATATCAAAGTGATGCAAGCTTGCTACCATGTCATGACATTTCTATTTATAATATGTATACATAGGTAATATGTATACACCTATAGGTCTACCTATAGAAGGTCTAGTTACCTATAAAAGTATGGGCACTTAGAGCAGGAGGTTTCGATTAGTCAGTCGGCCTCGGATTTATAGTATCGCTTTCTCACCTTTCCCGATTAACGGATCGGTGGGATGAACGGAGTCGGGGCTTTACACTAGGTTAGGTAGGAGGGGTTCGGGCTTCAATGGCGTCATTTGTCGGAATAGCATTTGGATGTAACATTGTTTCAGCCGGTGGTTCTACATATATGTATGTAGTATTTGGAGTACAAGGATAAAGTCTAATAATTGATCGATACCATTAGTAATTCATGTCGGGGCAGCAGCCTTGGAGCCAGAGCTCTTTCGTAACCTTTACTAAGGCTGTCCCTGATCAATCCAATCCTGCGTAAGTTCTTTTCTCTTCTTCTTCTTCTTTTTCTTTTTCTGTTTCCAGTTTGCAAAGATACCCTGTACAATACATATCGTCACTCGGCCGAGTCCCGGAGCCGGAAAGGGATCACCCTCGAGGAAAAGAGGAAAAGAGTCCCCTGGGAATGTCTATAAGAACTGCGTCCATCCGCTTACTGTCTTGTAGTTCTGGAAGAAGAGCTGTAGCACCGCAGACAGCAATCATTCCTTCGCATTTGCAGAGCATTCGGAATAATCCCTTGATCATACACATCCGCAACATGGCGTCCATCCCTACCACCCAGAAGGCTGTCATTATCGACAAGACGGGAGGCCTTGAGGTCCTTCAGTATAGGACTGATATCCCCGTCCCCACTGTCGTCGACGGCCAGGTCTTGGTCAAGAATGACTACTTGGGTGTCAACTTCATCGACACGTGAGCACCATCTTCTTCTCCTTCTCGTTCCTCCCATTGACAGTCTATATCTATCTATCTGTCTATCTATCTATCTATCTATCTATATATATACTCCTGAACTAACCAATAACACAGGTACTTCCGTTCGGGCCTGTACCCAGCACCGCAATTCCCGTACATCCTCGGCCGCGAGGCAGAAGGCACTGTCGTCAAGACGGGCGGCGGGAACCTGTACGGGTTGAAGGAGGGCGATAGAGTTGTCTGGTACGTTCGATCGTCCATGTCCTGATCCAGACCCCGCATTGCGACATATGATAGCCCCGCCCCCCTGAGCCCCTATTCATACCACCACCACCACCACCACCATTACACATATATACATACACTACCTATGTCACATAGTCCTCTCCTATCAGATACCAACTAACACCCCCCCAGGCTCGGCGAAAGCGCCTACGCACAGTACACCGCAGTCGACGCCTCCAAAGCCATCAAAATCCCCGCCGGCGTAGCGCCCAAGATTGCCGCCGCCGCCTTGCTCCAAGGCCTAACAGCCTTGACCCTAGTGCGCGAAGCCCACCGCGTCGAAAAGGGGGACTGGGTCCTCGTCCACGCCGCCGCCGGCGGCACCGGCCTCTGGCTAGTGCAGCTGCTCAAGGCCATCGGCGCCAACACCATCGGCACCGCGTCCACGCCCGAAAAGGTCGACCTGGCGCTCAAAGCCGGCGCCACGCACGTGATTAACTACAGCCACGAGGACGTGAAGCAGAAGGTGTCCGAGCTGACCGGCGGCAAGGGCGTCATCGCCGTGTTCGACGGCGTGGGAAAGTCCACCTTCGATCTGAGCTTGGAGGTCGTCGCGCGCAAGGGCACCCTCGTTTCCTTCGGCAATGCGTCGGGCCCCGTGCCCCCGTTGACGATCGCCCGCCTGAGCGCCAAGAACGCCCGCTTGCTAAGGCCTACGCTGTTTAACTATGTGGCTACGAGGGAGGAGCTCGAGTACTATACTAATGAGCTGTTTGGCTTTATTACCGGGGGGAAGATCGACGTGCGTATCCATGAAGTGTATCCCCTGAGCAGTGTTGCTCGTGCTCAAGGCGATCTCGAGGGTCGGAGGAGTACGGGGAAGTTGTTGTTGGATCCTTCGAAATAAGGAGGGACGGATAGATAAGATGGGTTGAAGGAGATACATAGTTTTTCGTATGTAGCTTCATCGCAAACCAATTTATACTCTCGTGAAAACTATGGGAGGTATTCTATGAATAAGTCTGCCTTGACTAGATCTTGTGTTTTATTTTATTTGCAACTATGGTATAGTCATTCGACGTCTTCCCCCGCAACGATTGCTAGAGCCAGCTATTTACAGCACGACGTAACTAACTACGATGTCCACCAAGCTAGTAAAAAACCAAACCGCAAAATGTCAAGGAAATCAGCCGCCGAAGCAAGCTAGCTCCAGCTTACAGCCTGCTTCCGGGTATCCCTCTCGAAAGCCGTGGCAGCAAGGACAACAAAGCCTCTGCATCGGAATCCGGACTCTCTCTCTCTCTCTCTCAAAAAATAAAAAAAATGTGATAATGCATATCAACAACCATCACGCTGGGTGCATAAACAACCGCCTCAGGCGCCGTAAGCCCCAGACTAAAAGTGCAACCGCCCCGCCCGTAGGAAACTTTTGTCTTTCGTGACCCTGAAACTCCGCAAAGGAAACCCGTGATATGACTGACCAAAGAGGACAAGCAGAAGTAACAATAATAGTTATATTGGCAATTGTGCAGCAACGCTCTCTGTCTTTTATTCATGAAGTATCGTTACCTAGCATCGAGTGGACGTGGATGAGCTTGGGACCATGCTCGCTGGTATGCCGTCAGTCTCGATACTTTTACGTACGTGGCGAGTGGGGAGAGAAGAAGAAAAAGAAGGAGAAGAAGAGGAAGGACTTACTTGTAATCAACACGATTGAGACTCATCGTGCGTTGCGCCTCTAGTGTCTGGGCGTCCAGGTTATGGATGCAATACGCCAGACGGGCGGCGATGAGGGAGCCGAGGAACATGGCCTCCTCGAAGCCGTTCTTAGTCCACTCAGCTAGGTAGGAGGGCAGCGGGGCCACCTTGATGCTCGTAGGCGTCTGGGCGTGAGAGTGGTGGCCGTAGCTAACGTCGCCGGAAGTCGAGCCAGGAGCCTGTACCGTGCCGGGCACACCCAATGAAGCCGTAGTAGCAGCTTGCAGGAGAGGGTTTACCGAGCTTGTGGTGGGAAGTTGGCCTGTAAAAGAGCCAGTGGGTGTCTGAGAGCCGGTCCCACTTGGTGTTGCCATGTTAGAGGGCAACTCCGAGGTGAAGATGGTCGCAGTGCTGGGTGATATTAGATGACGGGCAGTAAGGGTCTGAAGGATATTCTCCTTGAGACCTCGTAGGCGACTGCCATTGCCGACGAACACAAGATTGTCCCAGCAGCCCGGTCGCTTGTAGGGCTCATCAATGCTCTGAATTGCGCGATAGATAGTATCGGTGATTCGGTTAATCTCGTGACGATCTGCAAAAAGGAACCGCTCCAGACCAATCTCGATATCTCGTCGCACCCGCTTCGTTCTTCGCTCCGTGTTGGCAGCGTTAGCCACAGACTCTACCACCTCGACATTGGTATCGCTAGTACCCTCAGGTTTTGCCTCGGGTTTCGTCTCTTGATTGCTAGGCGTAGCATCAGCCATAGATACATCGGCCGCGGGTGCATCACCATTTGCTGCAGCGGCAGCTTCTGCTTTAGCGGCTCCAGTCGAGACGGAGACCTTTACATCCTCGTGCACTAATTCCTCATAATGGAACAAATTGGTCTTTCGCTTAGAGTTGGATAAGCGAACTGGCTTTGCCGCGGCAGGCTCAGCTTCTTGGGCTTTAGCCAGCTTCTTCGACTTCGCCTTTTCAGCCTTCTCCTTCTCCTTTTTAGCAAGGAATTCCCGCGTGTTACCGCTAGTAACGATATTCGCCACGTCTAGAACTCCTTCGTCGATTTCCTTACCCTCAGCAATTCCGTTCTCTGTCTCACCCCCAAATGCAGTTACAGGTTTCGATGGTTCTACGGGCTTCGGGGCTTCTGCGCCAAACGAGGCACCGCCGGGAATCTGGCCCACGGTCGGGGACATATCGTCCGTAGGAAGCTCCATAAGTTCATCCAGGTCGGTGGCGTAGGGGAGGACTTCGCAAAGCGGGCTCTTCTTGAGTTGCTCGGCCATTTCGTAGTTAAACCCCTTATCCTTCAGAAGCGACAGCAACTTTTGTGTGAAGACTTCTCCACCTGATATCTCTCGTACCGGGTTAGGGTAGCCCAAGCCCTTCTCGCTGACGATGAGATACTCGTGGATGCAGGTAACATCGACCTTCTCGTAGCCAATGTCGACAACAGTCATAGTCGGCCACTTTAGACCATATTGCGCCGCAACCGCGCTGTGTAGTAGGCATAGAGCGGGGGTCTTGGTCTTCTCAAATACGTAGCGCGCGATAGCTTCAAGATCAGGTCGGGTCCACTGTGGTGATGCCATCATCATGATCGGGGTGTTGTGGTATGTGGTAGTAAGAAGGCCATGTACGTGGTCGAGAAATGCTAGGAAGGCCGGCATGTTAACAATGCGACCACCCTCCAAAGGGTAGATTGCATCCTCGGTGCTGTCGCGATCCTCGACATATTCCCATTGATCCTCAGCTTTCTCGCCGTCTGTGCTTCCGGATGCGCCAGCCTTCTTGCGCTTGTAAATGCGATAGGGAGTATATTCGTTAGACTCGGGATCCTTGAACATTCGCGTGGGAATGCGATGAGCAGGCGGGGTAAGCTCATTGCAACCGAGTTGGGCCATGGTAGTCTGACTGCCGGGACAGACGACGAGGATTTGGTCCTCGCGCCACTTACCCTGCTGGCTCGCCATATTGAGGAGCTTGCGGGAAGCCTTGGGGATAGCAGGTTCTTGCTGGCGCACGAAGGATCGATGCGATGCTCTAGTGTCTCGGGATGTTGTTGAATATAAATTATAAACGGAAGTGGAGAGACGGTTGTTAAATTGACCGTTGTTGAGGCTAGAACCCTCGTCGACTACCGGAGTAGGATGATCTAAGAATGGTTCAAGAATTGCTCCAAGCTCGCGCGTACCAACGCGTCGAGTTCGGCTTCCATTCTGAGGCTGAGGCTGAGGCTGAGGAAGTCCGGTCTGTGGCTGGGACCTGGAAGAAATATTAATCCATGCTACCTAACATCCAATGTACCTAATCCATCCGTATGGATCCGTATGGATCCGTAACTTTCCAATGGAAGTGGAACTCACTGCAACCGGTTGGCGTCGGCAGGACCCGACGGTGTGGCTAGTGCGCCTTGGCCCACGGATCGGTTTCGACCTCGGCCTCTGCCCTTGCCCTTGCGCGCACGTTTTCTTCCCTGCATTGGAATTCGATTTAACGATGATTTGTCTATATCGAAATTACAAATCCAATCCTGATGGAATTTAGTTTGAAGTTTGAAGAAAACATGAACGCATCGAATTGTTGTTGCTGGGCAGTAGAAAAAGGTACCAGTTACAAATGGCGATAGCTTGTAGGCACATCTAGGTACATCTACACATTCACTACAGCAGGCAAGTCACTGTCGCCATCGCTAGGGCTACCATGAGGATGCATTGTGTAGGCAACTTTCGAGAGCTTATGTCCTATCGCTGTTGGCTTCTAAAAATGGCTGCCTGTTAAGTTACTCCCTAGCATATGCCTGTATAATTCACTATTCCTGTCCATAGTAATTCCCATAGCACTTGTTCCTTTGACTCTTACACATACGCGTGCCATTCCTCTTCCCCGCTTGCTTGATGATTGCAGATTGGTACAATATGTTAAACAATAAAAGTACATATCAAGGGTATTATTCAGCTCGAGTAGCCCGTATCGCCCTCGAGAGACTTGTTTAATGTTGATCGCAGCGCATCGAGTATCGTGCAAGATAGCCTCATACCTGTAACCCGATCATTCCTTGATCATAGTGGTATCTCGTCCTTCCTGTAATCGTTCCTATGCTTTCCCAATAACTCCAAACTTCCCATGGTTGTGACTGAAGAAAATTGTGAACATTGTACTACCACCCTTACGCAACAGTGACAGACACGTCGGGAGTGGCCTTGAAGCCAGTCTGCTCTTCTGTACCTGTTGACTCCCCGGTCATCATCTTCTCTCCGTAAGAAGATCTGTTTCCTATTCTGGAGGAGCGGTCGCTAATGCTCTCAGATTCTTGGGTAGGAGTGACCGCATGCTCAGCTTTCTCGGTATATTGCTCAACATTGTGTGAATCGCTAGCTTCTTTCGCTATCGGTGCCTCGTCCATTACTGCTGCATGCTTGGTAGGGTCTTCTTTGGCCCTCGGTGTAATTACTTCGTCAACTTCACCTTCAAGTTCAAATTCCTGTTTAAGTGGACTGCCCATTAAACCATTGACATCTACCATCTGGCTCCTCGTACGAGACGCACGGGCAGGGCTTCTGAGCGGAAGCGGAGGTGGCACTCTTGCAGGAATGTTAACTCGAGAAGCTACCATCGCTACTCGAGCGGGCGCCTGGGCTGTAGCAACTTCGAAAACGATAGCCTCGTCTTCCACGTCGGATTCGTCGTCGTCCTCCTCTTCAGCTTCAGCTTCCTCTTCCTCTTCTTTGTCGCTATTGTTATCATTACCCTCATCCAATGCCTCATCGGCTGCATTACTGCTAATATTTTCGGTGTACATACCCGTACCCGTACTCCTCGTGTCTTCGGTAACTTCAACTTCTAAATCGTGTTCATCTTCCTCCTTAATAATCGTCGTTGTTAGCTCTTCGTCCAGATCTGGGAAATTTGATAGGCTCCTCAGAGCACTGATATCAATCTTAGTATAGTCAACCTCAACAGGCTCTTTCGCCACTGGGACGTCTTCAGTTGCCTGTGGCTGGTTTCCATCTTCGCTTTGGCTTTGACTTGAGCTTGGGGTCGTCTGAGGCGTTGGGAAGTTACAGGTTTGCGTGCCGACATCGGTCATCTGGCTTCGTTCAGTAGCCATCGTTCTGCTGGACATATAGCTTCCCCTATTACTCCGTGATAGATAGGTATCCATACTTTGGCGACCAGCTTTGGGAAAGAAAGGGCTCGTCGGACTAGGGTTATATTCGAATTGGCTGCTATCGGGTCTCAGTCGTGTGCCGGCTTCACGAATGCCGATACCAGCCATCTCGAGAGCCATAACACCAAAAGGATCCGGATCCTCAAAATCAGGAGCCCCAAATGTTGTCGACGGGGCCCCCGAACTCGGAGATTCGATGGTTGCATCTCCGGGCGCAGAGGAAAGCAAGTCAACGAGGGCTGTGTCATAGTCCGTTCTTCCTTCGGCAGCCTTGAGCACTTCGGTAAGAGGCCGCGTTTGGGGCAGACTTTGGTTGATATCCCCCGCCAAAATTTTGGCGACACTGATTTTCATCCCATAGAACCTCTCGTTCTCATCAGCCCGCTCAGTTACGACTATTCCGTCCAATTTGACCTCTGCACTCTGTCCTTTCGCTTTCACGTATGCAATTGCCCTATCGCTCAGATCGGCCCATGTGACATCGTTTTCAAGGAGACCTACGGCCACCAGAGGGCCAGCGGTTAGACTGATATCGGTACCAAGAGTTAACCGCGGCCTTGCAAATGTTTCGAGGACCGTAAAATTGTTAATAACGAGAACGCAATCATAAATGTCAACGCCAAAAACAAATCGCAAACTAGCTGTCTGAAGCATCAACCCAGATGGCGGAGACCATGTCCCATCTGTTTTGCGCGCGATCAGAATGCCGCTACCGCCTGACCCGGACCCAGAACTCCATATTCCAGATCGCATCGAAGTAAAAACCGCAAGCCCCACAGCATTTTGTAATATTCTTGGAGGGATCTTCTTTAGAAACCTATGTGACGATTGTGTACTCGAGTAAGTTGACGGGGTCCCCGGTCGGTCGTCTGGGGTTGAGAAGCCATCGCCTGTTGATAGGCGTCAGTTAACAGGATATCCCTTACTTGCGGATACGAACAGTGAGAACATACTACAGAAGGATTTAAGAATGCGGGCGGCCTTGTCGCATTCCTTGTCTAAAGTCGCGGGTAGGAAAATATCCCTACTTAGCCTCGACGTGCTAAGGCGGTTTACAGGTGAAGGGATCTTGTCGGCCCAGCCGCGGACGAGGTCGACGCTATTCTTCCGAGTAACGGTCTTGTTATGGCCATTGCTATTGCCAATAACCGGCGTGCTCGATCTATTGCGATCCCACGGTAGGAGGGCGGAAACTCGCTGCATCATTGATGGCTAGCTGCAACTAACAAACACGGATCGTCACCTTCCGAAGGAAAGACGAGTTTGCGCCCTTCGAAGGAAAAGGCAACCTCTTGTCGAGAACAAAACCACAGTAGGTTGTCAGATCAAGGACGGAGAAGTCGGATCTGCTCATCAGACAGACGCTGAGCTAGCGGCATTGAAGAGGGAGAGGATATGGGATCCAAAGGGTTGGGTCGGAAGGCTTAACGAAGAGGGGACTAGGAAGAATTGACGACAACTCATGCAAAGGTTGGCAATGTATCTGATTCCTTTTCTCTGTTAGATACATACGATAGGCGGGTTGGCGGGTTGGCGGGATGGGCTAGAGTGGAAGTCGGCTGCAGACAAAAGTGACGTTTTGACTGGGCAGTCGACCCTCAAGCCGGCTTAGGATGCATGCGTAAATGCATGTTTAGTGGAGCCAAAGGTCAAGGTAGGGTGACCTAAGGTCAGGTAGGCGCAATTTGTGCAGGGTAGGACAAGACCAAGACAGCCTAGACAGGGAAGCGCAGGCACGCCCGGCAGCACCAAACGGCCAGGGGTAAGCAGGAGACTTTACCATATTAGGATAGTTTGCAATGGCGGGGAGTAATACCTAAACGGAGGGTTGCCGCACTACCGGTTCGGGTTTAATGAATTCAGGAACAAAACTACAAATTATTCAGGTACCTGCCTACCGCACATATATTGTGGACATACCACTACCTCGGTACCAAGCAAGAACAGGGCTGGCCTTTCATTTGAGTACATAGCAGTGGTTCCTAAAGCGCATTAAATCTAGAGGAGATGAATCATTACGGCGCATGATACGGATATGTATTACCTGCGTATATACAGTGTCGGGATAAGCTACTGCTATGTACATGATATCTATTATACGGAATATGAGATGTGCAGAATAGCAGATGCGCTTAAACGATCTTATCTTAGACCTTGGGCCAAAGGCAAAACGTACCTGAGTTTAACAGATACTATGTACCTAGGTTACATATGTACATGTTAATAGCAAATATATACATGTACCTAGTTAAGTCTAATCTATATGAACAAACGTGGCTGCAGAAACTCTATATGCTGCAGCGTTACATATGGTTAAAATAGAATACAGTATGTATCGTATTCCACTTTACACGGTTTAAAGATCTCGGAAGCCATAAATACCTACTAAATGAAACAAGTAAAACGCCTTCATGCGCACCTAATGTATGATGTATACCGACTTATTTTGATTAAGGCTTTAAATACAATGCGATCTCTTAACTCATTCCATATACACAAGTGAATGAAAGAAAAAAAACTACATGTAATTAAGGATCGCCTTTATCTCATCGTTGGGACTCGGGAATTCGAGTCGATCGACAAGGAAACCCTGGAAAGGGCCAAAAGGCTACTCTCCACACTACTAAGTCATTCATTCCATGTTTTGTTTTTCTCAACTGTCTTTCTCATTCTATGTATAGGTTGAGTCCAATCATGCACTTTTACGTCTCTGTACATGTGTGGATCTACATAAGCAGGTATGTTGTGTACACTACATATAGTAGGTAGACATGTTTTCGATGACCATGCACCTTCACTTACACCAGTATCATCGTCATGTACGTAGGCTTTGCTGGCTCGTCAAATGTCGGGCTGCCTTACCGCCTCAAACGTCTGTGGAAATGCCATGTACATCCGCGGCGTTGGCATAAAAGTGCCCGACACCGCCAAGCCCGCCCAAAACCCACTGACACATGGGCGCTTGCAGCATTGCAGCTTGCACCGATCATGAGCACGACATGAACTGATCGCTCTTTCACCCCTAGTACGTAGTGACGGTAGTGGAAACCCTACGTTGACAAATCCAGTTATGAGGTGACAATGGAATGGGCTCGTAAACGGGCGATGGCGAGTAGCGGCGATAATCTCGCGGCAACTTATCAATATTGATCCTTCGAGAAGATAGTTTAAATACTTTGGTAACTAACTGCTACCTAGGTTATGTACATAGGTACCTATGATACGAAGTAAAATGGTCGTTCTGGGGTTAGCGGAACAGAGATCCTTTCAATATATTTTAATATACTAAAATTCCCAGGACCTCTCCCATGCAGCTTGCTGCGCCAATGCAATTTATTCACGGATATCAAACTGCTCAACTACTGCATAATGGTAGTAGGCTGAAGTTAAATATGCTCAGAAGAGTTATTCTCATCTGACTGCAGCTGCTATATTGTTATGATGACGATCAATCATGTGGCCTCCATCATCTGTTACGAGGTAGCCTCTATGTACTCGCGTGATACGAGGTTCGAGTTTGTAAGTATGCATGTGCAAAATACTGTGCAGCTACTGTATATCCATAAGCACATAGGTAGGTACATACCTACCTACATGTATGTATGTACGCAAGTAATATGTACTAAGGTACCTAACGTATATAACATGGATGTACGAAGTACATAAATCTGTTTTGGTCCACATATCTTGCTTACATTACAGATTTCCCAAGCCGTTGGAAAACTTCTTTCCGAATTGAAACAAGGCTACCCCGGTCTACACTCAACGGACGCCAATTTTGTGCGAGGCGAGACCTGAAAGAATAATAGAGAAAAAAGAATTTTTTACTTGTCCAAACGGGCAAAGAAAAGTTCCCTATGTTTTATTAGAGCCTGTGTTTATTAGAGCTAATCCTCCGAATACAAGCACTGTATTACGCTGCGATCTGCTTCACCGAAAGACTTCGTGCAGCACCACTATGTACCATCGCCGACCAAAGCGTTCAAATAACAAATATCCGACTACACCGCAGCCCCCAAAAAAACACACTATAGGTATGTAGTAAGCGTAGCGCTCGCGAGCTAGCCCACTCCTATATAGTAGCATTGCACTACCCACCCTACTGCACGCCTAACTTAGTATATCGGTGTTTTTATTTTAAGCTTCTCAAGGCTGTCGACTGAACTTCTAGACCCCCAACATTAAGTTAGGTACATGCATACCATACCTACCGGCGTTTACGGAACGAAAGACCTTACCAAGCGGGACCCGGAGTGGCTCGGCCAAGGAGAGCCGGTAGGACGCGCGGCATTACCGCTGGTTTCCCGGGGTTTGGCTAAATTAATAAACTCCACGATCCCTCATATCCATGGCAACTACATACATATCTACTCCGCCACTTCTACTTCAACCCCTGAATACCCCTATATCCGACCTTCTATAGACTAAACGTTAATGACGTATGATGCAAGTAGTGATACCTATCTATCATAGGGATTAAAAGAGGTAAAAACTTGCATGATAGGTAAGTGCTAACTTAGGTATAGCTAGTAAATAACTAAAAGACATTTATGGAGTGAACAGGTCTAAAAAAAAATATAATCGACAAACTAATTCACATATTAACCAGAAACATGAGTCAAGTGTCGTCTTCAGACAAACCCAAGACCAATGTCAATCTTAAGGCTTTCCACGTAACTGTTACTCGGCATAGCTGCTCACCGCTTGATGGCGATGTTACCAAGGCTTGGTAACTAGTTAGATTGATAGCCAGAACACAACGGAGTGGCCGAGGGGGGCAGAAGGGAAGGGCATAAGGATTGTCCAATAGAATTTCAGTTGTAGAAACGCTGATAACTACCACAGGAAACGTAGAAGCTACTCTTGTTTCTAATGACGGCAGTGTGACTATACCAGTTTATACGAAGGACAAGAAGATGCTAAGAAAGTAGGTTAGTCATTTAGCTTATGATTCGTATGGTCTATAGGCATGCCATTGAGAATTAGAGTTGCTATTAGAGTCCTATTCAACTCCTTAGAAAAATTAGATGAGCCAAGATACTCAAACCAGTCAACACAGCAAGCCAAGGCAAGTACCAGCGTAGTTAATCAGTCTAATATGGGATCTTCATTCAACAGTCTATCAATACGGTACACAATCTGCATATTTTTTCTTCGTCAAAGCTCGCATCGTCCCCGTATATCCCTTTCCCTCCAAAAGAAAAAGACCAAAAAAGGAAAAAAAAGAAAAAGAAACCATACACCACTCATATACCAATCCCCGCCCGTTTACCAAGATGATAGCAGCATAACATTATTCGTGAAATAAACCCCCGCTTCCCTCTCCCCCCCGAAGAAGCAAGCAATTTGGACAAGGTGTATAAACGCCGAAATGTGATGATTGATTTGCACCTGGCGGTGAGTGGGACCGGTGCGAGTCCTCTATATGTGGTGCCCCCCCCTTTCCGTCAGAACGAGATGATGAAGTATTAGAGTGAGAAGAGAAGAAGAATTTAAGAAAGGTGTCGTTCCACATGCATAACAAATAATAATACCCCGTCCTTGTTGCCCGAGAAGTGAAAAGTCGTAGCGTGGTATGTATGATACGGTAAAGTCTTCAAAAAATCGTAATAATAATAATAATGATAATAATAATGAATAATCGCAGGAATGCAAGCCATGCTCCCTCGACGCCCCCCCATAACCCGCCGTCGCCGCCACATGACCACTCCTGGTTATGCAAGAGTCCGTGGTGATACAAGTTGAAATCGAGGAACGTTGCTCGTAACGATGATAAACGGGGCCCGTGATCTATAAGTCGCAGCCGAAATTGCTCCTTCGACTAGTAGGCCTGCTGGGCCAAGGCATTCCCGGGATACGGGCCCCCGAAGAGGACATACTGCTCGAACGGGAAGCAGCTGATAGTCTTCCGCGAGCTGCGCACCCATTTGGGGCGGGGCACCTCCTCCCAGTCCTCGTTGGTCAGGGGGTAGAAGTTGTAGGCTTCGTGCGAGGGCAGGTCGTGGTGCTCGCACTCGAAGATGCCCTCGAGATGCAGGCGTTCGAGCTTGGGGATCTTGGCGCGGAGTCCCGTGAATAACGACTTGAAGTTGCCCTCGTACATATGGATGCCTCCCAGCGACACCTCGAAGGGCTTGGCGAGCCCGCGGCCGCCGAGACGTAGCCGGCGGAGGGTGGCGCCGTGCCGCGCGAGGAAGTACTTGAGGTCCTCCTCCTCGCACGAGACGCCCTCGAGCGTCAGGTCTGTGAGCTGTTTGTACGTGAAGTCGTAGAATAGCTCACGGAACGACAGGGCGAACTTGGAGTTCTCGCTGGAATAGGGGTGGAATGCGAGCTTCAGCTTTCGCAGATTCGTCGCGAGCTGCAGGATGCGGCCGAGTCCGTTGACGGCCTTGAAAGCTGAACTAGGGCCTTGCAGCCCTGACGGGTCGAGAGTTAAGTTGAGGGTCTCCAGACTACTGAACGACTGAGCGTGCATAAACCAGTGGCTGCGATGGTCTTTTGAACGGAATAACTCGAGGGGAAGTCGATCCACCTTGAAAGAGGTCAGAGGGACTCCATGGAGTGAGGAGATGATAGCATCTAAATTGCTATACGTCTGGGGTCTATCCAGCTTCCTGCAGCTTGGGTAGTCAAAGACATCCTTGAGAAGGTCATTTTGGAGAGGGCATTTCGTGAAAGTAATCTCAAACTCCTTAAGATTCGGAAGAGAAGAGCATGCTTCGCGAAGGTCGTCAGCCCTCAAATGCAATGGACCAACTGCTTTGCGCCCCCTTTCGATCCTATCGAATTCCTGCCTAGCCGATCCCATTAACTCATTGCGGTGATCTGGAGGCGTAACGAAATGTTGAAACCTAAGACACCATGTGAGCAAATCCAGTTGCATAAATTAAGATGAATAAATCAAGATGAATTGGGCTAAATATCGGCCTATAGCATGCATATAGTATACGTGGCTGTCGTATTCGCGTAGACAGCATTATAATAAATACTTGTGTGCAGAAAATGCGGTCTTGGCGACTCGAGATATCATAATTTGAGAATTTCCGAATGTGCAAAATATGAAATGAAAAAGAAGACCTACCATGAAGTGCTCCATACGTCGTAATACGACAACTCGCCGAGAAATATGCAGATTGATGTGATGCTGCCTCTCAATCGGTCGTGCAGCGCGATGGAGTGTAATCGGTCGATATCATTTCTCCACCCGACAGCGGTGAACCTGGAAGATAGCAAGAATTCATAGCCTACATCTGCTAACATGCGAGTGACCTCTCTTAGATTCCTTACTGACTCGGGTTCGCAATGAGAGAAGACGAGTCTCATAAGCTCGACGGGTAAGGTATCCATAGGGAACCGTAAGGGGTTGTAGATTGTAGATATAAAAATAACAATGAAGATGTTGAGTTAGAGAAAACAAAAATGGTAACCAAGACTGGTGAACTGGACTGGACTGGACTGGTGGTGGTAGTAGTGGTGGCAGTAATAGTGGTGTAAGACGAGAATGGGTATAATAATTTCCAAAGTCCGCCAGTTCGAAGAGCCTTGAAAATGAACAAAACGCCGTTACGGAGTGAATTCTAGACGAGATTTCGAAAGAAAGAAAATACAAGACCTCGCAGGCGTTCTCGAGGAATTTTTCTACTTGGAAATGGCGGTTAGTTAATAAGGCACCAAGAACGGCCGGAGCTCGTACTCAACGAAATGGCGGAGAGGTCGATGTTTGGTGCATTTCCTTTCTGCAACAAGCCTTTCCGAATCTAGGACAAAGGAAAAAACCGCACCAACTATCGGTGAGAATGAGACACACATATACAATGTACTGAATGTACTAAATTTTCATACTTTCTACTTTCTGACGGACAACAACATGGAACTAAAAAAAAAAAAAAATTTAAAGATCTATTCCCTAAATGTTTCGCTGTGAATGGGTCCCGCTGAGCATCCAGCTCAAGGGGCTGAAAGGATTTCTTCTCAAGGTGAGATGGCGGTAAGGCACCCCCTGTACGACCGCGATAGATATTGCTGGGTACGGTGAAGGAGAAACGACGAAACTTGAGAATACCTACGCGTATAGGGATATATGTGATATTATGTACCTATGTATATGTATGTAATAGTTGGAATAGTGCGAGAAGAACCCGGCATCTACATAACTGCGAATACTGTAACTACTGTGACTCAAAATGTCTACCTAGGCCTACGTAACCCCCAGTGAGTCCAGGGCTGCTAGGTTCCTGCATTAGGCCTTCATAGGCACCGTCCTGGGTCCATCCAAGCATAAACTTGGCGGGATTGTACCGATCCCGAGCCATGATTCGCTCCCTCAACCCTGGCTTGATTTAGCGGGACGATACAGCTCAGCAGTGGCGTTTTTTTCTTCAACGTTATCTTCGAATTGGAACATCCCCCCTTGCATTTATCTGTATCGTACTTGTAAAAGACGGAAGACAAAGTGTGAAGGACCGGGCACGATATTTTTTCTTCTTCATAATATTTCTTTTTCCCGCTTTAAGGACCTAATGTAGACACGGGAGCTGAGTCCCAAGTCTTACGTTTGCTAAGCGCTTTTGAAATTCATGTGCTCGTGTCTCAAGTAAGAAGAGCCTTGTACCACGGTCTGCTCTCGAAATTCTAAATACAACTTAACGAGCTCCAAGCCTTTGGGGGCCCGAGTCATGCTTCATAGCCTGCCGTGCCTTGCCTTGAATATAGCGACTTTGTCATCGTAGAACAATATCTCACGTAACCGGAGCCGTGCTGCTGACCCTACTGTATCGTCTTCTTGTAACGAGTCCGTCTCAGACTCAGCATCGTCAGACACATCCGTCACGTCATCTCCAGCGTCCGCTGCACCCGCATTGACGTTGTCCTCGTTCTCGTCATCATCCTCATCATCATCGTCGTCCTCTTCCGTCTCTTCGTCAGCCTCACTGCCGTCATCATCGTTGCCGTCGTCCATATCGATCACGATGGGCACGTCTTCATTATGGTTTCCACCCAGACCGACATCAGAATTACCGTTAGTACCGTCGCCCGACCGAGTCTCTAGTATCTCGAAACATTTACTGTTTATACCTACGTAGCAAAGTTGAATTTCTGTTCGTAGCGTGATAATGTCAACTAACTGGAGAGCAAGCTCTTTAGGATCAAAATTGCCAGATATATGTCCTAATATATGAGTTAAGTGCAGAGAGCGAAGTTGTGAGACGTTTGGAAGCCGCTGGAGGAATGGATGCTATAGATGTAGCACCAGTTAGTGTTCACCATCGTTACTATTGCGGTTAATTTAGGCTGGAACGTCTGCTTACCCAGTCTTTATAATCAATTGCCACAGCAAGTTCTCTGAGATTAGGCATTCGCCCGCTAGTAATGTAGGAAATCATTTCGCTACTAAGCACCCAACTTTCCCACCGACGGCTCTCTCCCGACTCATCCGAACTATCGAGAAGGAGCTTCTTGAGGCTTAACCGATGACGCTTTATCGCGCCCTTGAAAACTTGGTCAAGTTTCACAGCTGGATGAGGCGCCCGCCGTCGGTCTTGCAAGAAAAGTACCTCTAGGCTATTAGGCGCAAGAGTTTCCTTGATGAAACTAACCAGAGTATTGGAAGGAATGTTGGTATGTATGTGCTTCAATGCCAAGTGATACTGGGTCGGTGTTCCAGGAGGTGAGCCATGGGCCGGGGGTGTAGGGTGAAATTGTCTTTTTAGAGTCCTCCAGAGGTGTTCAACAAACATACAATCGAGAATCGTAAGACTTGTCAAGACGCTCCAGTCAAAAGCCTTTGTGCAAACCTGTAGTGATAACGGTACCCGTTCTAGTTCCAACGTCTCTAATTGAAGTTTTCCATCAAGACGCTTCCTTTCCGCAGATGCTTCACTGCTGCCTTGCGTAGAGACACCGGGCCGCTGCTGATTCAGGGGTGGTATTTCTCTAGGCGTTGTGATATTCGCGTGCGTGAACGGTGAAAGGCCACCGTTAGAACTTGAGCCGAATCCGACCCCGGATTGCGTCTGTTCCGAGGTAGGATCAGTCGAATCCTTCATCTGAACCTTTGTGGCGGGTTTTCTTCTTATGTCATATATTCTGCCAACCAATGCCCCGAGGACCCCCCCTAGTCTCCTTTCTCCGATCTGACTTTCCCCGGGCCAGCGGGCATCATGGTCAATTTGTTGCAAGGTATAGCTATCCCAGGCCTGCGCAAAGTCCGCCGTACGAGCTTTCTGCGATATCCCAATTCGGAGTTCCCGAAGGTAAGATCTCGAACGCTCAATTAACACTGATATCTCGTCTAAGTATGCGAGCTCATCGATGTCTAGAACCGTCAAGCTTTTGAGAGGTGGTAGAATGCTGAAAGTTGGATACTCGACGTGACTTTCCGAGTACTTAATTGGCTGTGTTACAGACGGGTGGAAATCACTAGGCAGAGTATTGCCGACAGGAGTCACTGTACTTCCAATAGGAACAGAAAGAGGCGGCAAGGGACCTTGGATCGGGCTAGAAACGGAGGATGAAGCATCTTGGATCTCGGAATTATCGTGCCAGCGAACCCAGACCTTCTCCAACTTAGATTGGCCCTCCGGATAATGATCTTGGAGGGATGCTAAGGCCATGAAAACTTCAGATAGAACCCCTGTGGGCATGTCCCATACGAATGTTTCCAAGTTGATCATCTTGCCGACAGCTATTGCCACCAATGTTCCTAGCATCTTCCCGCTCTCCTTAGTGACCATATACTCGGATGTCCAGTCCTTTGGCCCGTTACCGAGGGAAAATTTACGAGTATATCTTGCATATTGGTTGTTGGAAAGCCTCCCAGAAGATTCCAAGTAAGGTAGAGAGCTCCCTCTCAGCCATCTTGCCCGCTGAGCAAACTTACTACCTAGACACAAGGTTGCCAACCCATAGGTCAGCGCATCGACGTTTTTACTATCGGACGGGGGAACAGTATCATCTGGCCAGACTATATCGAAGCGGGCGTAAATATGAGGTATAGCGAGATAATAGAGTGTGGAATTCGTTAAAGCTAACGAGGTTAGGTCGTTCGTGTGGGTCACCTAGCATGCAGATGTCAGTAGACCTTATATAGGACCTATTCATAGGTGTCTCCAGCTTGCCTCCTTAACGATGAGCCGCAGAATGTCGACCGGAAGGTCGAGAAGCTGCAACGGCCTAGGCTTGGATTTTATAGCTTCCCATTCTCGTCCTTTGCCTCTAAGAAGTTTGGATAGGTTCGGCACAGGCGGGTCGCGCACAGGAATATCCGACGATGAAGATTCCGGCGGATACTGACCGTTCTCATGTCTCGTTTGCGGATGCGAACTTAAAAGGTCCTTCAAGCTGGAGTGGCTTGAATCCGCGCTGTTAGCCATGATATTCTGTTGATGCTCGCCCTTGACTTATGATATCGCTTGAAGCTAAAGACGCCCCGAAGCATCGAATCGCATGCTGTCAGCTATGATGGATACCGCCAATTATTTATATTGGGGCTTTAGATATGAGGCGGAAACAACTAGAGGGCAGTATTATTGAGTCGCGCGAAATGGATGTTATACGCAACTCCCAGCTACTTAGTGAGTAGCAACTAGTAATATGATCGTTGCTGGAGCACTGGAGCGCTGGAGCGCTGGAAGAGCTATGTACTAAATTAGGTAGGCAAGTTAATATTTAATTAATGTATTGTACCGTTGCGTGGGTAAGCGATTCAACAAGGATAGCATCGATTTATTTTGAGTTGTAAAACAAGAGCCTGAAGTGTGGCTCTAGCCGTGTGTCGTAGGGTAATGATTGTGAAAGAGGTATGTATTTCATCCGTTTCAACTCAGGCGAGGCTTGCATCTAGGTAGGTTTCCCGTACTTGACGCCTTTAGCACAATAATCTCTAAGTGGATTCTAATTGGCCTGTCGCACGGGGTAGGCAGGATGGGCGTGGGGCACATGGCACGTAAAACATAAGGTTGGCACCTAACTCAAAAGGGATCTACGAAGAAATACATACAGCGGAAGTACGGCAGCCACCTATCGATAAGGTATCTAATCTTAGGTACAGGTAGTAATGTACATGTATATGTATAATGCTTCAAAATCTGGAAGCATCTCCTTGATGATATCGAAATGGAGTATATATTATGTAGTAGATGCGATTGGATGGGATCATAGTTGGCTTATCGTCATCACCTCGTCGTTACCAAGCTAGCTTCTCACGAGGCACAGCATGAAATTACACCATGGTTTATATGAGAGGAGAGAATTCAAGAAAGACTGACGTCGCACTGGTCAGGCATACTTGCTGCCCTTTTCAATACCTGGTACCTACACTAAAGTCATGAGGGACTGGAAGTTGCCAGCCTGAGCCCCTCCAAAAGCCCCGCCTCTTTTGCATGTATATTGTACCTCCCCGCGACGTTTATAGGTATTTACAACAGAGCATCCGCTTTCTTTCTCCTAATTATCCTCCGGTTCTTCCCAGCCTCTTTATTCTTGGGTTTCTAGCCCATATAAGTCTGTTTTGGCTATACCCTACGACTTATATTTGCCGCCAACTATTTTATTTTTCTGCGAGGAGCTGATCAAGCTGAGAACTAGCTATCTCCGATATTATAGATTTGGTACCTAGGTAGGTAGGGAACCTTACCTTTCTTGCCCCGCTCTTGACTGTTTCCCGTTTCCCGTTTCTCCCATCGCGCGCTTTGTGTCGTGGCTAAATCAATCAGCTTCTGGCGCCGTGTCCTATTCACTTGTCTATGACTACACCAGTGACTGCCTAACAACACACTGGCCTTAACTCAAGTCAGTCTGAACACTCATCCGAGCTTCTGGTCTATTGCTATCTCCTATTTAAATTGACTGTCTTCCTAAGCTAACTTTGCAACATTCTAGATTAATCTGGGTTACGCAAGAAATACTATCTACTGTCGCATATCGATCCGAGCCCAATAAGATTTGTCGCATCTATACTCCGAGTTTTGTTCTACGTTGGAAAACATGGCAGGTTTCGTAACGGATCTCTGGGAATCTATCTTCACTCCCGGAACAACTCCAACTCTCCTCGTCGCTACAAACGCTACATTCGCTTGTTTACAGCTCGTGCTTCTTCTCCTACTAGTCGGGACATATAGCATTCACTTCGTGATACTCTCATTCCTGTGCGGGGGGCTCTGGTGGGCTATCAACTGGTTCGCAGCCGAGTTGAGCGTAGCACAAGCCAAGGAGGCCAGGGACAAGGCACTTTCCGAACAAAGAGCGGCTGCACAATCTTCGGATGAAAGCGAAGACACCGAAGTGGAAACCGCTTTCATCGCAAAGGGGAAGCCTACCACAGGAAGCAAGGAAGTGGAAGTTATAGAACAGACGGGAAACTTGAAACTTCGAACGGAACCTTCGTCCGGAACAAAATCTAGTGTTAGTACAGAAGACGAGTGGGAAAAAGTATCCGAGAATGAGAACGAGAAGGACAAATGAACTATAACCTAAACGAATATAATTATATACGCTTGGGGTCGGGGTGGCATTTGCACGAGCATTTGTAGCGAGGTTGGGTCAGTAGCATAGATACCTTTGCATTTCAGGACTTCAGCGTTGATTATCATCTTGCTCTCTCCTCTACAGCTACTAGCATGCTTATAGATGAAAGGACATTTCTTATATTGGATTCAACCGGTTGTCAATATATGAATAATAGTCAATATTTGTCTAAAGATGGCCTATGTAGCATATATGATATATTTAGCTTACACATGTTTAGAATGAAGAATTGAAGCTCTCATCTGAACTGGACTTACATGCACCTAGGTATGTATAAAACATCAGTGAGATCCATACAACGGTACTTATCCAAGTACCCAAGTACCCAATCGGGAAAATAGCTTTTAGGTCACGTGACGGTACGCAACCTGCAATTGACGGCCTTTAATTTTCACCACCCTAGAACTTTGCCTTGTAACCAAAGCTCACTAAACGCGACTGTCCGACCTTAAGCTTCCAACCAAGATCCCGAAATACAAACCTCGAAACCCATTATCTCGCAAAACACGAATAATAAGCCAAGATGAAGCTCGTTAGGTAAGCTTATCCTACTCCCACACGGCGCATAACTGTGTGCTAAATTAAGTATTCACAAAAGCTACGTCTACGGCTCCGGTGCTAATTGTGATGGTCTCCCAGGTTCTTGATGAAGTGCGTCAACGAGACGGTGACGATCGAGCTGAAAAATGGTACGCGCTACACTAAACTCCTTGATTGGATAGGATGTTATCTCTCTGTGCAGTGACTAACGACGGCACTGTTTAGGAACGATCGTGCACGGCACAATCACGTCGGTCTCGCCGTTGATGAACACTGCCTTACGAACAGTCAAGATGACCGCCCGCGGCCAAGACCCCATCTCCTTGGACACCATGAACATCCGCGGTTCCACGATCCGCTACATCATTCTGCCCGACTCGCTGCCCTTAGATACGCTCCTGATCGATGACTCGGTGAAACCCAAGAACAAGGCGCGCAAGGAGGCTGCGGACAGAGGTATCCGGGCAGGCGGGCGTGGTAGAGGACGAGGACGAGGCCGCGGCCGTGGACGGGGTAGACCGTGAGAAGGAGAGCCCTAGCAGCAAGCTTTAGGAGTATCGGTGATGCTATATTACAGCACACTTGCGCCTCCAAGAGGACAGGACAGACAGAGGAGCAGGAGGAGGAGGCTACGTTACAAATTTAGGTAAATGTCATGAGAGTCAAGTCAAGAGAGAGAAAGAGAGTACGGAAGATGAGTTGGTGGGCATTACTTCTACGGCGTTAGGGGGTAGGCAAATGAAAACACAACACACACACACAGAAACACAACCATGAAAGAATGGCAAAGCTGGTATGGCTCCTTTGCAAACACTACTTAATTTTTCTTCTTTCATGCGGAGCTAGCTGAAAGCTCACCAAGAAACCAAACAAATAAAGTCCCATTGGCAACCAAAAACCCTCCTCCTCCTACGTGCTGTTAACAACCTACTCTGCCCAGATCCTGATGATCTGCAGCTTCTCCCACCCGGCCTGCTTCCCACTAGTCCCCACCGTCGCAACCTTCCACGCCTCCCCGAGGCCTAGGATCCGCTGCTTGACTTCGTCCGGCTTGTTCTGCGCGCACAGCAGGATGTACGCACACCCCCTGCGAGAAAGCACTCGGGGCAAGCTGTTAATCAGCCTCTCCGTCGTTTCCATCCCATCCCTACCGCCCGCGTAGGACAGCGAGAGCATATACGAGTCGTCGTCAAACGTCGGCTCAGCACCCAGAAGCGGCAGATCCGCGTGTCCCGGCTGCTTGGGCAGCTGGGGCGTCGGCACGTACGGCGGGTTGAAAATCAAGACGTCTACCGACCGGTCCCGCACCGGCGCAACCAGGTCCCCCTGGAACGCGCCGAGGAAGCTCCCGTGCGTCGTCGTCGTCGTCGTCGTCGTCGTCGTCGTTGCCGTCGCGGCTTTTTTCGCCGTCTCGCTTGTCGCTTTGCACGCGTGCCCGTTGACGTCGACGGCTGCTGTCAGGACGTCCCGCGATCCGAAGAGCACTTGCGCTTGTGCGTTGACGAAGGCGATGACGACGCCTGAGCCGGGGCCGACCTCGACTACTAGCGGGACATAGCCGTCTCCGAAGCGGGCTTGGAGGAATGCTGTCTCGGTGGCGGAGGAGAGCGTGTCTAGCAGTAGGAAGGAGTCTTCCGCTGGCTCGTATACCCTCTCGTACGCCACGTGCGAGGTATCGGGCGTCGGCAGCATGTCTATGCCGTGTTAGTCGTTGAAGCCAATCCGGATTACGGTGGCAAAGCGATGCAGAGTTGAGTCGAGCTAATAAATTTTCCAAGCACAGAAATTAAAGCACGTGATATGTTTGTTTTATATGATAGGACAGCGATGAGTATATTGATTCTTGTTGTTCAATGGACCCCTGCGAGGGTTAATAGTTTGTTGTATGTTTAATGCGAGTAGATGCAGGCGGACCTTGACTATGGGCATTTATTTGCGTGTCTAGTTTCACGAGAAGCTTCACGGCCGGAGCCTATTCGCAAAGTATATTTCCCTTTATCCAAGCCAGCATCACTATTCTTAACCGTCATGACTTGAGTCGAGTTTGACGTAATGTAAAACCGGTACTTGGTGTTGGTAATAATATCTTGGTAATTGGTAATTGGTAATGGTAATGGTAATGGTAATGGTAATGGCAATCTAGCGAGCTATTCGGCGATTAGTACACGGCATTCGACCACATCTCATCTCGAACAGGGACAAGAATATCCAACATACCCATAAAGCAAACGCAACACCCCTCCCCCCTTCTCCCCATCCCTCCACGTCGAAACGCGAATACGCAACTCCCTTCCAGCCAAACCCGCGCATCTCACATAACAGCGCACTCGCATCCCGGGTCGTATTTACTCGGGCCGAACCCCCAACGCCAGCGACTCTTAATATCCATGATCATGCGAGTCTTGTTCTTGTCGTAGCAGCCCGAGAAGCGACAAGCAGGACACAAGCCCGCCGCGTCGGCAATGCTCGCGGGTTCGCGCGCGATCCCGTCGCCAAACATGCTGCACGTGTTGAACCCCATCCCGGGATAGCACGGCTGCCAGATCTGCAGCCAGTGGTGCCTGCAGCAGCGGCTGCGGAAATCTATGCCATGTTAGTATATGCGTGGTGCGTGGTATGTTAATTTATATGTAGATACGTGGGTAGGTAGGTAAGAGGTAGGCATCTGTACTGGAAGCACTGTTTTGATGCGTCGATAGCTTGCTTGTCTTGGGTATAGGTTTGGTGTATCGAAAACATCCCGGGTAGACGGGCGCGGTAAATGCAATGACAGTTTGTTTCAAGGGAATATACATACGGATGGTTCTACACATGTCTCTATTTTTCGTAGCGTAGTGTGTACTGTTCGGCAAGCAGAGTCACTTGTAGGTAGGTAGGCATAGATGTAGTTGATATTGCTAATAGATTTAGATTCGGTTGGGATTTGTTATTTGAAAGAATAACTACCTCTCGACGAAAAAGATAGCAGGAACATTTCCTTCATCTCAACTCAAGATCCGGAGTGCAGGTGCGTGTTGCGTGTTTGACCTAGACAAACACTTACACACCTCCATGTGCCTGCCAATTCTCTCGTCGTCTGATTTACACAACCAATGGAGCTGGGTGTATTAATCTAATTTTTTGGTGGCATTGTTCACAGTGGCTTTTTGGATGGACAATAGCTTGGACAATAGCTTGGACCACATATTTCGTATTTGTTCAGGTGTTAAACCTCCCAACACAGTGCTCAATATATGCTATGTAAAACTCTCGATTCCGATATATACCCCGTTTGCCCAAATTATCTTGTACGCCTACGCTCTTATTTATTTGAAGGCCCAGCCATACTACCACGAATAACTAGGTAAGTTGATATATTATATCCAGTTACCATCATCGACCCCCTGCTCCGAGGTAGTTCTAGCATTATTACCATCGCTACCACCGATACTATCGTTACATAGCCTTGCTAGCATCTCCTCAATCCTCGAGGTGGTGCTCTCTAATGTGCCTAAACGGCTTGATAGATCCTCGATCTCGGACGATTCACTCATGATGGCTCGTATCTGGTCTGTTAGCATCCCATATGGGGCTATAGAATCCCTACGACTCGGCGTCTTAGGTGGTGGCGGCTGATTCGACTCGTTGTCTTGATTCTTACTCGCCTCTACTAGCGTCGAACTTTGCTGTCGAGCAAACTGTCTTCTAATCATATGGTGCGTTAGCTCATCGTCGACTGTAATGTCGTGTTCAACTGAATCCGGCGGAGGAATATCAAAAACAGCCTGGATGTCCCCGTGGCTTGTTATCCTCCATTTCTCCCAAAACCAGCTCCGGGAACGACGTTTCTTTGGTAGCTGTTCTGTCGGGTATTCCACCAATTCCGTATCTGACCATAGGAGTTGCCTCTCGATCCCGGCGATAAGGAGTAGCACCGGTAGATTGATTGTCCTGACTGTTGCTACATGAATCTTGTGGAACCAACGAGGACTAACAAAGAATCTCATCGGAACCAATACGAATAGGGCAATGATGTTAAATGGAGGTTGGTAGGCGAATATCGCGTCGCTTTTCACACCTTCGAGCGTTAAGACCGCTTTTCGAAACTGTATCTCGGCGGTAGCATTGGAGACAATGGTACCAAAAGTATTCGAGAGCATCGAAACCAAGATCGTTAGGAATAATGTGTTACCCAGGAACGCGAATGTGACCATCAAGGTCGGTCCTAGAAGCCAGTGAAATTCCCCCTATAGGGCACGATGTTAGGGAAGCAAGCATATAAGCATTTTCAGCCTCACTCACAGAACGTGAAATACCAGTGCCATCCAAGCCGAACCAAATCCACAGCATCCATTTACTGATTGTCCTGTGAATGGTTAGTCTATGAAGAACTTTTGCAGCTAAAATACCTACACGATATTGTGGCGCCCTTCTGCGAGCCACACCATAGATAGCAGGAATCCACAAAAGCACCTGGTCGTCATCAGTCTCACAGAACTTCATCGGGTAGCGGCGCGTAGTGTGCTTAGGGATACGAACCAGGCTGCCAGTGCTGTAAGCAGAGTGAAATCCGCCATCATAGATCGTAGGGATAGGAATACTAAGTTATCCGATAATAAGTTGAACGCTAGCCGAGGGACAAGCACTGGAGCTCCCATTGCAAGGACGTCAAGAGCTTGTTGGCCTAGTTCAGGTTGTCCGGTTCTCCAACCGTATATTCTTAATATCAAATATATCCAGTAGACCAACGCGAACATGACATCCAAGAACGACCAAAGATTTTGCGTGTATACGTTCCTATTATCTTCCTTAGCATATAAAAATGTAAACATGTTCGAACTGATTTACCATCCATGTGCTAAGATCGTTGCGAACTGATCAAGAACCCAGCCAAACGCGTATATCGAAAATGCCATCTCAAAACCGCTCAAATACTCCGGTTTCCGTTCGAGCATAAATAGGAGATATAAGGTGAGGAGGATAATGAACTGGGTTATTTCTAGTATGTTCCTCGTGCGAGGCACTACCAGCCGATACTGGTTAAGTAAAGGTGCCTCGCGGGGTTCGTATAACGAGATAGGCTTTAGTTTGTATCGGTCCGGTATCATATCCAGCTACTAGCGTTAGCAATCACATAGGTCGCTATATAGGATTGATTTGTTATAAGAGCATTATCTGCTGGAGGATGACGGATGGCCTTGATCGAAATAAAAGGTATTGGTCACATACTGTTATCCTGTTAGACTCGGGAAGACAAGAATATGGAGAAAAAGAGTTAATATGTTAAAGTTGGACCTATCGCATACGTACCAAAAGTGGTTGGAGTATAAATAACTTGCCCAATGTAAATTGCGTTGACACTAATATCTGTAAGTTTCGTGGCGGATTCTCAACTGGAGAAACTTACACTTTTTGACAATGTGTAGAACTGAGAAAATGCTTGCTACTACTTAGGATAGCCACCTCAAGTGCCGGTAAAGTCCTATTTTGACTCCACGTAGGACCAAGAAATGCCTCTTCACGAATCTCCTCCGGAGCGTTCTGAAACGGCCCAAACCCGGTAACCAGAATTTTAGCTAAAAGAAGGAGTCCTTCCGAGCCTGGGTTATCATCGCCAAAACGTCTTAGGATGCGGGTAGCTACAAGCTCACAGAGGGTCGCCCGTGTGAAGTGAACGTTTTGTCTATTGGTCATATGCTCCTGCTCATGGAGGAACTGAGAGCGGTTCACGAGCAAACAATAAACTAGTCTGTGATTAGCTTTATTTACATAATCTATATAAGTAGGTAGGTGCTGGGATGAAACAGAGTATATAAACAACTTAGCGCAATAAGTGAGTATACGTACCGATAGATATATCATTCTGCTCGTATAACTTGTCTACCAGCGGTCGGACAACTGAAATATTGAGTCGGAGGTCTGTTAACTGCTCAAGAGTGAGAAAGTCCTCGACTATGCTGATGACATCTCTTCGTATCCTATGGATATTTGTATACACCGGTAGGTGGATGTGGTCATTCGTATCGTTACCGAGGGGTGGCTCTTGTTCTGGCGGGCCAAAAACGACACGACTCAAAAGAGGCTGATGTTCAGACCCTTGTAGTTGAACCAACCGCCGACGAGGATTTAACATGATGGCGTCGTCTTAATATTAGAATTCAAAGGAGAAGTCCAATCTTGCACTTAGTCCATCGGGTTGCAATATCTCGATGAGTCCTAATTGCCTAACCCAATGGAGGCGCACAAAATAGCATCAAGCTTCACAGCCAATGATTGCGAAGCCTGGTTAATTAAAGAAGAAATAGGCCTCTTATAAGATGCTGCGTGGTATCCGATTGCCTGTTCGTGGACTGTCGTTGATGTAACTCTGGGATGTTGTCGTCAGGACGAGCTGAGGCTTAAATGTGCCCTAGATTCGTGTGATAGGTATATATTTTTCGTGGTGAATACCATACAAGGCAACACGTTGATTTATCAAAATATTTACGCTCAAATTGATATCCGTTTTCGAAAAGTAAAGTAATAAAAGTTGTTAAGCTTTAGGTGCCTAACCTTAGGTAGACTTGGGATGTTTTGGTTATTTGTGTTTTACCTTTTAGTTGTTACTTGAGCTTTACCAAGCTCCTTCTTATTGGTATAGTTTTAAGTTTGATATTATTGATAACTGCACATTGACGTCGACGGGGCTTTTTGTTTCACACATGCAAGATGCAACATCTGACTTAGCTTGCCTAGGGGCTAGGTGGCACTGCAGCAAGCAACCCGATAAGATAAGGATAGCTTTTGCTCCATTGGGGAAAGCCCCAAGGCTACCTACCGGTTGTCGATCGGTCTGATCTTGGAGACTTCAAATAAGCAACAGTTTATACTTTCAATCCAAGGATTGGTCTCTGACCTTTCTAAGTCACAACTATAATGGTATGGCCATTCACCTCTGCCTCTGGGAAAGACGGTGATTCTTCGAGACGACCAGTCTCCTGGTCTGATAGTTTAAACGGAACCGACTGGCAACATTACAAAGACCCTAGAAATTGGGTCCCGACTTTGCTTGTAACGACAACCGTTGTCGTTTCCTTGCAGATCTACCGTTCATACCTACGTCGAATCCCCGGTACTATTCATATCCGACCGAACTTTTTCAGGAAGAGAAGCATCTTCGGTCAAGTCACCAGTGTCGGAGATGGAGATAACTTCCATTTATATCACACGCCCGGTGGTCGTCTAGCGGGGTGGGGATGGCTACGAAACGTCCCGGTCAAGAAGGTAGAGTTGAAGAATAGGACGGTAAGTTAGTCATTACCCTATTTGACCGTTCTCTATATCTAATTCTTAAACGATTTAGATTCCTATACGTATCGCCGGTATCGACGCACCAGAAGGCGCTCATTTCGGACGACCTGCCCAACCATTTTCGACGGATGCCCTCGTCTGGTTATCCGAATACCTACTTGGGCGAAGGGTTCGAGCAAAGATCTACAGACGTGACCAGTACGATCGTGTCGTCGCTACCGTATTTGTAAGGCGGTTCCTTATCCGCCGTGATGTTGGCTTGGAAATGTTGAAGCGAGGGCTGGCTACGACATACGAGGCTAAGACCGGTGCTGAATTTGGTGGTCTTGAGGAGAAGTATAAGGCTGCAGAGAGTAAGGCAAAGGCTGCGAAGAGAGGGATGTGGGGTGGTAACCCGCAATTCTTTGAAAGCCCTCGCGATTATAAGACCCGAATGGGTGTGGGGGAATCGCAAAATAGCAACACCAAGTAATGAGATTAGAAATAGTTCAATAGTTTAATCGGATTAGCTCTGTCCGACTTTCCTACTACGTGACTTGCGCCATTCAAAAAGCGACCAAAGGAATAAAATATTTTAATTTGTGAGATGAGTATTAAGTACCTACCTACCTATCTACCCACCTAACATACCTAAGGTAAGGTTTGGCCTTAAACCGTATATTTGGTCAGCCACTTAATAGAAAACAGAAGGAGGAGTTGGAAGGAGTGCATAGGATGAACCAACCAATAGGTTCTATCCGATCTAAGTGCGGATCTCCGCGCTCTCCCGGAATCTCTTGCGACTGGTAAGTATGGTGATGTTTCTTCAAGTCCCGGACCACGGTTATGTTAATGTATCTTGCATCTCGGATCTTGCATGTTTCGAACCCCCAAATTCCGCATATCTCCCTAATTCCGTGTCCGTAGTCTTGAAGGGTTGGTATTTCTTATCGCTATTTTGTATACGCTCGACGTTACGGCAGCGGCAAAGCAATTATAAAAGATCCTATGGATTAAAATTGGAAAAAGTTATTGCTACTTACTCTGTTATTGGTCGGCTTTTCGACGCTGGCGATCATCTAAATGTAAGCCTTTAAATTGCCCTTTTAGAAGGTATATATAGCTGAGATAGGTTGGTTATGTATTCTATTGAACTACATGTAAGGGGTATACGAAATACAATTCCGAATCCTTTCTATTCTCAGGAATGACAATACTATAGCTATTGTTAAAGAAACCGTTATACTACATAGTACGGGATTAGCCGACGTAATGATGAAATTTGCATAATAAAAACACGAGAAAACCGCCCGTGAGACTTCGGATAAGATGGCTTCTCTTTTAACGGCCACTTGCAGTCGGACGATGAGACTAGACTAGTTACAGACTGGGAAGACGAGATTGTGGCTTCCCTCAGGAACGATCCCTGTCAGCCCCCTACGGACACATGTGGAGCGTGTGCGCAAAGCTGGCTAGCTCTCAGCAGAAATTACGCTACTGCAGGTGCAGACCCTCCCATGCCTCTCCCTTCCACTTGCACATTTCGCTCTAGCTCTTCCTATTGCACGCTGGCCGTTTTTCTCACCCGTTCGACGTTCGACAACGAAGAGGCAGAAAACACCAAAGAGTATTGTCACTCCTTTTACCTCTTTATTACTCTAGGTTAATACGTGAATCGCGTAACAATATATTGTTGCACTATTCTCGCCCGTACGGCATTTTCTTTTTTTCACAACAGTCATTTCTCATTTTAAGTCACTCGTTCGCGTTTTCTGACGATCTAACCAACAACTTGCCTCTAAACCCCTGATCTGAGCGCAGCATTATCCGGCAGACTACGTTTGACAGCAACAAGTTCCGGGACAGTTAAGACACACCAAGTACGATCGCGTCGTCACTGTCTCCCACATTCGCTTATTTCACCACTTAAAGGGATTTATACAGCATTCCCACGTCGCTCGTTTCCGAAGAATCACCACCAGGCACACTTTCAGAAATCAGCCCTAACATATTGGGTTAAGCCTGTCCCTGCTGTTGTCAAGTTCCTACTCCTGGGCACTTAACCAAGCAAAAATCAAATTAAACAATCCAGTTTACGAAACTGGGATCTAGTGGCGGCCTAGCAGTAGGAAAGCATTACTTTTATCACAGTGGTACAGTTGGCAGAGGTACACATCACTCCCAAGGTGGCACCATCGGACGACCGTTACATTGTGCATTGGTATCATTTGAGAACTGGTCAGTGATAAGTCTCCCTTCCCCCTGGTTGCACTCCTTAGATGTTTCCTTTGGCGAGCGAGGGGTTATTTTTTGTTCCACAGAGCAATTGTTTGCTTGTTGAATTGATATAGAGGATTGCCTCAGTACTTTATCGTCTTGTATTTTCTTCCAATGATAAAACTTTCCTTCATCTCGATTTGGATTTCCTTTTGAAGCAAGGCTAGTTTAGTTAAAATTGGGGGAAATCTTAGTGGTTGACGTGAGCTAATAGGGTACCAGTGCAGGCACCACCCCACACCTAGTGACAACACACTCTAGGCACTCGGGTACCGCAGCACAGCCCATTCTAATTATTATCGCTAGATCCAGGCACTCACTAAGAACCACTTTCCTCTAAATCTTGGAACTCGAGGAGACAACGCAATCCGTCCGACGGCCGAGTACAATAATAAAAGTCAGTTCAAGATTATAATCTTAATTGATACCACTTGTCGCCTCGGGATTCCCGTCAGTCCACTCATTTAGTTTTTTGTTTTTGTTTTTCGACGCCGAATTCGCATTCTCGAGAATTAATCGTTTCGCAATAACACAACACATTGCGACGCCTTCAATCCGCACTTACCTATTAGCCTCTAATTCCAGTTTCCGCGCGCGCACTATATATCGATTTCCTCGAGGTTATGGACTCCGTCGGAAAATAAAGCGTTTGCGCCGTGTTGGAAGACGAGGTTTTCGTTAATAGGGAATCTCCAAATTGGGTGTTATCGAGACACGGGCACGTTGCCCTTAATTCGGCCATAGGTCAAAGCAGCTATGAAAATAGCATTCCGCCAGGGCTGCGCTACGCGCAGTCATGCTTCGATGCCATCGCCATGGTTTCTTGCCCTCGCCTCGTTCGCGTCGTTATCGGGAGCGATCACCTTCAATCAGATACCTGATGCGAATCTCGACACACGTCAACTTGGAAGAGTTGGAATCGCTGGTGACTTTAGTGGCATTTCTCTTTACCAATATGAGGGGCAGTCCGAGCTGCCTTTCAGTTCTAATGGATCTGAACAGCTTTTGACGCGCCTTCCAAATGGGGTATTCGTCAATCTCCTGGACGCCGACGCATCTATTCAGACAATGTGCATGTTTCAAGGGGAGGTCATTCTAGCCGGCAACTTCACAAGCTTAGGAGGAGTACAATCACCAGGCATCGCGTCTTTCGACCCGAATACTTCCAAAGTCACTCCTCTGGCTAATCTTTCAGGTCAAGTTAACAGCTTGTTATGTGATGATTCGGCTGGTAAGGTCTATGTTGGCGGTAGCTTTAGGGCAGCAAACTCTACCAACGCGATTACGTGGCTTGCGTCGAAAAGCTGGGCAAGTCTGCCATTTGCTGGCTTTAATGGGCCTGTCAACTCAATTACGAAGGCGCCTACCGGGCATATAATCTTCGGGGGAAGTTTTACGGGCCTAGGAAACACGAGCGCGCCGAGTACGCCTGATGGCCAGGTTATCAATCTTTCTACCGCGACTATCGAAGCTGATCAGGGTACATTGGCTGCAGGTTTCAGTGACCCGAAGAACATTGTTTGTAAAACCAATGGTACTGACGGTTCTGGTAATGCTTGGCTCTTGCAGGACAATACACCAGGAACGTGGAGGGCAGCTTTCAACTACGGTTTTGAACCTACTAAACTTCGTTTATGGAATACTCACCAAGATGGTCGAGGAACTCGGACTTGGAGATTCACTGCGCTGCCGCTGAACGGTATCATGAACTTCACCTACATTGACCCCGTGACCAAGCAGAACTCTACGTGTACCAGCGAGTGTCCGCTTAGCGACGACCCTTCTGTCGAATTCCAAGATTTCCACTTTGTAAACCGGCTTGGGATGAACGCATTTAGACTTGACATCTCCGCCTGGTACGGTAATGGTGGAGGCCTGGCTGGTATTGAACTATTCCAGGACGATATCTTCGCCTTTGCTATCAATGATTTCAACGAACCCAGCTGCGCCAATACCTCAACGCCTTCAGAAGCGACCACAACGGGAACATGGACAGTGACTCCGTCGGGACAAAGCTACGCTCAATATCTATCAGCCCAGCTGCCGAAACCCGTAGCCTCCGACGCTGCTTCAGTTGTGTTCTACCCGGATATCAAAGAATCTGGGGAATACATCATCAAGTTGTATACACCTGGATGTCTTCAGGATAACACTTGCTTGAGACGTGGTCAGGTTAGAGTATCGGGGACGTTGACGTCAAGTGGTGCCAATCGAACAATGGATCCGAGAATTTTGTATCAGACTAACGAGTACGACAAATATGACCAACTTCATATAGGTTCTGTCGATGCTAGCTCAAGTTCCTTCAGGCCTAGTGTTACATTATCACCTGTACCTGACCAATCGCAATCTATTCCCGGCGATGATTTCGTGATGGTAGCCCAAAGAGTTGGATTCGAGCTTCTAAATTCTACTGGTGGCTTAAACGGATTGTTCGAATATGATCCTAACCGGGCGACAGTTGAGACATCCGATTTTGCCAGTTCTGCTTTCATCAAGCTCAGTTCTTCATTCGAACCTAGATCCGCGGTAACATCGTTGGTCGCTAGCAAAGACCGAACTTATATCGGCGGTAATTTCACCTCTAACAACGAGAGTAACATTGTCGCCATCGATAGCGATGGAAAGACTTTGGCGCTTGACGGTGGCATAAATGGCGAAGTCTTGTCGATGCACCTGGATGGCAATAGTCTATTCGTCGGCGGCCGGTTCAACAATACCCAGGATGGTTCGACGCCGGGATTAGCAAACGTTGCGATTTATGACAGCACAAACAACCAATGGACACCACTCGGAGCTGGTGTGGACGGAACTGTTACAAATATTGTACCGATAACCATGAACCTCAGCGAGAGCGCAGCAGAAGACGTCATCGCCTTAACTGGTGAATTTACGCACCTTCTTGCATTCGGCAATAATGACGTTGCTGAGGTGCAAGGCTTTGCAGTCTGGGTCAAATCGCAAAAGAACTGGTTGCAAAACTTAGATACTCCAGTTCCATTTTTAAACGGTGTTCTTACGACGGCGGTAGCAGTATCAGATAATGAGACCATATATGCTGGATCGATATCCTCTCAGGCCCTTCGAGCATACGGTGCTACAACCGTATCTAACGGGTTTGGCAACTTCCCTATCAAAATTTACCCGCCAACCAGCCAGTCCAGCACCCCTGCAGATGGACTCTCGAAGCGCACGAACCTAGAGAACGGTACTGATACTATTGCTGGCGTCGTCACAGGAGCGTTTTACGAAAGTGATGGGAAGAACGTTACAGTACTTGGCGGGCACTTTATTGCGAATGCGTCTAACGGTTCAACTATTTATAACCTAGCTTTCATCGACGGTGCAGATTCCGACTCCGTGACGGGGTTAGGCGCCGAAGTATCTGAAAGTTCAGCATTCTTATCATTGGTGGTCCAGGGCGACAACCTATATGCTGGCGGGCGAGTCAATGGCACTGTTCAGGGGTCCGTTGTCAATGGTCTCATTTCGTACAACCTTGCGTCCAAGTCGTTTAATTCGCAGCCCCCTGCTCTCGCTGGCGACAATGTAGTTGTCTCCTCTGTTACTGTCCGCCCGGAGACTGGGGATGTCTATGTTGGTGGCTCCTTCGAGAGAGCCGGTTCGCTTCCCTGTCCTAGCGTCTGCCTTTTTAGCACCGGAACTAGTCAGTGGAACCGGCCTGGTTTTGAACTTGACGGTGATGTCAACTGCATGATGTGGTCGAGCAATTCAGTTCTGCTTGCGGGTGGTAACCTGACCCTCAATGAAAGCGGGGCCTTTCTGGCCTCCTACGACGCCTCAAGTTCTCATTGGACTCCATACTCAGGCGCCTCAGATCTACCAGGTCCTGTGAATGCCTTAACTGCTGCGAGTAGTGATTCAAAGCAGATCTGGGTTGCCGGTACGCAGTCTGATGGTTCCACCTATCTGATGAAGCACGATGGCTCATCTTGGAAATCTGCTGGCGTCACGTTCGACCGAGGGTCTGTAATCAGTAGCTTACAGATGTTTACGGTGACTCAATCTCACGACTCATCCGATCCCGTCGCTTCCGATCAAGTCCTCTTGATGACCGGCTCTATTGTAATACCGGGATTTGGTACAGCATCGAGCGCAATCTTCAATGGCACGATGATGCGGCCTTACGCACTCACCTCAAGTATCGATGGCACGGCCGGGTCGATCTCCCGAATCTTCGTACAAAACAACAACTTCTTTACTTCTTCAAGTAAGTTTACAGTCTAGATATCTACTTGTATACCCGCTAACTTTATCATCAGATGATAGTGGTATGCCACTCGTATTTGTAGCTCTTATCGGATTAGCCATATCATTAGGCCTCATGGTACTTATTGTACTTGCTGGTCTGGCATTAGACCGATACCGCAAGAAGCGTGAGGGTTACGTCCCAGCTCCTACATCCATGTTCGATCGCGGTAGCGGTATGCAACGGATACCACCGCATGAGCTACTGAATTCCCTAGGCCAAGGTAGACCGGGACCTCCTCATGTTTAAGGAATCCCGTCAACAAGACTACTTTGATGCCATAAGGTTGCGATAATTGAGCCTAGGGCAAGGATATTTTCTCTGGACCGCCAATCGTTACACATGCGTACTGCAATTTTTAGACCCAAACAGTAATAGATCTGACCATAGAGAGTCAGCAAATCGATGTCATATCGAAGATACCCAACCGACAGAGGCCTGTCGATGCGAAGAGATCGGGGGATTGGGGAGGAAATAAAGAGGAGCAGAAAATATCCGCTACGGATTTACTAATCTTTGGCGACTTCATGAATGACGACAACGCCAACCATTTTAATGTTTACATGTCTAGTTATCTTCACACCTACAAGTGTTACTAGTCCTTCACTACCGTCCTTTGTATATTTCACAATTACCTTGCAGCCCCGTCCCCCGGCTGCTATGGGGTTGGTCTTGCCGGTGCAAGCTCGGAGGGCAGTAGGTCGATGGTATTTTTGATAAGAAGGAGGGACATATTTTGCGGAGATTCAGGGTTGAGTAAAAAGGTATATCTCAGTGAGAGGACAGATGGATTCGGCCGAACTTAGCTCGACGCTGAGCAATCATTTACACCGCTCGGGTGGTAGTTACGTAGTCAATCTACGGAATATGTGCTTTTGAATGGCTCTGGGTGATTTTTGCTATATTTTGTGCACTTTGATAAATATTACGAGATCATTTGGTAAGAGTGAAATATTCCATTGGCGTAAATTTTGGTTGAACGGGACATTGCTTTTATCCGATATGTAGAAACTAGGTTGACTGATTCACACATGGACTGGATTAAGTAGGAAATTCCATGTATGAGGTACCTCATAGTAGGTGTACTAGCCACAGGCGGTTTGCCACAACTTATCCACCTTACATAAACTCCCTAAGGCGGCAAATCAAGATTAGCAACTATCAAGTACAGAGTGGAGCCTCCCTAGCAACACCTTTTCGTTATGACTTGATCACTAACCATTTAGAGCCTCACCAGCGCATGAAATCTCGTTCATCTTCAACCAGCCTCTCCCCTTTACGCTTCCATCTAATAAAAGGTCAAGACAGCGTCCGGCTGAACTGTTAATCATGTCAGACGCTGACTTTGACGCCGTTAGAAAGCTCCAGGCTGAGCGGAACGCTGCTGCAGCTGCTAAGAATGGGTCGCGCGGCCGAGACCCCAAGAACCAGCGATCTGAGAGCTCAACCAAGGCAAAGCTTACCGAATCTTTCGACACAGAGCTCTACGACCGTGATGGAGATGATAAATATGCAGGATATCTCACATCTATCCCTGTCGCCGATGGCGAGGATGAAGAAATGGAAGATGCCGATAACTCGCGTCGTTTAGTTGGCCAGTATACCGCGACGCGTGCCCAGATTGACGAATTCGCCCACGGCAATGGAGTCGAAGAGGATGATCCATTTGCAGGAAGAGGCGAAAACAGCACGAGGATCGTTGACCGCGAAACTGACTACCAGAAACGTCGCTTCGATCGCGTTCTCACCCCGACAAGAGCCGACGCCTTCAACCGCCAAGGGGACACCGCCGAAGGAGATACATATCGAGATATTATGGAACGGAGAGAAATAGAAAGGGAAGAAGAAAGGGTTAAGCGTGCTATTCAGGCGAAGCGGGAAGGGAAAGATGTTGATGACGATCACGAAGCAACACTCAAAAATGGAGATAAAGAGAACACAGATGCCGGATCTACTGAGGCAGTGACGGCTGGGCGAAAGCGCAAGAAGAGATGGGATGTTGCTTCTTCTGCTGTGGATGAACCCTCATCAGACTCTGCCGAAGGGAAGACCAAGAGATCCAGATGGGACCAGGCGCCGTCGCTCCCTACCCCCGGCGCATCTGATGGCGGCAAGAAGAGATCGAGATGGGATCAAGCACCCTCTGCGACTCCTGTCGGTAACAGTGGCTTAGCTACACCGATGCATACATCCTCGCTTGGAGTTGGCGCAGCGAAAGCAGATATGTCTGGCCCTGGTGGCATCCTTGGTGATGAAGAGTTGAACACGTTACTTCCTGGAGAAGAGCAGGGCTTCAAGATTCTCGACCCGCCATCAGGATATCCTACCGGCCATGCCCCTCTCCATAGGATCGCAGCGACGCCGCTACCGCCAAATTATGGCGGTTTCATGATGCAGGACCCGGAGAGTACGAGATTAGGAGGAAGCCAGATGCCCAAAGAAATCCCTGGCGTTGGAGAACTACAATTTTTCAAGCAGGAAGACATGGCTTACTTCGGCAAACTAGCAGATGGCTCTGATGAAAATAGCCTAAGCGTTGAAGAGCTGAAGGAGAGGAAGATTATGAGGCTTCTCCTGAAGATCAAGAATGGTACTCCTCCTATGCGAAAGACTGCTCTCAGACAACTCACAGATAATGCAAGGCAGTTCGGTGCTGGGGCTCTGTTCAACCAGATTCTCCCTCTTCTAATGGAGAAGACCCTGGAAGATCAAGAACGTCATTTGCTCGTCAAAGTAATCGACCGTATCCTATGGAAGCTTGACGACCTTGTCCGTCCTTACGTTCACAAAATCCTAGTCGTCATTGAACCGCTCCTCATCGATCAAGATTATTATGCAAGGGTCGAGGGTCGAGAGATTATCTCTAATCTCAGTAAAGCCGCCGGTCTCGCCACTATGATCAGCACGATGAGGCCGGATATCGACCATGTCGACGAGTACGTACGTAATACAACAGCAAGAGCCTTCGCGGTTGTGGCCTCAGCGCTAGGGATTCCCGCTCTTTTACCTTTCTTACGAGCAGTATGTCGAAGCAAGAAGTCATGGCAAGCCCGACATACTGGAGTCAAGATCGTGCAACAGATTCCTATCCTAATGGGATGTGCCGTTCTACCCCATCTTAAAGGTCTTGTGGACTGCATAGGCCCAAACCTGAATGATGAGCAAACAAAGGTACGGACGGTCACTAGTTTGGCTATTGCTGCTCTTGCTGAAGCCTCTAACCCTTATGGTATTGAAAGCTTCGATGATATTTTAAACCCTCTATGGACTGGTGCACGCAAGCAACGCGGCAAAGGTCTCGCTGGCTTTCTCAAGGCTGTTGGTTATATCATCCCCCTTATGGATGAAGAATATGCCAATTATTATACCTCACAAGTAATGGATATCCTTCTCCGAGAATTCTCGTCTCCGGACGAAGAGATGAAGAAGGTCGTGTTGAAGGTTGTATCTCAGTGTGCGGGCACTGAAGGTGTGACAGCTGGTTACCTCAAAGAACACGTTCTAGATGAGTTCTTCAAGAGTTTCTGGGTCAGGCGGATGGCCCTAGATAAGCGAAACTATCGACAAGTGGTACGTTAACCTCATTGACCCTATTCGTTATCTATTCGTTGCTAATTCTATTATTACAGGTCGAAACAACCGTTGATATCGGCCAGAAGGTTGGCGTCAGCGAGATTCTCGAGCGAATTGTTGGCAATCTCAAAGATGAGAGCGAGGCCTACCGTAAAATGACTGTCGAGACCGTTGAGAAGGTAGTTGCTAGCTTAGGGGCGGCGGATATTGGTGAGAGGTTGGAGGAGCGACTTATCGACGGCATTCTCCATTCCTTCCAGGAGCAAAGTGTCGAAGATATCATTATGCTAAACGGCTTCGGCACGGTGGTCAACGCCCTAGGCACGCGCTGTAAGCCGTATTTGCCCCAAATAGTGTCAACAATCTTGTGGCGTCTCAACAACAAATCCGCAACGATCCGGCAGCAAGCCGCGGATCTTATCAGCAGGATTGCAATAGTCATGAAGCAGTGCGGCGAGGATGCCCTTATGGGTAAGCTAGGCGTTGTCTTGTACGAATACCTCGGAGAGGAGTACCCTGAAGTTCTTGGCTCAATCCTCGCGGCTCTCCGAAGCATTGTTACCGTTGTTGGTATCAGCCAAATGCAGCCTCCAATCAAGGATCTACTACCGCGTCTTACTCCTATCTTACGAAATCGTCACGAAAAGGTACAGGAGAATACAATCGATCTCGTCGGCCGTATTGCCGATCGGGGACCAGAGAGTGTAAACGCGAGAGAATGGATGAGGATTTGCTTCGAACTGTTGGATATGCTAAAGGCACACAAAAAGGGCATCAGAAGAGCAGCCAATAACACGTTTGGTTTCATCGCGAAAGCTATCGGACCACAAGATGTGCTGGCTACCTTACTGAACAACCTGCGCGTCCAGGAGCGTCAATCCCGAGTTTGCACGGCTGTCGCAATCGGTATTGTTGCTGAGACTTGTGCTCCTTTCACAGTGCTCCCTGCTCTGATGAACGAGTATCGGGTCCCTGAACTCAACGTACAAAATGGTGTGCTCAAGTCTTTATCATTCCTCTTCGAGTACATTGGAGAAATGGCCAAAGATTACGTCTACGCTGTGACGCCGCTCCTGGAAGATGCCCTCATCGACCGTGACCAGGTACATCGGCAGACGGCCGCGTCCGTGGTCAAGCATATTGCACTAGGTGTAGTTGGTCTAGGCTGCGAAGACGCTATGGTGCATCTACTGAACCTTCTCTGGCCTAACCTCTTCGAAACCAGCCCACATGTTATAGACCGTATTGTAGAAGCTATCGAAGCCATTCGAATGGCCGTCGGACCCGGTCTCGTACTGAACTACGTATGGGCGGGTCTATTCCACCCCGCCCGCAAGGTACGACAGCCTTACTGGCGGCTCTACAACGACGCGTACGTGCAAGCCGCCGACGCCATGGTGCCTTATTACCCGAACCTGAGCGAAGAGGGCATCGACAGGCCCGAATTGGCAATTGTGCTATAGAAATATTTTCCCTTTTTTTGTTTAAAATGCATGGCTAGTATTATTCAGCTACGTGAGTTCAGGACCTCTGGCTGGTGGTGTACAGTAGATTCAAATCAAGCAAAATAATGAGGAGTGCGATGAGGGCCGAGCCGATTTAGTTGGGCCGTTCCGTAGCAGTAGTCAAATCGATCGGATCTTAGCGATCATGGGTATTATTACATGGGTGGGATAGCGCGTTAGGCGCTTTGACTATCTGGTGAATTGAGTTATTTTTATGGGAATCATAAGTCATCAATACATAGTACCTAAGTTAGGTTAATCTTTTGTATTTATGTAGTATGCCTTGGTTGCTAGACGGCTCCCCGGTTGGTTGGAACGTTGGGAGTCTTGAAAAGGGGTAATGAGGTTATCGTCAACTAACCGACCATGAGCAGCAGATACATGTCAACAGCCCAATAGAAGTGACTATCACTCGCTAACAAGGTACAAGAGATAAGTTATAGTAAGGCACAGTACATATTAATCAGATTGATTACCATCTTAAGAGAGAGTGGCGTGACCGTGGGATGTTCATATACACATGGAGCTCTAAATCACACCAGCTTCACAGTGTTGCCAACCTCTCTTCGCGATTACTATCCACTCTGATTATTTATTTCATAGAGTACCTATGTAAACTGTTAGGGTCACTTCTAGGCATCTTTCCGAGTGCCTTGGTGGGCTAGATAAGCCGAGTTGAAGCCAACAGATACATACATAAGCGTATGTATTATAGATCCTACGTATCCCATGCAGTCGTACGATGCCCGTAAAAACACAAAAGAGAAATTCTAGAACTTTTCTCCGACGATCCCTCTATGTATGTACATACGTACGTACGTCTAAAGATATCTTAATCCCAGCCGCCGTTTGATCTCGTGCGTATTTTTGTGTGTTTCTATCCTTAGAAGCAAGATCATCCGCCCAATTTCCCTAGAAACGCTTCACGGTTCACCACGCGACGCGGGCCTGTCGATCGGCGGCTTATCATCTACTTCATAGGGAAAAAGGAACGACTGGCTTTCGAGCAGAGAGGAGTTTCTTCAGCGCCGCGCTCCCGAGTGCCGGATCCAGTGTTCTGGAACAGCACTCCCTCTTTTTCTTTCCCCTCTAGTGTAGGTATGTATGTATGTATGTATGTATGTTTGAAGGATGGATGTGCGCACATGTCATTCGTGGCTATCTAGATAGATCGGCAGCACCGTGGTTTCAAGGCCAGGAACAAAAACGGCGACGGACGCTGCGCCATAGCATGATCTATGTATGTATTGTATTGTATTATAGTTTCTATCCCTAATCTCCACGAGCCCCCTTTTCACATCAGACTACTATGTACATACTGCTACTATGTATTACTACTACCTACGTACAGACATACGGGCATAGTGACAGACCCTTCGATTGCGTGATTGCTCTCCCCCTTTTATCGTCCTGAGGCTTAGACAAGGCTAGTAAGCGCCAAGGTAAACAACTCGTTCTCCCCTTTTTCCTATCGAGGTAAGCCGGACGTACGTGAGCGAGGTGATACATAGTGTACATCCTAACTACCTACCTACATATGTATGATCCTGACTACCTAACATATAATGACGGTCGCCAGTATGTAGGTAGGTAGGTAGGCAGGGAGTTAGAGTCAATGTCTTGCTCGAAACTCCGGAGAGGCAAACTGTTACGTAGCTCAACTACCGTGCGTACATATACACATGATGCTTCTTCGTATGTATGTAGTTGCTACCCACGGGCAGGCAAGGGCACTGAGAGCGGTCTACAACCGGCAGTAGGTAATAATATACTGGAGACGGGATCCTCCTTCACGTGCGTTGGACTGGGGTATTGATGTTATCTATTAGTAACTTGCCTGGGCATGTATGCAGTACGTATGTAGTGGATAGAGTATACCTACATACCTACATAGTTAGATATATCTTAGTCGGCAGGCATGCGACTCTGACCACGCACACAGTTCGGCAGGGATCGGCAGTCGTGCATGAGCAGGTCAGAACACGCAGGAAGAAGGGAAGGGTGGGAAAGGCAAGGGAACCCCGGGTTTTCTGTCGAGGGACGGACAAGCCGCGTCCCGTCCACTTAGAGCCGACACACTCACACACACAGGCAGGCAGGCATACATACATACATACATACATACATACATACATACATACATACATACATACATACATACATAACATATATACGTGAGCGAGTAAGTGAGTGAGTTAGACGCCGGCCCTCTCCGTGCCTGCTTGCTTGTGCGTGCGCGCATTACATACCTATCCATCTGTCGAACAAGAGGCGGTGAGGTGAGGTTGGTTTAAGCCGGTTGGCTGGGGGAGGAGGCAAACAGACAAACAATAATACATACGAAGTACCTAACTAGTTACACTATCTAAGAAAAAGATGGAAAATAATAAGAATAAAAAGAGGCGAACGATGATATGTATATCATACTCAGTACCTATGTAACCCACCCCCAGTGCATACATATGATATACATAAGCTGATGGCTTGCAAAGGAGTAATAAAAGTCCATAATACCTATACCTACATAGTTATAGTATATCATAGCATAGGTAGCATAGCATAGCATAGCATAGCATAGCATACACCAGCATTGCATAGTTAAGTGAGATTATATCTAATATAACAACGATAGCGATATGAGAATCAGATTAATCAAATAAGCAGGAAGGATGTAATTAGCGAGATGACTGATTACATTCGTTATATTAATATATCACTAGCATACATACATACATACATACATACCTAGGTATGTATGTAGTACATAATAGTATACAAACGACAATGATACCTAGGAACAAGACCCCAATATGGGAATTCTCCGAGACATTTGTTTACATACACGATAAGTAACATGTATTATCATTATTGTTATTATTATATTATATGCTTAGAGATACCTATCATATAGGTTAGGTATGTATGTATGTAGTTTCTCTCAATTCCGTGGAAATACTTATTCGGAAGATTGCGAGAATATACATCATGTAACTATACCTATAAATGTATACTAATATAAAAAAGAGCAACGGTAACCAAAAAAAAGAAAGAAAAAAAGAAGAAGAAAAAGGCCCTTATGCGCAAACAATCGCATTCCCATAGCTCCAGAAATGGCATTTGGCCAATGCCCATTATGGAGACGGGGTATACACTCTCGACCTTAATATATGCGTATAAGTGCGTATACTACATACATACTACTCTAACCCTACCTTTATATGTAAAGTGTAGCTGTACCTACATGACAGAGTAGAGGTACATTGCACGATCAGACCAGCTTGCGGAAGTGAAAGTAGTATGTATAGGTAGTCGCAAGTAAGTAATGGCTATTCTTACTGATTTCTGAGTGTCCGAATTTTACCGCATCTGTACCCTCCATGCGCATTCCGCTGTGGAGAAAGCCAGGTACATCTTACACGGCCAATAGTACGTGTGTAGTACGTGTGTGTAGTACCGCGATTGATAACGAACGAGGAGGGGGTGTCTCTAACGGCTTGGCTATCTCATCCCTGCCAATATTTAGGCAGGCTATGAATTCCCCTGCACATGTCTGTGTGGACCACTACCGGGGCTAGCATCCAATAATAATCCCGCACCAAATCTTAGCAAGAAAACCACTATGCGAGATGATGTCATTTTTAACCTCGCTTGACCGCCCCCAAAGGCAATTCCCAACGACCGCCCTCAAAATTGCGCCAATATTCGCAATGCCCTCTCTCCCCTGGCCCCCCTCTACACTACATACTATGTACTATTATGTCGAATGAGCATCCCGAAGTGCCCAGCTCTCCAATTATCTATCGTTATTACTATGTATGTATTATTGCCGTTACCACTTCTCCCGGTCGACCGTTGTGGACTCGACAACGGATAGGACACACGAACTATTTAACACACTTGGAGAAAACTGTTGGTTGTTGGCTGCTGGCTGATGGATGTTGGCTGTTGGCTATTGGCTACATACATACATAGTACACTCTGTATGTATTTGACCATTATGTATTTGACCCAGGTGTAATACTCCAGATCCATGAATTAAAAGAGCTTCCCAAGAAGAGACCCACGGCCATCAACAATGGAACCGGTCCAATCCAATCCAATCTATCGAGTCCGGCAGTGGGAAAGACTTGAAACGCGATACTCCATGGGGAAGGAGAGCGGCACTGCGGGAAAATAGAAGCTATCTGACTGCGGAGGTCGTCATGCAAGATACGTGCACCACAGTAAGGTAAATTATCCTTTCCCTTGCCCGTTTCTCACCCCAGGGCCACACACCAATTGCTCCGTCCTTCTTCTGCGGAAACGCGTCAACGGATTCGAAGCAAAAAAGCTTGGCCTGTAGCTTGGCCTGTAGCTTGGCGATTTCCCTTGGTATGACCTAATACGGGGATGAGCTACCACTTTGTGACCTACCACTTTGTCAGTGAAGGGGTCATCTCAGAAGGGATCCTACTATGTAAGCAGCTAAGACAGATTCATCAAAGTTGGCGCGGGTGACGGATCATTCATGGTTTCGTTTCAAGGAATCTCATCTCATCCTATCCGCTCCGCTGTTCCAGCACCTAGTTATGCATCCTATGAGATTGAACGCACCCCCGTCTGCCCCCCCGTTTCCAACGGGCATGATGCGGATTCGTCTAAGCCTCAATCTCTCGTCGCATGGTTGTTTATATAAACAGCAACGTGCGCACGGCACCCCCCTCTTCGATCCCCAAGTGGCGAAAGGGGATCCCATGAATCCCATATTGCATCACTTTTCGACAATTCTTGGGGTGTTACTACAGCCTTTCGCAGCAGTGACCTGGAATAATCTGGAGAAAACGAGAACCCAAACCAGAAAATATCTCGAGTCCAAGTTACACTTTCCAATCACGCGAAGAACTGTGTGTCCTTTCACCAGCGAGCGCCCGTCTCCCCGCAGACCTCGTTGCACAAGGAAGACCCTGAAGATCACAACG